TTGATGTCAAAAATCTTGTTCCATCTTGTGCAAAGCCGCCTAAACTGTATGGACTTCCAAAGATACACAAACCTAACGCTCCGCTACGTCCAATTGTGAGTCAAATCGGCACACCGACTTATAAATTGGCCCAACTAGTAGCGAAAGTACTCTCAACACTCAGAGGACAAACATCAGCGTTCACAAGGGACTCGTACCATTTTGTCAATGAGATAAAACACCTACAACTCATGGACAATGAAACTATGGTCAGTTTTGATGTACAGTCTCTATTCACTAGCCTACCAGTAGAGGACTGTGTCAAAATAGTATCAAGAAAGCTACGGGATAATATTATGCAAGAAGAATACACTGAACTTTTGAAACACTGCCTTACATCTGGCTATCTATTGTGGAATGATGAATTCTACAAGCAAGTGGATGGAGTGGCCATGGGTTCGCCGGTCTCTCCCGTTGTAGCTGACATCTTCATGGAGGCCTTCGAGGAGACCGCCCTAAACACATCACCTGTGACCCCTCGTTTCTACAAGCGGTATGTAGATGACACTTTCACAATATTACCATCTGATAAAATATCTGTATTCTTAGAACATCTTAACTCCATAAACCCTAAAATACAATTTACAATGGAATTGGAGTCTAATAATTCTTTAGCTTTCTTAGATGTATTAGTTATACGTAACCCAGATAACACCTTAAGTCATACTGTGTATCGAAAGAAGACCCATACTGATAGGTACTTGAATGGTGAATCTCACCACCACCCTTCACAGTTAGCTACCGTGGGAAAATCTTTGTTTCAGAGGGCACGCGGGATCTGTGACGAGCAACACCTGGCCGGAGAGCTGCAACATGTCAAGCAAGTTCTGCGAGACAACAAGCTGCAAGTGCCGCGCCTACGTCACAGGGACCGAGTGAAACCAGCCACAGTCGAGCGCGTCCCTGCAGTCCTACCTTACATGAGAGGCGTCACTGACAAGATTGGCTACATTCTAAAGCGAGCTTCAATTAAAACTTACTTCAAGCCGCCAAAGAAAATTAGTCAGTTTCTACCACCTGTCAAGTGCCACATCCCTCTACAAGATGCAGGAGTTTACAAGCTTGATTGTGATTGTGGGCTCTCTTACATCGGACAAACAAAGAGATCCATTAGAACCCGGGTCAAAGAACACATAGCTGATGTGAAGCACCGTCGCAATACAACATCTGCTGTCTGCAAACATAGTCAGGACCGCCCAAGCCATTATATTCGCTTCGATAGACCTCAAATCCTGGCGAAAGAAAACCGATATCGCCCTAGAATGATTCGAGAAGCCATAGAAATTAAAAAACATCCTAATTTCAATAGGGAAGATGGCTGGGTACTACCATCGTCATGGAATCCTGTTATTAATATAATAAAATCAAATAATAAATATAAACATAACAGACAGGCAGATGTAGTAAGTTCATACTGTGTAGATCAAAATGACAGCTTATCAGACTAATATTTTTCATTTTTCATTTGTAAAAGTATATATTAATAGTGTTGCTTAGTAAGTTGTTTTTTAAATAATAGCAAACTAAATTAAAATTATTATCCTTAATTAATTTTAACTTTTTAAATTACACATAGAACAATTATATGGCTTTAATAATTAATACTACATTTTATATTTTTCTTTATGGTTATAAATATAATAATGGCAACATTAAATATAGATTACTAATTAATATTTTAAAATTGTAATAATTATAAAAAAATAATAGCAAAATTAAATAAATAATTTTCCATATTCAATTATAATTAAAATTATAAAAATGTTTAAAGTTAAAAAATATTGTAATGTAATTGGTGCAATTTTCATTTTGTTAATTGTGGGTAGGCTGTCTGTAACAACTATACATTCAAGACATGTAACACCTCAGTCTCTCCCGTGACCATGGATGCTGTAAAGCATTCGAAACGTCGGGAAACAAAAATCCAAATAAATCCGCGACAAAATCCGAAAAGATAGTTTTATTTAAAATGTCAAATATTCGCGTAAATCTAAGAAAGTATTATGTGAACCAGTACGGACTGGAAATCGCAAACCAAATACGCCGGTTAGAAGATCTGAAGACAAAGCGCGCAAGATTATTAACATCTTTAACATTCTTGAAGAGATGTCGGGATCATCGTCTCATTCCTACGTGTGTGAAAATATCATCTAAAAAGAACATACGGGGAAGCGCCAAGATCGTTAACAAGGCAAGTTTTAAGTTGTTACGGACGGTGATTCGTCAAACCCGCCGTGATCTACGCAGTAACGACCGGTACGTAGAACAAACGTCCCTTAATATAAAGACAGTATTGACACCAAGTGATTTCAATGATTGCATTGAAACTTTAAATAAGCGCGAAACATCTAAATTTAACCAATGCAAAAACAAACATATATTAAAATACCAAAAATTAGTCGAGAAATATAACATCAAAAAGAAAATCAAAAACAATAACGGAACGCGCCCGTCTACCACAGTTTCAAATTCGTGCGTACGTCAAGCAGTTGTCAATCTGTCAAAACAAACATTGGACGAATCTACTATTCAAGTACTAAGTAAAGGCTTAAATTTTGCTGTTGCGCCGACACGCATCCCTTATGAGAACATTATTTGTGCGGTTGAAGATGCCCTGGCCAAAAATACTATGAAATCTGAGGATATGGAGGCCATACGTCAAGATGTTTCATCTTTGTTACGTCGTAGTTCAAGGCCCAAACCTAATCTCAATAAACAACAGTATTTAGCGTTGAAGAACTTACGCAGCAGGTCAGACATTATCATACTACGCGCAGACAAGGGAAATGCCACCGTCGTGATGGATACATCAGATTACAATGAGAAAATTAAACAACTTTTGTCGGATGAAAGTACATATAAAAAGGTCAAAACAGACCCAACCACCACTGTGTTAAATAATACTAAAAAGCTGATTAAGAAACACTCCGATGCATTGAATCTTGATGTCAAAAATCTTGTTCCATCTTGTGCAAAGCCGCCTAAACTGTATGGACTTCCAAAGATACACAAACCTAACGCTCCGCTACGTCCAATTGTGAGTCAAATCGGCACACCGACTTATAAATTGGCCCAACTAGTAGCGAAAGTACTCTCAACACTCAGAGGACAAACATCAGCGTTCACAAGGGACTCGTACCATTTTGTCAATGAGATAAAACACCTACAACTCATGGACAATGAAACTATGGTCAGTTTTGATGTACAGTCTCTATTCACTAGCCTACCAGTAGAGGACTGTGTCAAAATAGTATCAAGAAAGCTACGGGATAATATTATGCAAGAAGAATACACTGAACTTTTGAAACACTGCCTTACATCTGGCTATCTATTGTGGAATGATGAATTCTACAAGCAAGTGGATGGAGTGGCCATGGGTTCGCCGGTCTCTCCCGTTGTAGCTGACATCTTCATGGAGGCCTTCGAGGAGACCGCCCTAAACACATCACCTGTGACCCCTCGTTTCTACAAGCGGTATGTAGATGACACTTTCACAATATTACCATCTGATAAAATATCTGTATTCTTAGAACATCTTAACTCCATAAACCCTAAAATACAATTTACAATGGAATTGGAGTCTAATAATTCTTTAGCTTTCTTAGATGTATTAGTTATACGTAACCCAGATAACACCTTAAGTCATACTGTGTATCGAAAGAAGACCCATACTGATAGGTACTTGAATGGTGAATCTCACCACCACCCTTCACAGTTAGCTACCGTGGGAAAATCTTTGTTTCAGAGGGCACGCGGGATCTGTGACGAGCAACACCTGGCCGGAGAGCTGCAACATGTCAAGCAAGTTCTGCGAGACAACAAGCTGCAAGTGCCGCGCCTACGTCACAGGGACCGAGTGAAACCAGCCACAGTCGAGCGCGTCCCTGCAGTCCTACCTTACATGAGAGGCGTCACTGACAAGATTGGCTACATTCTAAAGCGAGCTTCAATTAAAACTTACTTCAAGCCGCCAAAGAAAATTAGTCAGTTTCTACCACCTGTCAAGTGCCACATCCCTCTACAAGATGCAGGAGTTTACAAGCTTGATTGTGATTGTGGGCTCTCTTACATCGGACAAACAAAGAGATCCATTAGAACCCGGGTCAAAGAACACATAGCTGATGTGAAGCACCGTCGCAATACAACATCTGCTGTCTGCAAACATAGTCAGGACCGCCCAAGCCATTATATTCGCTTCGATAGACCTCAAATCCTGGCGAAAGAAAACCGATATCGCCCTAGAATGATTCGAGAAGCCATAGAAATTAAAAAACATCCTAATTTCAATAGGGAAGATGGCTGGGTACTACCATCGTCATGGAATCCTGTTATTAATATAATAAAATCAAATAATAAATATAAACATAACAGACAGGCAGATGTAGTAAGTTCATACTGTGTAGATCAAAATGACAGCTTATCAGACTAATATTTTTCATTTTTCATTTGTAAAAGTATATATTAATAGTGTTGCTTAGTAAGTTGTTTTTTAAATAATAGCAAACTAAATTAAAATTATTATCCTTAATTAATTTTAACTTTTTAAATTACACATAGAACAATTATATGGCTTTAATAATTAATACTACATTTTATATTTTTCTTTATGGTTATAAATATAATAATGGCAACATTAAATATAGATTACTAATTAATATTTTAAAATTGTAATAATTATAAAAAAATAATAGCAAAATTAAATAAATAATTTTCCATATTCAATTATAATTAAAATTATAAAAATGTTTAAAGTTAAAAAATATTGTAATGTAATTGGTGCAATTTTCATTTTGTTAATTGTGGGTAGGCTGTCTGTAACAACTATACATTCAAGACATGTAACACCTCAGTCTCTCCCGTGACCATGGATGCTGTAAAGCATTCGAAACGTCGGGAAACAAAAATCCAAATAAATCCGCGACAAAATCCGAAAAGATAGTTTTATTTAAAATGTTTTACAGGTTGTTTGGTTTACGGCGTTATTTCCATATGCAGTTCTTTTAATACTGTTGGTGCGAGGCATCACTCTTCCAGGTTCCGCTACAGGCATTCAATACTATCTAAGCCCTAACTTCGAAGCCATTACACAACCGCAGGTAAGCTTTAACATGCCTCTATTATACGTCTACGTCCATTCTTCCATACTAATATTATAAATGTGAAAGTGTGTTTGTTTGCTTGTTTGTTTGTTGGTTTGTTTGTCCTACTTTGAAGTCGAAACGGAGTGACGGATTGGCGTTATTTTTTGTGTATATATTTTTGTGTATATATTTTTAGATAGTTGGAGGGCTGGAGAGTGACATAGGCTACTTTTTACTGCGGGATATTATCTAATTCCCACGGGTAAACACTTATTTTATGAACAGAATTACTTGAAACTCGGTATTAACTATTAATGCTCTTCAATAAAATGAAATAAACACGTGGTTTTAGCGTTTTTCGAAATTCATCCTATAGAGATTTTTAGTTTTAGCGCGAGCGAAGCCACGGCTTCTGCTAGTATATTATATATGTAAGTAATAATCTATAAGTATGTATGTATTTACGGAAAATTATGCAAGTGTATAAGTAAAAGAAAATACGTAAATAAGGAATATGAGTGTGATTTAAACAAAGGTGAAATATTTTTTTATAACCTTTATTGCTTTTGAATTAATATCAATAATTTTTTAATGTAATTTGTTTTTGATTAAGATATTGTAAAGTACAAATATAGGTGGGAAATTCAAAGAAGTTGAAACACACGCCATTGGTCAGACTGAATATGACGTCAAAGTATTATAATAACAGGGCGATTAGCGATTTTGTCTTTATACTAAAGTTATTTTACAATTTTATAACGACGTTATATACTTAATTGTAAAAAGATTATCAGAACATCGAAGTTGTATTAAAATATAGAAACTAGTGAAAGAAAATGTACAGCCAATTGTGATTTACTGTATCTCTTCACTTAATTTAAACTTTAAAGTAAATAATAGGTATGAAATGGAAGACTGTGTGTATTGTGTAAATATTAAATAAAATAAATAAAAATAATATGTTGGGACATTAACACACATCACCGTTTAGTTCCATGGTAAGCTACGAGACTTGTGTTATGGATACCAGATAGTTGATAAGTGTATGTGTAGTGACACATACATATAACTTTAAATACATACATATTATAAATAAAAACACCCATGACTGGAGTACAAACATTCGTGCTCATCACACAAATGGATGCCCCCAGCGGGATTCGAACCCGCGACCGCTGGCACAGCAAGTAGTGTCACTACAAACTGAGCCAAACTTGCCGTCAAATGCTGTAGATATCGGTAACGTTCGAAAACCCCAAATTGAACGTCAAGTACAAACTGGATTTCATGCCACTGATATTATCAGTGACTTAAATGGTGATAAAATATATGAATGATTATAACATATTTTTAAAAGATGAACCTGATTTATTGTATTACAGATTTTCTATAATTTGACTACATTTGTAGGTGTGGGTAGATGCAGCAACTCAGGTCTTCTTTTCCTTGGGTCCAGGTTTCGGCGTACTTTTGGCTTACGCTTCTTACAACAAATATCACAACAACGTTTATCAGTATGTATTCATTATTTATTTTTAACTACTGACGTTTTTCGTAGCCTTTTTTATATAAACATTTATAATAAAATTCTAAGTGGAATCTGTACATTAAATATTTGTTGGAAAATCTTATTGAAATAGTCATTATTATCGATACAGAGGCTGAATCTATAGTTTTTAGAATATTTGTGCGTCTGTGTGTGACCGTATCACGACAAAACCACTGGACCGATTTGGATGAAATTTGGTATGATGATAGCTGGTTATCCGGATCAACATAGAGGATACTTTTTACTACAGAAAAACATCTCAATGTATACAAAACGTTAAAACGTAACTAGGGACGAACCCGAGCAGAGCGAGGGTCAGTCGCTAGTCCTAAAATATGTTTGGAAAACAAATAATCTTTCATTTACAGAGACGCTATACTAACAAGCGTGATAAACTCTTGCACGTCATTCGTGGCGGGTTTCGTGATATTCAGCGTGTTGGGGTACATGGCGCACGCGTCGGGCAAGCACGTGCGCGACGTGGCCACGGAGGGCCCGGGGCTGGTGTTCATCGTGTACCCGGCCGCCATTGCCACCATGCCGGGCTCGACTTTCTGGGCTTTGATATTCTTTATGATGCTGTTGACTTTGGGATTGGATAGTTCTGTAAGTATGTTCATATATAATATGTAAGTGTTATTGGGATTGTATATGTTGAAGGGTTGTGGTGATTGTGCTGAAAATTCTGGGAGATGGGCAGATTCATTTGTAGTGAAATTCAGCGTTCGAGGAAATTATAAGATTTAAAATTGATGATTTATGAGTAATTGTTCTTTACAATGGATAATTTAGTATCTAAATTAAAAGAATATATACAGTCCGTATTTAGTAGTGTTATTAATATATGGATATTGTATACACTTATAAATATGAGCAAATGTGTTTTTGGTTTAACCAACTTATACAGATGATTCAATATAATATATAGCATTAAGTATATTAATCTTTAATAAATTTTTATTTACGATGAAGAAAAAAATCTTGGGGAAACCTGCATATTTGAGAAAACCTAACAAGTTTTCCAAAGACTCAGCTCAGTCCTCCCGCACTTGGCCAGCGTAGTGGACTATGACCTAAACCCACTCATATTGAAGAACCGCCCGTGCCCAGTTGTGGGACATTAAAAAAGAGCTAAATATAATACAAATCTTTATTAAGCATTATATCAACACAAGTTATTTTCAGTTCGGTGGTTCAGAAGCGATAATAACCGCACTCAGCGACGAGTTCCCACCAATCGGCCGTCACCGAGAACTGTTCGTAGCGTGTCTCTTCACGCTGTACTTCTTCGTGGGTCTGGCGTCGTGCACTACGGGCGGCTTCTACGTGTTCCAACTGCTTGATAGATACGCTGCGGGCTACTCCATGTTGGTGGCCGTGTTCTTTGAAGCGATCGCTGTGTCTTGGATTTATGGTAATGATCTTATCTTTAACTTTAAGAGATTAAATTTTCAATATGATTTTGTATCGATGTAGGTATTTTTGAGCCTTCGATTGTTATGAAATATAAAGCATTTGTTCTGGTCCAATATCATATAATACTGCCCACCTGAGCCTAAAGTGCAGTAATAGACATTTTGGTCGGTTTTGAGTTAAATATATATTCTAAATCCCCATTTTAGTAGCTATCAGTCAAATTAATTCTTTTTTCTGTAGCGCTAATAAAAGTATTTTATTTTAATGTTTTTTCGGAAGGTGTAACAGCAAAAATATCACAAATCTGTTAAAATATTCCATGTTTACCAGCTAAACCGCAGTACAATTAATACTGCATAAGATTTTTCTCTGTTTCCTAACTAAACTGCAGTGTTTTATCATATTTTGTGGCACTTAAAATAGTAGTTTGTTCTAGGAGATTCAAGAAAAAACTTATTAAAATGCAGTATTATTCGACTCTATACAAATTGATTATACTGCAAAGGTTAAGAAAAAATATTTTTTATTTATATTCCTAATTAAAGTGCAGTATTAACATTCCATACTGCACATTAACTTGTGGGGGATTTTGTAATTTCTTGTGAAAAACTAAAAGACATGCAGTATTTAATAACTTTACTGCAGTTTAACTTGTAGGATGTTTTGTAGTTGCTTGTAAAATACCATTTAGTTTACAATATTTATAAATTTTACTGCATATTAGTTAGTTTGCTCCATCCAATTCATACTACCTAAGATACTTAAAGTCAAATATTATTCCCTAATACTGCGTTTTAATAGGTAAAATTATTAAAATATTAAAACACAAGACAGGCAATATCGCGGTTTGAGGCAGTCCTTCTGTCTGTCTGTCTCAAGGATCTGTGGCTTAAGGCTGACTTGACATGCCATGCTGTGTCTGTACCAAAGAGATATGGAGGGTAGAACTAAGGAGAACTATTTCTCGTATAAAAAGTGACCGCTGACAAGCATTAAATTGGTGGCGCCACAGAAAACAAGTATATGAATCTATACATCTATACAGATAAATAAAATTGTAGTGTCTGTTTGTAATGTCAAAATAAACCTTTTTACTAAATGCATATGAAATTATATACGGTACTTATAAGAAAAACTAATTTTTAAAAATGTTTGTCTGTCTGTTTGTTCCGAATAATCTCTGAAACGGCTGGACTGTTTTTGACGGACTTTCAGTGGAAGGTAACTGATGTTATAGGGAGTAATATAGGCTACTTTTATTTAAAAAAAAGAATTAGAGTTCCGCTCAAAAAAAAGTATCCAGGGACGAACCCGAGTGAGGCGAGGGTGAGTCGCTAGTTTAAAACATAACGTCATAAAAGTAAGAAGGTGAATTAAACAAGGAAAGAAAGATTTCCGCTTTGCTGTGGCGCACTTTTCTAAATAGTTCTAGCATAGGCAAACAGCAATATAATTATATATTATTTTCAAGTAATAATAATTCAGCACACGTTTCTCCGTTAAAAACTACTAACTTCACATCACATCTACTTGCTACGCTAGTGCTGTAAAGCCTAGTTCGCAATAAGCTAGTATTTTAGTCTAGTAGCGAGTAATTTAGTAGCTAAATTACTCGCTACTCACCAAAAATCGTTCGCACTTTGGTCGAGTACAGTTTACAAGTGAGTGGTGTTTTGCAAGATGAACAGCCTACAACGCAATAAAGTAAATAAACTGATTAAGCTGATCGTAACGGCTATTTTAGAAGAGGTGGATGAGGAAATTTGTGTGATTAATAAAAAGAAGCTATGGGTACGAAAATGGATCGAAAGACAAGATAAACTAGGAGCTACTAATTGTCTTCTGAAGGAATTAGCATTGGAAGATCCTAAAGAATACTTCGATAGTTTGAGAATGTCCGAAAGTTGTGTATATTTTCTGTTAATGAATGTTATGGCGGCAACTAATAAACTCGACTAATACGACAGGTTCGTACTTGTTTAGCCGGTGAACCAGTGAACTCGGACGTGGTGGGGGCTGCAAATTGCCCAAAAAAATAGAATAAAATGGATTGACTCGACTAAATTACTTACTAAACTAATCGACTAAATTTTTAGTGTTCAGACACGTTTAGTTACTAAATTACTCGCTACTAGACTAAAATACTAGCTCAATGCGAACTAGGCTTAACGGTGAGTTTCTGAGCTATAATTTGCTGCTCACTACTGGACACTTTTTCAACTTGTTTCCCATATAAGTTAATTCTCCTTAGTTCTCCCTTCCATAATCTTTTCAGACTATTATTTTTGTAAGACAAGAATACTCATTTAGTAATTAGTTATGTTCAGAAGAAAGATTTTATGTAAATTTTATTGATCCATGCATGAGAAATACATGTGATATAGTTTTATAGAGGATTAACTAGTTAAGATTATCAACATCTTGTAAAGATTGTTATATTGTTAGTCATATAAAACAATTTACACTATTAGATTATAATGTACAATGTTTTGATGAATAGTTTTAATAGCATAGTCATAAATGCATGTCCAGTTTTGTTTAAGAAATTACATATTTTTATCAAAGTTAAAGGTAATTTTATATTACTATAAGTGTGGAATATCAGTGTTTTGTTCAAAAAAACAGATTAAATAGCAGTATTTTCATAATATTACTGCACTTTAGTTAGTAACAATCATGGAAGAAATGTCTAAAATGCAGTAATAACAGGATTTACTGCATTTAAAACAGTTTTTGAAAAGATTATACAAGTAAAGTGTGTGTAGTAATAGGGGCAAAAAAATTAAAATTGCCATAATTATAGTTTTTTATAAAAAAACTAACGTAACAATGTTTAGTATTTTAGTTTGGTACATATTCTTTCACTTTCCATTCAAGGTTTTATCGAAAAGTCTCTTTTTGATATATTTTTATGGATTCTAAACTTTAAGCGCGTTTTTCTCGAATTCGTGTTTTTGCTGTTACTGCACTTTAGGTTCGGGAGGGCAGAATAGACATCCCATTTAAGTAGTAAGTATTAAATAGTTCAACGAATATTATTAATGTTGAATGTAATCATCACTCTGATATTTATTATTTAGTATTTAGCAAAAGTGGAGGTTGAGGTGGTAGTGGATTCGAATCCAAGGTCAGGTCAAAAAGCAATTGTTTTTCTATCAAGAAATTTTTAATAACATGCTTAGAAAACTGTTGATGTTACACTCCTCTTGAGAAATGTCTAAGTCTGCCTTAATTCTTCTAAGCATTTTAAAATTATGAGATGAGGAATAATAAGCAAACACGCTTGCAAGAGAAAATATCATTAATATTGGTCATCGTGATCGAAATTATGACTTAATTTAGAAAGCTTTATTAGGTAGGTTTTATAGTTTTTATACTTTAATAAATTCAAAATTTTATTAAAGGTACGGAAAGATTTTGCGAAGACATCCGCGATATGATCGGCTTCCGACCAGGTCTGTACTGGCGTATTTGCTGGCGTTTCGTCGCCCCCGCGTTCCTCCTCTTCATCACGGCGTACGGCCTCATGGACTACGAGCCGCTGCAGTACGACCGCTACGTGTACCCGGGCTGGGCCAACGCCCTCGGCTGGGCCATAGCCGGCTCCAGCGTCGTATGTATACCGGCGGTCGCTGTTTATAAGATTATTACTACGAAAGGAACGTTCTTTGAGGTGAGTTCTTTTATATATACGAGTATATAATTAAATTATTAAGATAATTTTATGATAGCTTTATAAAAGTTATTTAGAATTGGGATCATACTTAAAACTCAATGGATTTTGTTCGTTAGTTATGCATTTAGGAATATATTTCTAATTTTCTACGTATTATAATTTTAAATAGTGATGCAAGAACTTAGTACCTACAAACAAGTGTTTGTTGGTCTTCCTTAGGCATAGCGATAATACGTACAAGGGGCTAGCCACGACAAGGATATTTTTTGACATATAGGCAATAAAATGTAAAAATAACGCTAAATAAAAATAAATGTTAAACTGTGACTTCCAGCGACTAACGATTCTAACAACACCATACGCGGACACACAACACTCAGTACATAACGGGGTAGTCGTGTCTGAGAGCGGGGGCGTGAGGCTGGCGTCGGCCGCCGCGTCCCCCGGCACGCCCCCCTCCCCCGCCGCGCCGCCCGGCACCCCCCCCGCGCCGCCCGCGCTCGTCTGAGCGGCACTGTCCTTCGACATCTACTACGTGTAGCGGTGGCGAAGGGTCCATACAAAACGTCTTACCTTAAAATCTATTTTGTTATAATTTTCCATACATTTAATTTTTTAAATGTATAAATGTTCTTTGGGAAATATATATACTATATTAGAAATAATAGCTTTATTTCTTTTTATATATAAAAATTATATATCAATGTTTTTTGTGCTTTTTTTTGGAATGGCTTACTTCTGCTAAAATTTCACCCTTCGCCACTGATGTGTAAACAAAAGCAAACTCTTTTGTGTGCGGTAGTGTTATTGTGGACGTTTTCCAATTACAGCACTAAAGCGCACTATGCGGCATACTGCTTAAATTCGAATTTTTCATCTACAGCAACGAAAAGTACTGCTTTAGTTAGCGTGATGCGAAAAGCTGTAGTGGAAAATGTTTGTGTTTTTTCACGTTGTTCGTGTTTGTGCGCCAAAGTGCGGCATTATGCTCTGTAATTGGAAAACAGGGTGTGTCTACTCTTTAGTACTTGTTAATGACATTTGAGAACGAAATTCAAACGCGATGGCGCCACAAGTGTATAATGTTGAGAAGAAAAGAATTATGTTAATATTATATTAATCGTAAAAGTACATACAATTTTGACTTAAACGAGCAAAAATAAAGCAAACCAAGTAAAAACATTACGTTTTAAAATAATCTTGAAAATGCTTAACCAAGCTGACGTTCCTTGATAAATAATATATACCTAATATAAGGTTATTTTCATGTGGCGCCATTACTGGCAAAAAGTTACCGTGGTGAGTCTTCTTCACAGTTCTTAACAGTTCAAATCTCGATTTCCTTTTCGAATGTCATGAATACTTCTACTTAGGGTACTTAATAAATATTTTCCTGCAAGCTATGTGTAATTTAGCTTAGCTCCTTTAATAATTAATTTTCATTGCATTCTTTAAATAAAACTTTCATTATATCATTATTTGTATATAATCGATTATTACGTAATTGTTTATTAAGTAGATAAGTAGAAAATGCTTTAAGTGAAAAATAATATAAAACCAAAGTTATTAACAACCCACCACTGGAGTGAAATAAAAAAAAATGAAAAGATCGTGAATCTAAACTAATACATAAGTAAACATATATCATTGGCAAAGATGGATGGTAATCTGATTAGAATCTTGTATTTATATATCATTACAAATATTTTAAACTTTAATAATAATATTAATAACTAGATCACTTTTCTCCATTTCTTAAAATTAAATAATCGAGTTGTTTAACTAGACAGATGTTATTTTATTAATAGTTAATAGGCATGCGTCGTCGTCTTTACGCGATTCTCATATACATACATATTATGAGAATTATGTAGGTATTGTGTTAAATAAGCAATATATAATAACAATAAGTTAAATTCTACGCCTATTGGGCATATAATAATAATAGAAAAAATATTTTTAACGCTTCGTGGATACTTCGACGTGCATCTTGCACATTGTTTTGCAGATCAATAAACAAAATTTATTGGTAGCATAAAATAATTATTAAAAAGCATTTTACTTCCTTCTTCCAAGTTAGATTAGACTTATTTATTATCGATATTACAAATTACTGCTATGTTGTCTTATAATTAGTATAGTATTTATTCCATAAAATTTAGAATTAGAATGTTCATTTTTTTCGATATATATTATTAAAAATATTTTAATATTATAGCAAAATAAATATACTTATCCATATGCATTAGACTATACTATATATAGCTGAATAGTTGGAAAATTTAATCATTATAATAAATCACGAAGTAGTTATAGGTAAGTAAGTATTATAAATCTTTTCAAACACGTTTCTTCTCTTTTACAAACTTAAGCAAATTTTAAATTCTGTAGTTCAAGTAAGTCTGTAAATCTGGTAATTCAGCAAACCGTCGGAAATTTTTAGATGTAGTTATAATAATATTGGGTTTCGCCATACACGAGCATAAAAGTACTATTTAGTATTTATTATCTATGGATCTTCTTTATTTCAAAATTATTACTCCATCTACCTTAAACAGGCAAATTAATTAATTTCGTATAATATATTTTATGTTTTTAAGTATCTTATATAAAAATGCCATGAGATATGGATATATAAATATGTATATAATTTATTTAAATAGCTTTTTGACTCGTGTATGAGGAAGTCCTTAGCCAAAGAGCAAAAAGGTTGACGCTGGAACAATTAGTCTATTATGAGTCGCTACACATACCCCTGAAGCTGTAGTTACCTCAACCCCCACTCATTAGTATTCCCTTTAAATTACATAGGCTTTACAAAAGCATTTTTCTTACTTGTTATGTACGTCTATAAATACTTCCCATTCAGAATATTTTTAAGATATATTAATCATTTATAATATATGTATAAGATATTTTGAATTAATATTACAAATTATATGGTAGCTTCTGAGTTTAATTGTATTTAGTAATAAGGTCATTCTAATCTTTAATATCGATTAAATCGATTAATTCGTTTAAAAATAAAAAAAATGCTGTGTAGATAATAGAAAAGTAGTATAAGTAATTTAGTCAGTGTTAAAAAAGTTCATATACCCACATATTAGCTCGTAAAGTATATATTTTTAGATTTGGTGTCTAGTTATAAGCGTAATCTAATCATGTTTGTCTTTTATCTCTTAACTCTTTGAATCTCTAAATGTTGTGATGAATATATATAAGTGCTCCATTTTTTATTAAATTTTTTAAAGATTTTTCAAAAATATTTTTTGGCAGATTTTTATTGTACTATTCACCACTCCGTCCTGGGCAATGCGGATTGATGAATTGTATGGAAAAGTTTAAATAATAAATATGTTTTAAATAAGTAGGTATCTATACGAGTTGGACATGAACACGCTCCACGCGACGTTCTTACTTTTATAATATACGAATGCAACTTATTTATTTAATTACAAACATATTTTATCAACATTGTATTGTATCTGTATGTACGAGTATTTAGAATTTTTAAAATACACTTAACGCTTGTATCAGTAGCACATTCGTGATAGCTTGCTTCTAATAAAATAATTAAATGAAAGAATAGGAAAAATCATCACATACCTATATCATTAAAACGATATTTTTATTATATGTAGCTGTGTTAAAATTTAAATAAAATACTTAATTCTATGTTAACTCTCGATGTAATGTCTATAATCTATATTGTGTATCGCCTATTTGTAGTTGTTGATTTTGCAGTCAATCGTCATACCAGCCATTATGACCATTGATGATAGAATAAATTTATTTATACTTAATGTAAGACGTGTTTTATTTGACATTTAACATATAAATATATACATATACACATACATTCGAATCTTTACGATTTAATTTATTTTGATTAACCTAAAAACAAAACGGGACATAGGTACATACTTAACTACATGTCATGAACTTCAATTTTAAAGTATTATTATATATTCTACAGAGAAAAACATTCTGCAAATATATTTCTTTAGGATTTTTGATTCTATAGTTAACTATTACCAGGCACCGGTAGTTACTAGTTAATCACTTACAAGTTGCAGCATTAAGATTTCCCGCCACTATGTTTCTTTTTATGTTGGCTATAAGTTGAAGCAATCACCTGTCTCTATTCTCCTTGCCATTAGAAAGAGATAAAAACATAGCTGATAGCCTTCAATTTCGTTTTACTTCAGCTTGTCAATGTCACGTGCCGTACAGCCCATAGAGTTATTAGTTTTATTTGTCATCCATGGATATTACACATAATAGGCAACTGTGATTTAACACTATGTGAGCAATGAGGCGTGGAGAAAAAAGATATCTGCCTAGTTTTTTTTTTCATGACGCATGCTCATTTGTACACTTTATGTGGCGTATAAGTTATACAATATACATAACTCAAATTAAAAGAAATGCACAATAAGTAACAAAGAATTATTTTTTTATAAAAAATATCTTAGTTTTTGTAATAAATTACAATTATAATTTATTCATATTTTTATATTTATATTATATTATATATATATATATATATATTTTAAGTATTATTACGAACAATTCTTATTGTCCAACAAAAATAGTTAATTTATTATAGTACATATATGTATTCTAATTCTATATTTTAAGTCATTTAATTTAGGTATAACTTTCATTTTTAAACGAGACACAACATTTTTGATCGGCTGGCCTACATAATATATACTCGTACTATGACTTGTATTATCTCTATGATTGTAACAAGCAACCAAACACCAACAAATAATTTCGACCGTTATGATTATTATATTTTCAATTTGCATTACTTTTGGATAATCTTCGTTGGAAATGGTTGATTTCCAAATTGCAATCATTGAAATCGCAATTTACAATATTTCAAAAATATTATGAACTTCTAAAATAAATGTACTATTTCCTTATTTTCCTATTCTGAGTTGAAATATGTTTTTTGGATTTTTTATTGCTTCGCTTTGGAGAAAAAAAAACTGAAAATATTGCGATGACGTCACAAATTAGGTTGAATGAAATGATTGCCTTTGTCTACTAAAATTAACTGTATATATAATATGATGAAATTGTAAAGCAGGCTACTCACCCCCCCAGCCCAGGAGCAATCTAGGGTGTAAAAGTGGGGATGACCCTTAATTGTCACCTAAATTGTAATGTGTATAGTCAAGCAGGGGCAATTTTCTAGATTGCCCCTATCGATTTATCTATCGATCTTTTGACAGTGTAGCCACTTAGGGGGTTTCCCCTCAAAATTAGGGGTAAAAAAATTGCACCAAGTGTTTATCAGGGGTTTTTTCTTTAATAGCATAACCACAGATCATATAATACTATACTAGGCATATCTTATATAACGTTTTATAAAGTTTCTTTTAAAGACTTGAAAAAATCATCTATCTTTAATATAATTTGCATCATTTATTTTCTAAGTTATCTATGAAATTTATTATTATTATTAAATGGTTATATGTAATGATTATAGTAATAACCATAAATAAGTTTTTTACGCTACTTGTAATTATTTAAAATAAAAAAATATTAAAAATGAAAAAAAAATGAGTATTAGATAAAAACTTACATTATTCAAATTATCAGTTAAGGGGTTTTAGGATTTTTTGGAATTACTTTTAGGGCGATAAAATTTCAAGTGTTGGCAGCACTGTCTTATGATATTTTTTTTAGTTTAGCTTAACTTCTACCTGAACACTGAATAACAGGCATGTGTGTAGAAACAGCTGCGATATTGCTCTGACCGCCGCCGTGCTCTCTAGTCTCTAGATTGCCCCTGCGGCATGTGTGTCAGTGGCCCGCTTAACGTCTGAGTTCAGACGTCAGTTATGTAGCAACATACTCTATGGACGTCAGTCCTCAGTCACTCAGTGTCACATTTGTGTCACTGTCATTTCGGAGTTTGTGGAACGAGGATTTGTTCCTCGAAAATATATACCTTTAAAGTATAAATTATAAACAATAAACTCTAATAAACATATCCTCTTTATCTGTCCTTGAGCAGTTCCTCTATTCAGATGAATCCCTATGAAGCGTGGACGCCATACAAGGATACAAAATTTTATTTTGTACAGTTCTCGAGACGTAAGCTCAGCTTTGCATTTCTGTGAGTGATACATAATAAAATCAGCATAGATTAGCATTGTTTTTAGTAAGCAAGAGATATTTAAGAACTACAAAGAAATTTTTGAGGGCTTGGGAAATTTGACTATGTTTATAATATTAAGTTGTTGCAAAATAATGTACCAGTTGTTGAACAACCTCATAAAATATCATTTAAAATATTTAATCTGGTAAAAAATGATTTAGAGAGAATGGAACATCTGGATGTGATAAGGTCAATGAACCTACACAATGGGTCAACTCAATGGTTTTGCTAAAGAAAGATAATAAATCAGGATATGTCGTCGGTTAAATAGGAAAATGACGTTATTCAGAAAGTACCTACAAATTTTACAGTACAAGCATTTGAAGTTTTAAATTTCATTAAAATTCATTTTTCTTTTTAAGTGTTATATTTACATAATTGTCATATATATCATTTAAAAAGTAATTACATGGGGATTTAGGTGGTGTATTATTTAATTATTTATTTTTTAAATAGAATCATTTCTAGCAAGAAGTGTCTTTTTTCTACATAAAAAAATAAATATTACAAGCACGGATTTTCTAAAAAAAAATAACTTCATAATGGAAAAATAGTTTTTATTAAGTAAGTTTCTTTAACAATTTGAGATTTTTATAGGATGGCACATCAAATTAAAATTACTTATAATGAAATAAGATTCCTTAACAAACCCTTTCTTAAAATTAACACTTATTAGATAAATCAATAGAAAAACAATATTGAGATCAATGAGCTTAAACTTAAAGCTATTTTTTTATTAAACTTAAAATGAAATTGTAAACTGAAATGAAATATTTGTTTCTGTAAACCATTTAAAACAAAAATATTAGTCTTCTCTTAATTAAAAGTTGTATCTAAAAATCAAAAAGTACTTACTTGATTTTTAGAAAAAAATATCCAAAAAATAAAAATACTACCAAAGAATATAAAACTTTAAATACTAAATTATTGAATTAAAACAGCTCTTTTTAATTAAAAATAGTCTAAAAATCAAAACTCTTCTAGAAAAATAACAATAAGTGGTAAAATAAAAAAATATCAAAAAAACAATGAAGTCACAGATTTTCATAGAAGTTTTTATAAAATCTAGGTATTATATTTTTGTCTATAAGTGTAAGTATTCCTACTTTCTTACTATCAGATACAGGTAATTTTGTTGAATACAGCGGTTGTAATTCTGAACTCAAATTCTTTTTTATCTTGCTAGCTCGAGTTTTGACCAGTACAGTTTTGAAGCTATCTTCTTTATAAGAACACTTATAAAAGAATCGATCATTATGAATTTTCTCCACTCTAATAACTTTAATATCCCCCATTTTTACCTTTTCTCTATATTCATTGATTGAGTAATTTGATCCAACACCGTCTGCGATTTTTTTAATGTCAAAGAAACTTTCATGATTTAGTTCATGGACTCTGTATGGGTTTCCTTTTTTTTAGCGGTTCTAATCAATGTGATGTATTGTTCCGGGACGTAAATAGGTGCAGATTTCAAGGATCTTGAAATATTACGCTCTATCACAGAATGTGCGGAATCTCCCTTACTTTGTGAGTGGGCCTTTATTAGAAATTTGTGGGTAATAGCCGTCAATTTTTTTAAATTAGTGACAGCGTAAATATACATTGCAATCATATATTTATTTTTTTGTTGTCCACAACAGTTGTCTCTATAAAATATAGCTTCAAAATCATCCTTAATATTTTCTTGCAGGCTTCTTAAATAACTTTAAATGCAGGATCCTATTTCATTAACTCCTCTTCCGCCTTCACCTTCATGCCAAACGTATCAGTTTACGTCTTTGGATCCAAGTTCGTAAATAGTAAATGTAGTGAAACAACAAGATCCGTTGACAGACTGTTTATTTGACATCTCAATCAAATCGCATTTTATTCTACATCTTTCCCTTTAATAATGAAAGTAACATGCAAATACAAATAATTATAAGTAATAAATAATACTATTATAGACTCAAATTTAAGCAACATGCATTTATCTGCTAATTACTAATTATTACATTTTTTTTTTTTTTAGAAACATATTTTAATTCTATCCCTAGCTTTATTTGCAGCTATCCTGGTTTGTCGCGCTTCGTTATTTTTATCCATATTCTGATTAACTGTGTCGATGATTTCAGCATCAGTTAGCGTTCCAGTAGTAGCTAGCCCTTCATCACATGTCACATAATCTTCAAATTGAACTTCTATATTCTGAAGTTTATTCCAGTCAGCCTCTACACTCACGTCCGGCTCAAGGGGTTCTTCCGAAGCTTCTTCTTGTGGCAACGAAAATCCACAGCTTTCGAAGCAATTTGATATTGTAGTTTTAGATACACTTCTTCAAGCCTTGTCTGTCATCCTAATTGCATGCAATATATTAATAGATAAAGCTGACTGTTGTTCATTCCTTGATCTAAGGGCTGTAGCTTAGATGTTGTATTGGGTGGAAAAAATTTAACTTTCACGGCTTTTAATGGCGGAATTAAGTGGTGAGCTGTACAGTTGTTAATGAAGAGTAATATTTTTCGTTTCTCCTTAATCATTTTCTTGTCGACTTTAATGAGCCATCCTTTGAATATATCAGCTGTCATCCATGCTTTCTTGTTTGCATCATAGTCTAGTGGTAGAGATTTACAACCAGAAAAACAACGAGGCTTTTTAGCCTTTCCTATAACTAATGGCTTAAGTTTTTCAGAGCCTGTCATGTTTGTTGCTAGCAATATTGTTAATCGCTCTTTACTGTGCTTACCGCCATGACATTTTTCATTTTTAAAAATAAGTGTTTTATCAGGTAAGCACTTGAAAAAAAGGCCAATCTCGTCGGCATTAAAGACATCTTTTAGTTCATAATCCTTCAATAAACTCTGCAACTGAATTATCCATTCATCACATATCTCGTTATTGACGCTTGCACTTTCGCCGCAAACTTTCCTAAACACAAGTTCATGACGCTTCTTGAAATTCACCAACCAACCGTTGCTGGCACGAAAAGAACTGTGTCCCAGTGATTTTGAAAATTCTTCTGCCTTTTCGCGTAAGATAGGCCTAGATACACTTATGTTTTTGCCCCGACACTGTTTGAACCAGGTTTGTAAGCATTCTTCTACGTCAGGAAACTCAGCTAGACGCCGTCTTTTGCTAGACAAATTGCCACTTGATTCATACCTTTGCAATATTTCGGCTTCATTCTTAATTATTGTAGACAAAGTGCTTGCTGGCAATCCGTATTGAGCTGCGACGTCTTTTTTTTCATGCCACTTTTTACCGCATTGATAACATCGCTTTTTTCACGTAGAGTCAAAGTCTTTAGTTTCCGCTTTGTACTCATGTTGTTGCTAGTTAACAGCCAAAATAATACTGACGGACAAGCTCAAAAGTACTTAATCGTGTCCTGTGTCGACAAGGAACAAACATAACGTTCACAGCTGTGTTACTGAGAAAGTTTCATGAATGTATTCATTCATTGCACGTGTACAAGACAAAAACAATAGATTAGGAGCCTCGAACCCGAACATTCATTTTGGATTTTATTGCTATTATTTCGGGGAATTCCAAGTAAGACGTCTATATATTTTACTAACTACGACTTACGGAGTCTCCTTTTTGAAATTCGAGTTATAGAGATTCCACTGTGTGTGTATATATATATACACACAGTGGAATATATATATATATATATATATATATATATATATATATTGTAATATATTTGATAATCAGCATGAGGAACATTTTCTGTACGACATTTTGTAACATAGTCTCTATGTAATTGTGCAATAGAGAGACCACCTTCAATGTATTCCCGGCTCGTACTAGCTCGACAGTAATGACTTTTAATTCTAGGTATAGAATTGATATGTTTATTAATTCCATCAATAATTGCAATATCAAGTTTATTGTGTTTACCATGCTTTCCTCTTTTGTCATCTTTCAGAAAACCCCCAACTATAGAGTTTTGCATTGAAATTACTGTTCTTATCGGTCTGTCGGATATACCCAGAGTATTTTAAAAAAAGTCTTAAAAACACGAATTATCTCTGTGTCAACTTCAAAATTAAATGCATGGTTAAAATCTTTTCTTGTACTTCCTTTGCGAATATATCTGTACTTCGGTTTAATTGCAGTTACATGTTTATTGTTAAATTGACGTTGCTTATCTAAATCTCCCATTTTCCAAAAATTCATAAAAATAAGTTGCCTCTTTTCCTGATTAATCTTGTTATAACATTTCATTTTACATTTTTCAGTACATGTTGGTTTCATTTGTCTTTCTGGCATTTGTTTTTGTGACTTCGATGTCGATATATATATATCGATATATTCGATGTCGATATATATTTAAGAAAGAACTTTTGGCATATGGGCACTTTTCGTTTGTCAATGTGTACTGCGTATTTAATGCTTGTCTGTCTTTTCCCCTTAAAACCAGGCCTGAGCTTCACGGGTACAATAGAGCAAAATTTTAAAATGAGTGCGTCTTGTTTCTGTTTATTCGGATGGGCATAAAATGTTGTATGCAATTTGTTAATTTGCGCCATTGTTAATTTGCAACATTGAAGAGCTTTTGTATCGTGATCGCACACCCTTTCTGGCAAATTTTTTGATGAATACCTGAATTAAAAAATAAAAGTAAGTAAGTACTTTGAATGGAACACCATGATGCGTCAAAAAACAAGAATTGTAGACGTAGGAAAAAAGGCTGCCAGGCTAAAATGGGATTGGGCGGGTCACATCAGTCACATGCACACTGCCCGTTGGGCAAATGTCTCCATAAAGTGGATACCTAAAGATGGACGACGCCGCCGAGGTCGACCTGGGAAGAGGTGGCGTGACGATCTGGATGCCTACCGCAAGGACTGGTTCGAGGCGGCCCAAGAGAAAAATACCTGGAAGAATTTGGGGGAGGCCTTTGCCCAGCAGTGGGACAGCAAAGGCTAATAAAAAATAAACTAGGCAAGTGCGAGTTTGAATCGCGCACGAAGGGTTCCGTACCGTGCGTAGCAAAAAGAGCAAAAAAAAATCGGGTTTGTTATATGGGAGCCCCCCTTAAATACCTATTATATTTGGTTTCTAGTATTTGTTATAGTGGCAACAGAAATACATAATTTGTGAAAATTTAAACTGTCTAGCTATCGCGGTTCTTGAGATACAGCCTGGTGACAGACGGACAGACAGACAGCAAAGTCTTAGTACTAAACTCAAATTACTCAACTCAATTAGTCCCGTTTTTACACTTTGCGTACGGAACCCTAAAAAGTACTTTGATATAGAGAAGCAATTTGACGAAGTTCATCAACATGAACTAGTTTTATTAATTTTACAAAAACAAACTGATAACATAATTGAAATCATGATGCAGATCTTATACCTAATCTACGAGTAGGTACCTACAATTAGGAGTGTATTTTTTATTTAGTTAAGTTTATCTCAAATTCAGTAAAACAAAACAAAGTAACATGTAAGTACATTTGGTGGTATCAACATAAAATGTATTCGGTTAATTTTATAAAAGTGGGAACCCTACACAAGGTACTCACCTCTTTCTCTTAGCTATATTTACTTTCCAATTATCCAGATCCTTCTGGCGTTTTCGAGCAAAACGATTATTCACAGGTGATGGGTGACAATTCATGATTATAATTTCACAGAATCTATTTAACTTCAGCAGCATAAACGTTAATAAATCAATAAAATCACACAGCACAACATAAGTAAAACTCGTACGCCGCCATGACAGCTCGCAAACATAATGGACGTCTGTGATTGGTCGAGCAAGCAGTTTGCCATGTTTGATTTTGAATCTCTAAAGAAAGCCGAATTTGTTACTAATCTGTTACTTTTTAGTTGATTTTCTACGAAAGATAGCCATATCTGATATGGACATTAAAAATCGTTATAAAGTATTTAAAATTTTGAATGTTGCCGTATTCACAGTTCATTTTTACCAAAAACGTGAGTTAGCCGGATTTGATTCTATAGGACTCAATTATAACATAATAAAACAACATTGTAACAACGTTAGAACTAGTTTATTTTGTAATTTTTAGAACTTTACAATGGGAATCTATGCTAGAACTGGTCCTTTTCACAAGAAGGCCACTGGTTGTTGGAATAAAGCTGTGAAACTTTTTGGTCCCCGGAATGGTGACTGTAGACGCAAACCGGGGTTGCAAAACAATTCTCTGGCGTTCTATATCGTCTTTAGAGCAGAAGTAAATAGCTGTTTGTTTTAAAGATGATTTTGCCCAATCGTATAATCGTATTCGTGTTACAATTGCTTTACTTGAAGGTAACTGTAGACTTGCACGCGCAGCTAAACGTTTAAGATTCCCTCCTAGACCATCACATGGCCCCTTTCCGTGAGACGTTGCATGAAAATGCAACTCTGCATCTGCATTAAAATCCTCTTTGTAATAAAATAGATTCACAAAGTTGAATCTGTTTTTAAAATGTTGGGAAGCCCCGTCGGTTATGTATATAATTTTAGATCCAACTATTGATTTTTCTAAAAGATGCTTGTGTAGTTCCTTTTGGAAAGCATAGAAAGTGGCTGTGTCATGTTTCAAGTCGTCAGAAATCATAACAATGCTGCCGTGCTTTACTTCACTACCGTCTCTGTAATAAAAAACCGACGTTAGAAGCGTTGCCTGTTCGTTATTCCAATGAAACGATTGAGCAGCATCTTGGACAACAAAACTATAATTTTCTGCAAAATCACATTGTACGAGAATTTGACCTTCATTGATAGTCTCCTTAAGAGTTTTGAAATAAAGCGCCTGTTCCTCTGCAATATAAGCATGAGGTTTCAAAAGGTCCAAAGCGTCGCATAACTCATCTACAAAATTATCAGAAGATAAAAGTTGAGTAGATATCGTGAAGCGGTCTGTGCTAATCCATTTTTCATACTGCACGTCTGTCACTTGATTGTTATCAAATATGATTTTGAAATGTTCTCGAATTGCACTTGAGCCCGGACAAGAATTACAGCGTTCATTTGGCGGTGTCTTTGTAGTCATTAAATGACACGACAGTGTTGGATTGGGACACATCATCTTGCGTAGGCAATCCTTATATGATGAAAGTTGTATGGCAGTTCCAGCTGTAAGATTGGCAATGTCTCCTCCATTCGACATCAACTTTACGTTTTGATGATAAATACAAACACATACCATATGAGTTCCAGAGTCGCCTGCGAGGATACATTGTTTGGGTCTTAGTGTAAAAAACTTTGTTAAGCCTACTTTGACGTTCGGATATTCATTTTTAAACCTCTGATAAAGTTCATCAATGTTATAGAGCAGAAGCTGTTTTTGTATGTGCGTTCTTTTTCCATTATCTAATTTAAGGGATATAAAGTCTTTTTTACCGGGCATTATTCGGCTAATATCTTCTCGTAGATAAAAACCTTTCACCAAGTTTTCGGTCTCGGCTGGTAGTTTACGGCCACCGCGTGGGTTAGGAGATGACAAGATGCCGAACTGATTGACAAGTTGTTTTGCTTTTCTCGCTTGCCGCCTGGAGGTTCCAAATTCTTCCGCAAGTTTATTTTCACTCCATGACGTAGGTGCTATTGTTAAGATCATAGTCTTCATAGAAGTAGAAGTAGAGGGATCATTAAATTTCTCTTTTAGCTGCTTCAAAATCTCTTGGTTTTCTATGGTTGTGTCGGTTTGGGTTGAATTATGCTTAAACTTATCTTCAGGAATGAACGGCTCATCTTGAATGTTTTGCGAAGGTTCACTAGATGTTTGACTGCATTGCACAATGTCTTCATTAGCTACTGGAGGTATTTCATTTGAAAGTCGTTTTCTACAGGAGGCACATACGTAAATATCTCGTGAAAAGCCCCACTTTTGAGCTAAACACTCAGATATTTTCCTTAAATTTTTATATTTTCGATGAAGTACCAATCGAAATAGGTTAAAACATCGATCACCGTACGGCTATTTTAAAATGCGCACAAGTCACCGAGAGGTTAAAGCAACAGTAAAATACAAAACCGCGCCAAGCGGTCCGCTTGGCGTCATATTTCTATCTCTTTTTTGTACATAGCTTGTCTCTATTTGAAGACTAAGTATACTTCACGCTGCTAACAGATGGCGCTATTAGTCACGTTTCTCAAATAATAAAACTTTTCTACTAGTTCCTAAAAATGTTTTTGTTCTTTATAATATTTTAATAATTTATATTTGGGTTAAGTATTATTAATATATCGCTCACCTAGCAGTATAATGACACATCTACTTTTTTCTTATTTTACAGAAATGAGGGTCAAAGATTTTACAAATGTTTGAAACGAAGTTATGAGTTCATTTTACATTTTATCATGGATTTTATGGTTTTAGCAACTAGTATAGACCTTAATAGATACTTAGGGATAAAAAAATCCACTTCAGGTTTCCAGGAGTTTCTTCATAACAGTCAAAGAAGAAGAAGAGCCATGCAATTGTGCCGTTATACTTTTAACAACTTCCAAAAATGTCATATATGCCCCCAAAGCCATAATTATACAGGATGTGAAAACCAAGTAATAAAGACAATTGGTTAATAGAAAACAAAAGTTTTTATTTGAAATCAACATACATTAAAAAGTTTAACTAAAATATTATAATAACTTATATTTGGCTCGTGAATCGTTAAGAAATAGTCATTATCAAACTATAACAAATAAAATAAAGTATAATCACGTATCTTCTCTTAATTGTAAAGGTAGGTATCATCATACATTTTTAAAATTATGTTGAGATAGTTACTCTCCGTTCTAAAAACAAAAGCACTTAAAAGCTTGGCAGTTTAAGTTTAGATAAAGGTACGATAATGAAATCCAATGATTCAAATCAAGTTTTACCTTATCACTCCGAAATTTTAAGGAAGTTTACTTTACCTTTAAGTATCTTTATTAATTGACTAAGCAGTAAACAAAACTATAAGCATATTAGGCAATATTAGGAACTTGCACAGTAGGTTCATGATTTTGACCTTTACTATTCGACACGAACCTTTTTCTCTGTGAAGTTAAAAGCTGGATGAATTTGCGCATGAAAAACTCACTCTTGTAATGCGTGTGATGCATAACTTCGCCTTTTTGAACTCTGTTTAAATACCTACGTAAAGCTTTTAAACGCGAGTATTCCATGCGCAAATCTAACTCACAGCTAACTACAGAGAGACAAAGATCCTTGGCGAATAGTTACGTAGGTATACTTAGTTACGAAGATTTAAACCAGGTATCTTCTTTCATTATCTACTTAATAAGAATGAATATAATAAGAGTATGAATATAATTAATAAGAAAAGGTAGGTATTTCTTATACTTATTTAAAGATTATTATAAAATCCTTCATAATAGCTGGGCACTATTTTAGAACGAAGTAATTGTAACAAATCGTTTTTCTTTGAATCAGAAATATTCATTTTTGAATCATAAGCTGCTTTTAAATTAATTTGTGATGGTTGCTTTCTTTTTCGTCGTACCAATTTAAGCTTAGCCTGGACCCATTCTCCTTCAAAAGATGTTTTAAATTCATAGAATTCACTATTTTTAGTAAATTTAATCATTGTTAACTCAGTCAGTTTTATTATATGCGCGCACTCTGTGCGCGCGTGCACAAACATGGTGGACTAAGTAAACTTCGTCAATTTTAATTAAATAATATAGTCAAAACTAATTGAAAAGTGCTTATATCGCAGTGATATTGTTTTATTATGTGTAGTTTTGATAAAACGAAACTTTTCAAAGTGTAATTAGGCAAACTTAATGGATTTTAAATAACATTTGTGACTGTAAACAGAGTGTACGTTGTAAACGCGTAGGTATGCGCCACGTAATGCACGGCGCTTAATAAATTTTTCTCAGATCCTATTATTTACCTAACAACGAACAAACAATATATTTCCGTTCTGCTATAATCTCCAGTGTCATTATCATGAATAACTATTGTAATACATGCAATAAACATATTAAATCAGCGGAAAAAATTAAATGTTCTTATAGTAATTGTTCAAAGCAGTATCACTACAAATGCGCAGGTGTGACAGCCGATCTTAAGAAACATAATACATGGAAATGTTCGAGTTGCAAGAAAAAGTTAATAAAATTAAAAGATACCACAGAGGCTTCTATGAGCGGGTCGATTGGAAATGACATAAGTAATTCTATAACACTGAGACGCCATCAAACATCAGGCATGTCGCAGCTGTCTAGGGAGCCTGGTGAGTCTTTTGATCTACAAACTGAGATTTTAGAAGCTATTCGGAATGATTTACCTGGTATTATTAAGAGTTTTATATCGTGTGAGTTTACAAACTTAAAAGAGAGCCTAAACGAGATCGAAAAATCAATAAAATTTATCTCGGCTCAATACGATGATGCCTTGAAGACCATATCATCGATTAAAGAAGAAGTAAGCGGCATAAAGAAAGAGAATGCCTCACTGCGCAATAATTTGAAGGATTTACAAGGTACTGTAAACTCACTAGAACACGACTTAAATAAGCATGAACAATGGGCACGATTACAGAACCTTGAAATTCTAGGAATTCCTGAAAGTAGGAATGAGTGCTTACCAGAACTAGTACAAGAAATAGCTCTAAAGTCAGGCGTAAATATTAGTGACGGCGAGTTTGAATTCGTTCATCGTGTACAGCCAAGGAAATCATCAAGCGGGAAACCTCGCCCCATAGTAGTTCGTTTTAAGTCTCGACAAAAGAAAGACTCATTCTTATCGTCTGTGCGTAAGTGTAAGAAGACCTTGGAATACCCGGTCAGTCTAAATTTTTTTATGTTAATGAGCATTTAACACAACGCAATAAAAAACTACTTTTTTTATGCAAAGCAAGGGCCAAGGAATTCAATTATCTTTATGTATGGACAAAAAACTGTCATATCTACGTGAGAAAGAACGAAACATCTCCTCATATACTTATTACAAGCACAAGCGACCTCCTAAAGATAGTATAAGTAAAAAATGTAACATTAATTACCTTTGTTTGTATACAGTATTGATATTATATAAGTTACTTAATCAAAAACTAAATATTGTGTATGGCAAGCGGCTATCCATTATTGTAAGTTATAATTTTTATTCATATACACTATACTTATTATTTTACACAAAACACTCAACATATATTACACATAACACATTTAAACATAAAAATAGTTTACGGTTAATGAACAGCATTTTTATTTGTTATCATTGTCTGGTTTTTATTTATTTACAATGTTTTACTTATTTACTAAACGTAAATACAGTTTTTTCCAACCATGGAAAGTGTGGATCATAAAACGTTAACAGTATTATATCAAAACGCCAGGGGGCTACGTACAAAAACGCGCGAGTTTTACAATAATGTCATATGTTGTACTAGTGATATTATTACTATTACAGAATCTTGGCTTTGTGATGGTATTCTGGACTCGGAGCTTTGTCACTCAAGGTATGATGTGTTTCGCCATGATCGTGGCGATGACAGAAGAGGCGGAGGAATATTAATATTGTGTTCTAACGTGTTGAATGCGCGACATCGCCCTGAGTGGACTCAAGATGACCTTGAATGTCTATGGTTAACTATTGACCGCAAAACCTTAAAATGTATGTATAACATCCACTTGGCAACTATTTATATACCCCCCGATGGAATGTTACCTTCGCGTATTAATATATTTACAGATATGTTAAAGAATGTCGTTTTTAGTAATCCGGGCGACGTGTTTATAATTCTTGGAGATTTTAATCTTCCATGCATACGCTGGACTTCTGAAGGGCCAGTTATATTAAAAAAGGGTACAACTGAAGTTCAGGACTGTGCCGTTAATTTATTAAATATAGCTAATTTTTTAGGTTTGAAACAATATAACTCAGAGCTAAACTCTAGCGGTAACACACTTGATCTTATTTTTTGTAATTTTGAGGTCGAGGTCACTAGGTCTTTAAATATTATGGTCGCGGAGGATGAATATCATCCCACTTTATCTATTGACATTACAGATATAATAGTTCCCTTACTTAATCCTAAAGTAAAGTATAAATATTTATACAACATGGCGGATTATGAAATTATACGTGAAAATTTAAGATCTTTTGATTGGTCATTCATATTAAGTATAGCATCATTAGATGAAGCTTTGGCTAAATTTTATGAAATTCTTTATGATTTAATCGATAAATATGTACCTAAAGTAGTTATACATGATAAAAATATATATCCTATATGGTACAATAGGTCTTTAATTCATATTATTAATGATAAACGTAAAGCACACGCTGACTGGAAAAAATATGGTAACATTATTGATTATGAAATATTTTCACTTTTAAGGAGACGTTTTAAAATCTTAGAAAATGAACTATTTCAAAAGTACATACAAAATACCGAAAATCTTATCAAAATTAATCCTAAACATTTAAATAATTATATTAAAGATAAACGTAAAATTAAATGCAATTACCCTAGCGCTTTGGTTTATCAAAATAATATTCATTGTAGTGAAGATGATATATGCAGAGCTTTTGCAAGTTACTTTGAATGTATGTTTCAGCTACCACTAAGTCAATATCCGTTGTGGAGCTTGGACTCTTCAGAATCATCAGAAATTACGTCGAGCTTAAGTGTTGATACTGAGATGGTGCTTAAATACCTTACCAGCTTAGACGTCAGTAAAGGTCCCGGTAGTGACAACATACCAGCTTTATTTGTCGTAAAGTGTGCTGATGCTCTCGCAGAGCCGTTATGTCTTATCTATAATAGATCTTTTATGCAAGGTTATGTCCCAGCAATATGGAAAGAAGCACATATTATACCCATACACAAAAAAGGGCTGAAGACGAAAATCGAAAACTACAGACCTATTTCTATACTTAATACTTTTAGTAAATTACAAGAACGTATTGTATATAATTATATGTATCCACATATTTCAAAATTTATACCTCAAGAACAACATGGGTTCATGAAACGTCGTTCCACTCTTACTAATCTATCCGTTTTTACTGGTGATATTTTACGAAGCATGGGCGATCGCATCCAAGTGGATGTTATATACACGGATTTTGAGAAAGCCTTTGATCGTGTAGATCATATAATACTACTTCAAAAACTCTTAGCCCTTGGTATCAGCGGTGATCTTCATCGTTGGTTTGAATCATACATATCGAATAGATCTCAAGCTGTTGTAGTCGGTAGTGGTAAATCTAATCTTATTAGGGTCTCATCTGGCGTTCCTCAGGGGTCATTACTAGGTCCGCTCTTGTATGCTCTTTATATATATGACATGGGTAAATGTATTAAACACTCTAAATTTCTTTTATATGCTGATGATGCGAAAATTTACAAAACTATAAACTCACCTGATGATTGCATTTTGCTTCAAAACGATTTAAATAGACTCTCACATTATCTTAAAGCAAATCGTATAACAGTAAACGTTGATAAATGTACTCACATCTCTTTTACGCGAAATAAAAATGTAATCAAACCAACATACAATATTAGTAACACATCAATAAAATCAGCAACTTCCATTAAAGACCTTGGCGTGACATTGGATAGTAAATTAACATTTTCTGAACACATAGACTTAATCAGAGACAAAGCATATCAAAATCTTGGGTTTGTTTTACGTGTCTCGAAACCTTTTTCAGACATTAATACTTTCAAAACGCTTTATTTTTACTATGTTCGGAGCGTATTAGAGTATTGCAGTCCCATCTGGAATCCTCAATACGTAACGTACATTGAGACAATTGAAAAGATTCAGAGGAAATTTATACGCTATCTTAACTATCGTACTAAAGAACCTAAAACAGACTATATTGCATCTTGCTTACATTATAAAATGACCACTTTAGAAAGACGTAGAACTATGACCGACATGATGCTGTTGTATGACATTTGTAATGGAAACATAGATAATCCTTATCTTATTACAGAAACCTTGCAATTGTGTACCCCTCAAAGGCGCACAAGGCACACTAATTTATTTCATGTACCTTGTCATCGTTCTAACTACAGTAGAAACTCAGTAACTCATAGACTGCCTCAACAGTATAATAAATATTTCTGTAATGTTGATCCATTTAGTAATTCTAGAGGAAGATTTAAGAAAGCTATCATTAACGAACTTAATAAATAACACACGCACATATGTGCGCACACACAACACACACGAACACACACGAACATACACAAACACACACGAACACACACACACGCACACGCACCCGCAGCCGCACCATTAGTCATAAATAATGAATGGCCGTATCATCATTGTTAGTGTTTTTTTTTATTATTATTTTTTTCTCATTTTTTGTTTTGCTCCTTATATAAATGCATGGTTTTTTTTTGTTTTGCCTTTTCTTAAATAAATGTAAACTTAGTCTACCTTTCTATATTGCCTAAATAATGTAAATCCGTAATTGGCTTATGTAAGGTTTTAGTTTTGTACTTACAATTTTTTTTGTATGTAGCTGTGGATTTTGTTTGAATAAATAAATAAATACAGTGGAGCCTCGGTAATCCGACAAACAGTTTGCAGGACAGTGTCGGATTAGCGAATTTGTCGGATTATTGAGTACTGCCCTAGACCCCCTATAGTCCGGATTTTTTTACAAAAGAGTACCTTGTAATCCGACAGATCCAATGATAAGATTCTACATGTTATATGTATATATGTATGTACTCTGAAGTTAAAATTATACTTCACTAGCTGCCCGGACAGACTTCGTTCTGTCAATAGTAAATTTTTTTTTGTATTAACACCTTCCGTGGGCCTTAAGGAACATACAAAAAAATAAATTAGCCGAGCCATTCTCGAGTTATGCGCTTAACAACATTCATTTTTATTTATATAGATAGCTTCCGCCCGCAGCTTCGCCCGTGTGGATTTCGGACTTCAAAAATGGAGGAGGTTCTCAATTCGTAGGGATGTTTTTTAATATATGGTGCGTATGCAGGTGGTCCCATTGTCCAGTTAGGATCTGATGATGGGATCCTGGTGAAATCGCAGGAACTTCTTAAATATTATAGGCAAACCTATGACGATTTTGGTATTTTTATGTGCAACTTGTTTGTCTGTTTTTAAAAATACGATGATTAGGTATATCATATCATCGTCGAAACTCCCCAATAATGACTATGTTTCCCTATTACTTCGAGGCCAGTGTATCGACTTGGATAATTCTTATTATGTTTGAAAGAGTAAACATTGCAGCTGGTCCTATAGTAACCAGGTCAGGATGTGGTGATGGGAGCCTAGAGTAATTGAAATAACTCCTCGCATATTATAGACACATCCAGTGTTTTAGGTATAGATAAAGAAGTATATGTGATGACAAAGATATCTACACATTGTTGATGATGAAGCTGTAAGGTAGGCACCGGATATTTAAAAGTGAATACTTTTTACTTGAAACGTTGTGTATAAGGAATATTTCTATTGAAATATTTCCTTATACACAACGTTCATTACTTCTGACGGATTGTTAGTAAACACAAACAGATTATTTTTACATGTCACCCTTGAAAGGGCAACATATAACTGGCCGTGAGAAAAACATTGATCAGTTAAATCTATTCCTGCAACTTTTAAAGTTTGGCCTTGTGCCTTATTAATAGTAATACCAAAGGCTAATTTGATTGGAAATTGCAGTCTTTTGAATTGGAAGGGTAATTCGGAGGGAATCATCGGTATTCTGGGAATTAAAACAGTATCACCAGTACCACAGCCAGTTAAAATAGTGCATTCGATTAGAAAGTTTTTTAATTTAACTATTTTGAGTCTCGTGCCATTACACAATTTTGGGGGATTTAAATTTCTAAGTAATATCACTGGTGAACCCACTTTTAATATTAACTTGTGTGGAGGAATTCCGGGAGGAACTAAAGAATTCAAAAATTCAGTTGGATAATGTACTGCCTCTGCGGTATCCAAAACTGTATCAACTGAATAGTATATCTGTGATGGTGCTTCAAACTTGGAAATAATTAAATGATTAATTTTATCAACCTGTTCATTAGTAGGTGCCAATATAGCCCTTTCCTTAAACCAACATAAAGTCTTTGTAGTTATATTAGTAATATCGGGATATACGGTCTCAACCAATTCTTCCACATTTTGAACCAAAGCACATAGGTTACTAAGATTGATTTTAACATTTCCGGATTGAAATGCACCATTACCTATTTGAAGTAAGTTATTTGAAAATTGTTTATTGTCTTCACTGGAGGACAAAATTCTCATATTTGTATTAAGTTCACATTTTGTAATATGTGGCCAAAGATAAGATCTTTTGAGTGATGCATTGACTTCGTCAGCTCTAGTCCCCCTTGCTATGACTGGCAAAATTTGACGAAAGTCTCCAGAAAACAAAACGGTGCAGCCACCCATTGGGCAATTTCTGTTGCGTAAATCGCGCATTGTCCTGTCTAATGCCTCAACTGATGCTTTATGGGACATGGAAGCTTCGTCCCAAATAATCAAGCTACAATCCTGCATACCTGTTTTACTCTGTTTTGAGATGTTACAAACGCTAGAGACGTCGTCACTGCAAATTTTTAAAGGTAGTTTGAATTTGGAATGTGCAGTTCGCCCGCCTTTCAAAAGTGTGGCTGCAATACCGGACGACGCCACGGCAAGAGCAATTTTTCTGTCAGACCTTACTTTTGCTAATAATAAATTAATTATAAATGTTTTACCCGTGCCCCCGGGTGCATCTAGAAAGAACATTTTCCCTTCATTACTATTAACTGATGACAATATTTGGTCGTAAACAATTTTTTGTTCTGGATTTAAGCGATGTTCATCTTGAATTGTCTGTAAGAGTTGGGTGTAATCATAGTCAGTCTCTCGTAAATCCTCGATGTTGTTCATTGCATAAAGATTTGAATTTAACGGCAAGTTAAAACCAAAATCTTTTATACTTTTACCTGATAGAGATTCGACCTCTTTATTTAATTCATTTAAAGCTTCATCAAAAATATTTTGGTCGTACTCTACATCATCTGATGACAGTTCTTGTCGTCTGCGTTGCATTATATCTTCGGACATACTTTCCTGATAGTTTTGCCAAAGAAGATGCGGGTCCGTGATTTGGCAGAACGATATCATAATGGCAAAAAGGCACCTAAGTGATTTTGGTGAACAGCATATGGCTGCTTCAGAGAGCGTACTCTCCCAGTGACTGTCATCTTCGAGGAGGCCCATAGCTTTGCAAGCCCCTTGGAATGTGTCGTAAGTTACACCTTCAAAAGTGCGGAGACTTCTAAACGAAGTAGGGCCTTTTATAACGTGGAGTAACAACCGCAAATGAAAACATTCTGCATTATTAGGGTGTACCACGTACACCCTTCCAAGAGCATCTGTTTTTCTCACGCCAGGGTACCCGAGAACTACCGCCCCCTGCTTTCGTCGTTGGAATTTTTTCGTATTTTGATTCCAGGTATAATAGGCAGGCACCTTGTCGTAGGTCAGAGTTTTTGCGAAGTCGTCCTCTGCACATAGTTTGAAAAACGCTGTTAAAGTAGTATCTCTTGGATTATTCACAATGTCATTTACATTATTTTCAGTGAAATACACCCGCTGTCCGTTTTCTAAATGAACAGCGAGGTGTGTGACAGTTGGTGCTCTTTCATGAATATTGAAGGACATAATCCGCCATAGTGCTTCAGAACTACAAATGTAGCGGCCAGATTGAAATTGTTCTACTTCATTTGTAGAATGTAAACTAAACGTAGCCTGGTCACTTCCTTTATTGATGTATTTAGTGACATATTTTATTGATTTCACGGAACTGCAAAGTTCTACATTAACATGCGCCTCGAAAATTTTTAATAATAGTTTATTGTAAGGCACTACCCATCTGTTATCAATTTCGTAATTACGAATAGCAGCCTTGCGTCCTCCTTCCTCTGGTGATAATCTTCTATACTTTGGATAGCCATCATCACCAGTTGAAGTTTGACTCTGATATGGTTTTGGGAATTTTTTTGAACATTTTCCCTCATGCATGCATGGCGAGTTAGGGTTTAAAGCTCCACAGGGTCCGTGAATCATGTTCCTTACCACGATGTCATACAATGTTGGGTCTTCGTCTTGGTCTGGTAATTCTGCCGTTATAACTGTGTCAATTTGGTCGGGCCTGATTTTATTTGTCAGCCACAAAAGCAAATGTATATGTGGCAGCCCACGTTTTTGCCACTCCACCGTATACATGTGACAGCGTGTCGGACCAAATACGTTTACCTTATTTATTAAGTGTAATAGTTTTTGTACTTTTAAATGAAACACACGATTTAAAATGTCATATCGGTCTTGAGGTGTTGCGGTGGAATGCAGATTATCTTTTATTTCTTTCCAATTAGGATTACAGGTTATAGTAATGAAGAGGTCAGGTTTCCCGTAATTCCTGACATAGGTCATGGCATCTTGAGTTTTTTCGTGTAAGTATCTTGGTCCGCCAGTAAAAGATGACGGTAATATTACCAGCTGCCCAATATTGTTTGTCGTGTGTTCATTAGAATGTAAAGCATCCTGTAAGTGTATATAATTTTCTGCGCGTAATTGTGTTTGGTTATTTCGTATAAAAGCTAAACGTTCTGATTCTAGTTTAGCATACTGATCTACAACATATTGATTCAGTAACATTCCGTACCTTAGTAAAACATTATAATGATTATGGCGTTCCATTAAACGATAGCAATAATAATTCATACATGAAACTTTCTTCTGTACTCTGTCTCCTGTAGAAGGATTAACTTGGGGAATATCAATTGTGTATCCGTCTTCACCTCGACAAAACATCAATGGATATTGAAGACTGTCATATGAACGATGTAGTTCGGAAATTTTGTGGAGATTTTCGTCGCGGCTTCGAAGAACGATATCCCTTTTGTCAAATTGTTGTCCAGCAATGACAACTGCTACTTCACTGGTAGAAGGAGCATTATACCGTCCACGGTGTTCACCGTCAGGTACCCTGCTGGCATGAATTACTACATTGTAATCTGGGACATCGAGAGAGATACTTTCCATTGCAGTTTTAAAAGATTGTACGTATCTATTATGCAAATGCAACATGTTTTGCAATGACCTGACTATAGAGTTATCAAGTGGTGTTCTTGAATTACTATTACTAATATTACATCGAGTCGTTGCTTGAACTTCAGGATCGGAAATAAAATATATCTGCAAAAACTTATGGTCGTCAGGAACTTGTGGAAGAAGACTACCTGCAAGGTGGTAAACCTGGCACTGGACTTTAAATGTTGGCATGAAGCCGTTTTCAACTACTCGTTGACTTTTGAATGAAGTCATCTGGAACGCATTATTATACCGCCGAATATGACGCATAAATTCTGTATGCTTTGGATGACTTTCATCAAGTAGAGAATTTAAAGGTTCAGGTGGAGCACATATTTCATCTAATTTTACCTTACCATTTGAACAACATAAACCTTTTGACTCATCTTTCCATCTCAGTGCCGAACAGTATTGACAAACAATGGAAGGAGAACCTATACAAACGATACGATAATTTTGATAATCAATTGTTGTACTGTAATTCATTGCCGAGTACTCTTTATTGGACCATCTATTATTATTTTGTGTTCCATTAGTTGGCATATTATTCCTAAAATTTATGTGCCGAATACGATCGTTTTGTAGTCGGAGTTGTCTTCTCTCAGATGTTTCAGTTTCCATTAAAGCATTGTGTCTATCACGATCTAAAGATAAACGTAGGTTACGTTCAGCAGAGGATTCGCGTAGCCTCTGAGAAACATGTCTTTCGCGATCCAACGACAAACGTAAATCACGTTCCGCCGAGGATTCGCGCAGTCTTTGCGAAACATACCTTTCACGGTCCAACGACAAACGTACGTTACGTTCAGCAGAGGATTCGCGCAGTCTTTGTGAAACATGTCTTTCACGGTCCAACGACAAACGTACGTTACGTTCAGCAGAGGATTCACGCAGTCTTTGTGAAACATGTCTTTCACGATCTAACGACAAACGTACATCACGTTCCGCCGAGGATTCGCGCAGTCTTTGCGAAACATACCTTTCACGATCCAACGACAAACGTACGTTACGTTCAGCAGAGGATTCGCGCAGTCTTTGTGAAACATGTCTTTCACGATCCAACGACAAACGTGCGTTACGTTCCGCAGAAGACTCTCGCAGTCTTTGCGAAATATGTCTTTCACGGTCCAATGATAAACGCAGTTCTCTCTCTTCATTATTTTCACTATTCCGATTCAAACGAAGTCTTTTAGCAGCAGACGTACTGCGTCCTATATTTGGCCTTCTTCTCGGCATGATTATCTACCTAAGTTTAATAAGAAATTGAATAAAGAGGTACTTAATAGAAACAGTTTAATGAATCTAAATAATATTTATTTACAACAACTTCCCTACAACACCCAAGTAACAAAAAAGTAATATACATGAACTTAAATAGACTCACGAAAATTATTTACAAAAATCTATTTATAACAACTAAGTACGGAAAAGTAAAGTACTTGGTTATTTAAAAAGTAACGAAAGAACCAAACGAAAAGAAGAAAGTAAACTGAAAGGTTTCTTACACCACCTACTAAGTATGAAAATAATTAATTAAGGAATATACATGAACTTAAATAGGCTCACGAAAATTATTTACAAAAATCTATTTATAGCAACCAAGTACGGAAAAGTAAGGTACTTGGTTATTTAAAAAGTAACGAAATAACCAAACGAAAAGAAGAAAGTAAACTGAAAGGTTTCTTACACCACCTACTAAGTATGAAAATAATTAATTAAAACTAACAATAGCATAATAATAGGAACCAATAGCAAGATTTAATGCCGAACAGCAATACCCGTAGTAAGCCGATGACAGTCGATATACGCAATGCGTTCAGTTGCTACCAAAGTCTGTTTACTATGGCGGATCGCGCGCTACATCGCCCGGTTTATATAGCTTGAGCAGGCGGTCGAGCGATGCGGGGCAGAGGGGATGGACTCGCCGTAGGCATCTCAATGCTCGCCAAGCATTAAAAATGTTTCGCTACTAATTACTTCTAACAACGATATCTCAAAAACTATTCATCTGATTGATTTAGTGTAAAGAGCAATTTTAATCTGCATTAAATGACTAAGCTAACTAAAATATTCATTTGGATAAGGATTAATACCGAACTAAAGAAAATAACTTTGAAAATAACGTAATGTTTTTAATTAAAAATGTTAACATAAAAGTGGTTATTGTAAGTCAACCGTAAGAGATAGAGATATGCTATCGCGGACTTTTTTGTAGCATTTTTATAGATTTTGAATTCTCTAGTACATTACTTAACTGTATCTTTGCTAGTTTACGCGGCGTTCGCGTGGAAAGTTCCCATTTGGCGAGATTTTTTGCGACCTCTTCAACATTTGTCGCCGTATTTCAGCTAATTTACATAAAAGCATAATAAATTATATACCTAAACCTTCCTCAAGAATTACTCTTTCTATTGTTGAAAACCGTATAAAAATCCGTTCAGTAGTTTTCGAGTTTATCGCGTTCAGACAGACAGGAGGACAGACAGGAGGACAGAAAGACGCGGCCGGGGGACTTATTTTTATAATAAGTATAGATTATGTATGTCCAATTTAGTAAATTAAACAATACAATAGAGAGACGTTTTATTATAAAATTAATGTTAGTAATGCTATATAATTCACAAAAAATAAGCAATAACTTTACATTAGGAAATACAAATTGTGTACAAACAAATGTACATACTAAAATAATCAAAAATTATAAGTCAATCAATTTAACACGCATGAAAATATTCATCAATTTTTTTTTGTTTAACGTTGTTGAAACGCGAGATTAAAGCTTTGTCCCTCAGTCTTCTTAAAAGTAGAAGTTCGTTGTAGGATGCACCATTTGCTTCAGCCCATTCCAAACCCAGCTCAAAGGCGTTAATCGCGTCTTCTGTTGTCACTTGTGGAGTAGTTGCAATTACTTCGTCATCATCTTCCTCATTTATTGTTTTATAACTAGAAATCTCTTTTATAATCTCTTCGTCAGACATTTCATGAAAAATATTTTCCTCTTTATCCATTCCACGGAACCAGGTTTCCAAATCATTTGAACTTATCTGTGTTTCAGAAGCAATTTGCTCTATTACTTCTGAAGGTACACTGATTTGTGGATCGTTGGTAGGAGTGGCAACTATATCTGGCCATAACTTTTTCCAAGACGATGTAATAGTTGATGAAGGTAATGCATTCCACGATTGACAAAGAGCAAAAACCAAGTCCTTCATATTAAATTCTTTTAATGTTTTTTCTATTGCTTGGTCTTTTGATACGGCTTTCAGAAGTAGGTTTCTCTTATAATCTTGCTTTACAAACTGAATGATATGCTGATCCATGGGTTGAATCAGTGCAGTACAGTTTGGCGGAAGAAACATCGCAGTAATGCATTTATCCTTAGTTGTCAGTTCTTCTTCAGACGGATGACCAGGAGCGTTATCAAGAAGCAATAACGCTTTTTGAGGGAAATTATGATTTTTTAGCCATTTTCTAACTTCTGGTACGAAGCATTCATCAAACCACTTTTTGAAAAGATCTCTTGTCATCCACGCACTTTTTTGCCCATAATAGTGTACAGGTAAATCAATGTTTTTGAATGCACGTGGTTTATTAGATTTTCCAACGACCACCATTTTCAGCGTGTGTGTACCCGCAGCGTTAGCACATGGTAGTATGGTTACACGTTCTTTACTTACTTTTCGTCCAGGTACGGATTTTTCGTTATGGGAAACAAAAGTTTTGTTAGGCAACACACGCCAAAAAAGCCCTGATTCGTCTGCATTATACACCTGTGACGGGTTAAGATTTAAATCTTTCACCCTTTGCAAAAATCTTAATTTAAATGGTTCTATGCAGGTGGCATCATTAGAAAGTTTCTCTCCTGTAATAGTCATTAAACGTATGCCATGACGACTTTTGAAACGTTCTAGCCATCCCCTGCTAGCCACAAAATCATCTTTTTTTATTATTTCCTTATAAAATATTTAGCTTTCATAGCCAACATAGGTCCCGAAATGGGCGTATGCCTATTTCTTTCCTGAAGAAACCACATGTATAAAGCTTCTTCCACTACTGGTTGTTCAGATTTTTTGAGTGTCTGTCTCTTGCCAGGCCCACAGTCCGTAGTTGACACGAACTGTTTAATCTTCTCGTGGTTTTTTTAATGTCATAAATTGTAGATCGGCCTACGCCGTATTCACTTGCTAAACTATTAAAAGATTCGTTACGATTTAGGCGGTCTAAAATATCACATTTTTCTTTAATTGTCAGTGTTTTGTGCTTTCGCTTCTGAGCTTGTGACGACATTACTAGGTACGAATACGTAATACACAATGAATAAACACTAAACAATGAACACACGCTAGACCGCACCGCTATCTTCATCACATGTACATAGTCAAATTCAAACTGAGCAATCAAAAACAAAACAATACTCTACGCGTCGAGCACAATCGTGGTGGTGCGTACAAGTTATAACTTGTTCAATCATGCATTAGCGGAGATGGTTAAAAAAATATTCGATTTATAATAAATAATAGACCATGTCGGATTACAGGGGGTGCCGGGTAAGCCAGGGGCCGGATTATCGGGGCTCCACTGTAAATAAATATCTCCATTAATGTCTTTCTGGTAATTAATGGCTTGCTCTTCAGTCAGTGTTTTCAAGTTATAAAAGTTACTGAAATGCATCTCATGAACAATGAAAGGGTTTCCTCTTTTTTTAGCATCTCGTATCAAATTAACATATTGATCTGGTACGTAGATGGGTCCAGACTTTTTAGCCCTTTTTATTGATTTTTCAATCAGAGAATGGGCATTATCACCTTCATTTTGACTATGGCCGCTGATTAAAAACTTATGGCACACAGAATTTATAGCTAAATTTTCGACAGCATAATAATACATGCTGAACACATATCTAAAAATAAAAACGTATCCATTAGAAATTTTAATAAAGTTAATAATTATATCAAAATATTCACCGTCAAAAATTTGATACGTACCGATTTTTTTGTTGGCCACAACAATTATCACTGTAGAAAATAACATCAGAATTTGGATGCTCTTCAGCAACTTTCTCTAGAAACTTGTAGACGCAAGTTCCTATTTCTGTAGAACCTTTAGAACCCAAGCCCTCATGCCAAAAGTAACTTGTTTCTAAAAGTAACTTGTCAACTACTTGTAGTTGAATCCGTTTTAATATTTGTTATCTGAAATAAAGTTAAAATTATTTATAGTAGGTAATATTAAACATTCAAGAGTTAAATACGATACTAATAGTCGTCTTACAGTAAAATTGTAGCAATTCAATTTGGATTTGTAGTAAAACGCTGATGAGTTGCCGATTGGCACAGGTAACTGTGCTTGTAAGTCATATATGGCCACTATGACTTTGCTTTGTGGTTCTCGAGAGAGTGCAATATCTGCTGCTTTTTCTGTACGACTTAACACCTTTTCTCCTTTTCATCCATCCACTTTCAGATCTTCCAAGAATCCATGTCGGAGGCATACTTTCAATGAGGGTCTTAGGCGGTCTAACATAGGGGAATATGACCAAAGGTGGACATATTTTACCATCTGCCGAAAATACAATTAAGACGCTGATGTTCTCTTTATCATTGGTTTTCTTAATTATGTACAGGTTCTTATAGCCTCTTGGTCCTAAAACTTTTCCACTTTTTGGGCAAAGTGAAAACCCTGTCTCGTCTCCATTAAATATCCTTGAAGGATCATCAAATACATCTAGCGCGTCAATGGATTTCATATATTCTTTTAGGTCCTTAAACCAGAACCTGACGCGATTCTCCGTTACTGCTGCTCGTGCATTATTTATTCCCTCCGGCTCTCTAACATTTACATCGGGATGACGTCTTAAAAAAGCTTGATACCATGTGTCTCCAGGAACACCATCCTTGAATGGATTTTTAATGTTCGTATCTCGTACTATATTAGCAACGCTTTCGAGTAACTCTTTTTTATTTATTGGAAAGCCACATTTAGCCATGTCCAGTACCCAAGTTTTTAATTTTTCTTCTGCCTCACGACCTAAAATAGGGTCAGGGCCAACTTTTGGTTTCTCATTATTGGCAACTTTGCCTGAAATACGATCATGTACTGTTGTTTTTGGTACGCCATATATCCGACAGGCTTCCTTAATACCCATGGTTTTGTTTTTTCTTCAAGAGCTTTCTTTAAACTGTCTTCACTATATGTAAAAAGTCGCCTATTTGTTATTTTTCTTGATGTCCCCACCTGTAAATGTTATTTATTACCAATCAGATTTAACAAATAAAAAGATGATAAATAAAATAATTTGTTAGTATAGCGTGTGCATTTTACAAACCAATTTTTCGTTTTTCTTTTTTTGTTTAGTGTTATTTTGTGGAGCCATCTGCAATAATAAAAAAAACAAATGCAAACCAAGCACCGTAACCGTCAGTACTGCGATGCTATTAAAAGGCATTCCAAATTAAATGTATTTAAATACAGGCAAAAAACAACACAAAATTGGTTAATTTTCAATTAACTTGTATAATCGGATATACTAAAATACGTCATATATATGTGGTCGGAAATAAAGTGATTGTCGAACACACTTTTTATGCTTGTTAATTTGTGAGCGAGAAATAGTTAGTTTTCGACCACTACAAATATAGATATTTAAATGTATTAGCCACAGAGTCGTAATAAAGTCAGTTTACGACCACCAAATTCAGCTGATTTGTGTATGAAATTGATTCAATGGTCGTCAAGTAGTCTATTCTCGACCATCGTGTTATCGCCATTGAAATATGATACGTTTTAAAATCCCTACTCATAATTTGCTGGTCGTAATCTGACCCCTAATAGCACTATATATTATTGAACCGTGAGGGACAAAAGTATATTACTCTTCACTATGAAATGGAACAAAAAAGTGAAAACAAGATAAGAATAAAACTGCTAGTTCCCGACCAGGTGGTCGTCAACCAAAGAAATCGTCTTTTTAGTCATTTAGTTTAAAAACCACCCATTATTTCAATAAAATACAAATAAATATGGAGAAAATATGATTTATAGTAAAAAACAAAAGCATTCTGAATACCCAAGCATAACTTCCAAGTGTTAGTTTTAATAAAATCATATGCTACTTACGATTGACAAAATCAGTCCTTACTAATTTTAGTGTTAGTTAAACGGCACGTCCGCACAGTCTCTGGTGTTTAAAATCACTGAAGGTCATATAGTTAACGTAGACCAACGACAGGTTGTGCGGGGGGAGTGCATAAATCGAACTTTCGTTCAAAAACAAAACAAACTCTTGCCGCGCGATTTCGCTGTTTTACTTAAATTACTGAGAAACGGTCGGCAAGTAGCGGTGGTCGTCGAACTAGCATATTCAGCCTATGGTGAGTTGGAGTGTCAGTAAAATTTTGAAATTCGGCAAACTCTCTTTGTCATTGGGTACTGTGAGAGAAGTATGAAAAAACATCTTTGACAAACAACTATAGAACGAGGTAATTTTTTCATGCATAATTCACTAAAAGGTTTGTTGAGTAGCAAATACATTTGAAAAAAAATGCAGTTTGGGTTAACTTCCCTTGTACGTGCATTGCCGTACTTACGATAATAAATTTAATATTTTAGGCGCTGGGAAACCAAAATGGCACTAACCTGCAACTGCAATCTTACTCGTAAATCCAGTGCGTGTCACTTTTTTCTTATTGCTGTTCCCGGGAACTGATACATATTTTGTTTTCCTCTTGTTTAGATTACTTTGAATGTAGTATACTGTATAACTCTTGAATAATTAAGTAGTTTTAAATGCGATTTCAAAACTTGCGGCAGTTATGCACACGACGACAGAGCGAAAAAATTACTGTGCGTGTTGCCAGTTTTTAAAACGGCTATTTTGTGCGGGGTTCTCGGCTTTAGATAAAACTCAAACATCCATAATTTTAGATACCACGCTATTCCTTTCGCCGAACATAGCATTCGTGGTATCAGCAGCGAACCCTATTAAATTTATAGTGGCAGGACCTGCACCTGGACTGTTTCTCTTCGAGAATTGGCATGTGCCTTCTATGTAGAAGTAATACTGGTTTCTGTTTGTACGAATTCTGGGTTTTAATCGTCTTCGTCGGAAGATATGACGTCCCCAATGTCGGAATCTTCTAACAAATTGCTGATGTCTTCATTGTCTAGTGCTGCGTAAAAAATCTCAATTTACCAAAATGTTCTGTCCAATGTGATTTTTTAATCACATAATATTATTTACGTTTCTTAAAAATATAATCATCTTTGAAATTTAAAAATAATTATAAAAGTCATTTAATTGTTTATTTAACTTGAATCCTGCTTATTTTTATTAAAAAAAAACTACTGATATAAGTGATAGTAATTGATTAAACATACCTCTTGTCCAAATAGTAAAACAAAAATCTAAGATACTTATTATATTCTATAAAAACGAATATGGACAACATAAACATATTTTTTTAAATCTCATTCTTTAAAATAATAGACTTTAAAGACTGGAATTATATATTTTTTTAAATATAATCTTTTGAAATTTTAACAAATTTTAACAATTCTTAGGCATGTCGTTAGGTAACTATAAAATAAAAGTTCTTAAAAAACGAAAATAAAACTATAAAGAAAATATATATTAGACAAAACATTACAAAATGCTTATAAATTTTCCTATGGAATCTTATTAACAATATTTATTCTTTAAAATCTCGTTATGGCAATTGCACATTAAAAGTTCTAAAAACAAAATAAAGGGTACCTTTAAGGCACTAACAAAAGCCTCATAATTCTTATACTTATAGTATGTTACAGAAAGTTGGGCTCATATTTAAAGGTGTACTTTAGCATCAATATTACAACAAGTATTGTAAGATTCAGCAGATTTCTTTTAGCGATTTCAGCTTTGGTTGCAATAAAGTAGTTCAGTTTGATGGTCCAAGCTATACCATTAAATATGACTACGCTTTTCTGTAATCTGTATAATTATAAGAAAATACTCCAATCAGTATTTAGAGAAAACAAAACAATTTATCTTATGAATAAACTCTTACAGTGTTCATTATGGCATGGCAATATCAAAATAAAAACAACTAGATTCTAATAAGAATAGACAGTATTAATCTAGTTCTAGCAGAAATAAATTTCATCTTCTTGGTCATGCAACTTATACTCTTCTGGCTTATCAGATATTTTAAAGATTTTTATAATCTTGACTAGCAACTGTTTTGGTACAGTATCTCTGTCAATTTTCTTTGGGTTTTTAAATTTTAGCTCGCCTTTACTACGTGTTGTAGTGTAAAATGCGGTATCATAGGTTTGATTATTACAAGCTGTCACCACACCAACGTAGTATTTCCATACGATGTTCTTAGTGTAATAACGGACCAAAACTTTATCGTTCATGGTATAATCGAAAGCCACCTGTTCGCAGATTGATGGACTTGATATATGATCTGGTGATACAGATTTACTTATGTTACTATTAATGACACTAGAGCTTTTAGATATTGGAAGACTATCAGGACAAGGAGGAAGCGCCTGTGTATCGACAAGTTGACTAGGATCAATAATAGTGAGCAGTGAAGTTTTCCGTGAGTTGTTAGATTTATCTTCAGTCGAATCATTTCTAGCTGTTGCATTAAGCTTGTTGAATTAAGGATATTTACACGATGAAGTAAATGGACCTGTAAAGCCTCTGATAAGTGTTTCATAAGATTCGTCAAGTTTAAATTCATAATTTGTTGATCCGAACGCTTGATAGACGTTATCAGGCAATACGTCGTCTGGCATTTGGTCCTGGAGTGGCAGGCGTGTAAATAGCCGTGCCCTCTTTGCGGTATGGGAACAAAATTACGGCCCAGCGCGTGGATACGCGTGGACCCAACACTGTCCTTAGAATATCTTTAAAAACGTATTTGGCGGTTGATGTAATAGCTACAACTATGCGGGATAAAAGCAAGTCGATTACCTGATGCAGCTCGCTGATCTTCTTGGTGGCCACCTTGACAGCTCGCGGGCACTTCACCGTGGGAGTCGGGAGAAGACGAGTACCGGAACAGTTATATTTCTAGTTCGCGTGCACTTCACCGTAGGATACACTTCACCGTGGGAGTCGGGAGAAGACGAGTACCGGAACAGTTATATTTCTAGTTCGCGTGCACTTCACCGTAGGAGTCGGGAGAAGACGAGTACCGGAACAATTATAGTGCCCGCCGTGTCTAAGCGAGCCTTATATATTATGAGCCGCGTGTCGGTAAACGCGCCAATCAGTATTCGGGCGAGTGGCGCCGCCTGCAGGATTGCGACTGCAACCCGCAAGTCGAATGCTATAGACCATCCTTACCAAAAAACGTTAAAAAAGACAATTCAAGGCTAGTGCTTGCCACACCATGCTCCTCCCCTTGAAAGGTCCAGAGCTTTCAAAGAAAATATATAATACCCCACAAAGAGCTACTGAGGTAGTTAGAGATGATCTAAGCTAATGGTTGCGGTAATCTGAAGATATCAAAGAATCAACAGCAGCATTTGAAACAATAATATATTATAGCGTATGAAATTAATTATCATATTTCAAAAGAATTATTATATCGCGGTATGATTATTATTATAGTATAAAGATAAATAGAAGTTTGAATCTAGTTATAATAACAAGATCGCATATTAATGTATCAAATTTGCTATAGGTAATTAAATATACATAAATATACTAAATAAGGTTTAATAGCGTACTATTGGGTTGGCAATGGATATAGCTTAGTGACAGGACGTTTATATTCACCTGACGCGGTTTTTACTGAAGCCACTCGAACTACCCCATCCGATCCCGGAAAAACCTCAGTAATAATGCCTAGAGGCCACGTTAAAGGCGGCACGTTATCTTGTCCCCAAAGAACGACTGTGCCTATCTGTATGGGGTGCTCGGGTGTACACCATTTATGCCTAACCTGCAAATTCTTAGACAGAAGTTCGCCGGTTTTAATTAAATGTAATTCGTTAGAAAAATGAATGTTCTGCACTATACGAATAACAAATTTTTCGGCGTTTTCAATACATTTAATAGAGCCAATATCACTGCCATATTTTTTACTCGCAAATTTAAGAATGTACGTGAATATGCGCAATAGTTTATACCAAGAAGAAACACGATTTACAATGTTTTCAAATATATGCGGTTCAGAATTTAAAGATTTAACAACATAAGTCTTTGATTTAAATTCAGGCAAAGTTTCAGATTCTGTAGAAGTGAACTTTAAAGGCCATTCACACCTAGCCTGATGGAGCCATGCGGGGCCCTCCCACCATAAAGTGTGTTTAATTATGATGTTCTCCTAGCCGATTCCGGCTGCGGCGGCCAATCTCAATGAGATTAACCAACTGCGCAGGAAATATTATAGTGCTCAAGTGTACGCGCAGACACAAGTGCACTCTCTATTCCTATCACTCTCATACTCCGGTGGGACGACCACTCGACACGACCGGTGAGAGTTAAGGCGCAGGACCGACGGCTTTACGTGCTCTCCGAGGCACGGGGGTGAAACACCGCCAACTTCCCAACTCCGGGCTGTTACTGAGAATTACTATACAGGAAGACTCAATAACTAAACTTGGCCCGACCCGGGACTCGAACCCAGGACCTCCGGGTGTGCAGCCGTACATGTTAGCCACTACACCACCGAGGTGTTTAATTAAATCAGAGGGTAACATACCGCGTGAAAGACAATCGCTAGGATTTTCCTTTCCTGACACGTGATAAAAACAAGCGGCTGGTAAATTTTTGTGTATTTTAGCGATACGGTTACTAACAAAAATAGACCACCTATGAGGGGAAGAATGGATCCACGACAATGCTATGGTAGAATCTGAAAAAGCGTAAACACCTGTAACGTGTACGCGAGCGGAAATTTTCTCATTGACCAAGCGGACAAGTTTAGACAGAAGCAACGCGGCGACTAGTTCTAACCGAGCCAGTGTTGTTATTTTGGCGGGAGAAACCTTTGACTTAGCACATAAAAGTCGAACGGTTATATTATCTTTAGGGTCAGTAATGTGTAAATAAATGCAACAGCCATATCCACTAAAGCTAGCGTCGCAGAACGCTACGATATTCACTGCAGCTTCTCTGAAGGCGCCAACATGTCGCGGAACCCTCAGAGAAGAGAGTGATGGAAAATCGTGCGTAAAGGCTGAAAAGCGACTGATGATGAATTCCGGAGGCACCTCATCCCACCTAGCCACAGTTCTTTAATAAGAATTTTTGCGTAGAGCACTACGGGAGCCACTAGACCAAGTACATCAAATAAGCGAGCAACCAGCGATAGAATCGCACGCTTCGTGTATTTATGGTCTACAGGGACAGTAGTTAAAGAAAATAAATCATCAGCGGGATCCCATGACAAACCTAAAATTTTAAAATTATTAATTTCATTATTCATACCAGAAAAATTTACTGGTAGGCGGTGGGATTCGGGAAGAACCCCTAATAGAGCGGGTGAATTAGTGGCCCACTTGACAAGGTCAAAGGAGCCTAATTTTAATAAATTAATTAAGTCGCGAGACAATTGCGACGCAATCTGTTCATCAGGAACCGAATAGACGAAGTCGTCCATAAAAAATTGAGTTTCTACCAGTTTAGAAGCCTCAGGAAAGCGGTCGCTATGCTCACACGCTAAGTTACGTAATGTGCGCATAGCTAGGTATGAGCTCGGTTTTAAACCGAAAGGAACGCGGTTAAAATGATACGTGCGTATGGGTTCATTACACAGAGCAGAAACAAAGTAGAGGAGCCCTATTTCGTTGTTCAGATAAGAAGAGTTGAAGCCGGTGAGCGGGGGTGCGGGAGGCGTTACGCATTTGATTTTTGAAAAAACGCCATCTAGTAGCGAATAGAGAAACTTTTAAGACAAATTCTGCTATTTTGAATGGGCACGGACTCAGGTACTATGTGAATGGGGGGTCAGATCGAAAACCATTTTTTAATGGGAGCCGCGCCCCTTAAATATTTACTATTTATTTAATGTATAGACATCGACCAGTTGGAATTTTAATATCATCAGATAACCTTGTGCGAGATGTTCCGAAAAAGAAACAAAATGTATGGAACCTTATGTTTGTATTCAATATGTGTATGTATTAAATATTGGTTATTATGGTGGTTGGATTAAATAAAAGAAGGAGGGTAAATGAAATAAATTTAAAATGTATTTCAGTTTGGGTTTAATTTTATTTAATCTTCTGTGAATAGAACCGTCTTGTTAAAATGTTGGCGTTTTGTGATCCTACTATTTTTCGAAGTTGCAACATGCCTGAAACGGATATCTACATATTTTTCGCAAATTCCTTTACAAAGTTGCGTGATGTGGTTATATAAAGGTGGTTGTTCTTTCATATGGTTGTCTAGTGATGAGAAACAGTTCTCTCCGATCAGTGTTTTCATAGCATGAGATACAACTTTGTGTTTATTCCTCACTGTCTCATGTGCATTCAATGTTCTTATACTGCATTCCGTCCGAATACAAATGTTAATCACGTCATATGATGGAAAAATTAGGCCCCCTTTATTTTTCGTTTTAATTAAAAGATGATCCTCTGTGTAATCACACGTGTAGAGCGAATTGAGACACGTTTCACATTTCAACTTTTTCGTGATGTACCTGACAACATATCCACTGATGTAACTGATTACTTGTCGACGCAACATGTTTTGACATGTGTTGTTCAACATTTCATCAAATTCTATTAATATATCTTCAGGAATAGGCTCCTCTAAATTCATTCCTTCTTCTGGCATTCGACATCTGTCAGCAGTTATATTAATTTTTTCTATGGAAGTCATATTTAGGATGTGTAAGTCATCCAAAGGAATGCAATTTCCGCTGAAAGAGTCCTTTAACTCCGATTGCACCAGATTTTTTTTATATGCCGATTTGAACTGGCGGGCTGTTGGATTGTTATTAGCTCGTCCGTGTGCTCTTATGACTCCGAAAAACAGTTCTAAATGATCTTGGGACAATTTGTGAGTTGTTAGGTATGACAATTTTTTTTCAATTTCTACTAAACGGGAGTAAAGATACATGGTACTGTCAATACAACTTATGAAACCAATAAAACCTGTTTTTCTGTTGGTGTTTACCAAGGTCTTGCTTTCGTTTTGGCTGATAAATGCAGTAAATAATTTCTAGCATAACGGAAAAGCTCTTCTGTTTTTTTATATTTCGTTCAAAAAGGGGTTTTTTGTATTCATATTGTGTCATGCTTCGGGAATTTAAAATATCAAACAAATTGTTTATTAAGCGAATAAACTCTGCAGTTGCTTGGACGCCTGAAAACCTTCGATCATATTTCTCGCATGTTAGTAAAGCGTCTGCTACGCTGTTACTAAAAAGCTGGCTAGCTAGTTTGACTTTCATTTTCTGTCTGCTAAAGTCAAGATGAGCATCTTTTAATTTGTTCGCGACATGTAGTCCCTCACATTTTTGAAATTCGTTTATTTTTTCCAGATACGACCATTTAATTTCATTGCCTTGATAATCTATTAAAATCTTTTTGGCCTCAAATGCGTTTCTGACCAATTTTAGCATATGGCAAGCGTCTAGAATGACAACTACTTCATAATTTGCAGATGGATGTTTGAAAGTCGTGGTAAAGTTCGACGGGTCAAAAGAGCACCCTAGCTGTTTAGCCATACTTATGTTCGCGGCGCACCCATCCATCGTCAAAGAAGCTACTTCAATGCCACATTCATGACATTTATACAAACATTGCTGTACCAGTGAAGCACGTTGTTCGCCGGTCATGGAATGAATGAAGAAATAACCAACTGGAATTTTCCATCGCTGTTTAAGACATACTAATAACATTACAAGAACTTGGCTTGCTTCTTTAGCGTTGTCATTTTCTGTAACATTGGTACCTAGGTCAACGTAGCCGTGATATTTCTTTCCATCCCATTCGATGTGTTTCTTGATTGCCATTTCGTCCATCGTTAAACTGCAGAGTAAAGTTTCGTTCGATTTCGCAGATTTTACTTTCAATACGGAAAAAGATTCTTTCGTGAATCCTGGCTCTCCGTCAATATTCTCGTACCACTTTGCTATGGTACGTGGATGAGGCAAGCACGTATCGAAAGTTTCGCGGACGTATGTGTATGCTTTAGGCGAGTAATAAAAAAGCGTTAGTGCAAAAGCTCTTGTGGCTGGTGAATATTTTTTTGTGACAGGCCTGTTATTTTTTTTCGAAATACACCGTGTAACAATTTCCCTCACTTTGACATTCATTGATTTTAGTATATCCGCATCTTCCTCTTTTAATAAGTTCTTTTGTTTTAATTCGGTGATCAACGATTCCATTGTCATCACCTGTAACAATAATATACCACATCAGGAAGAGACAGTATCTAAATAGGTAGTATAATTTTTTTTAAATTGAGTAAAGCCCAATTTTCAGTTCGACACTAAACTTACCTTTTTCTTCAAACGCCGAAGATTTTGTCTCAGTCGCCGTAATTTAATTAATCTATTTTTGTCAATTATTTTTAATCGCGACATTTCTTCTTTTAAGAGTATTTTTCTGGGCGTATCTTTAAGCACTAAAAATTCATTCAAATCTTGCTTGTTGGATGGTCCAGGTATTTGATTTTGGTTAGAAATCTGCAACGAGACAAATCAATTTTATAACACATACTAATATAAATAAACTGACAAAATGACATGAACAATAATTTCAATAACTGATGATACCTTTTCTGGAACTTTTGGGTAAGCACCTTCTCGTATTTTTTTGTAGCCTTTGTTTGTTTTTATGATGTCTTCTTTATCGAAGTGAAGAGAACATATTTTGCTGTACTTAGATGGTGTCCACCCTTCGCGATTGATAGAATGAACCCATTGGTTTCTTAAAATAACATCAGAGGGAAATCTAGAAAAAAAACACAAAAATATCTGTATTAGTATCAAGAACAAATAATTAAATTTATTGCCAGATTTTTTTAAACCAGTGCCATTGAATGGAATGAAAAGGATTTAGTAAATAATATAATAAAAAAAACTTCCTTTTTCTAAATAGCATTTGTACTAAAACGAAAGTAATTCAGATTAATCGGTTGAGGAGAACTGGTCTTAAATTTAGTTGCAAGATTTGTTTGTCCACACATACATACATACATACAGACTAACAGGAGAAATTAAATAAAAGTTTGTAATAAAAATATTAGCAAATTAAAAAAATCTTCCCTAACATGTATAGAATCAGTCATGATCCCCTACTGTTAACTCTATTTCCGCCCTTAATACGTCCCTGTACCTGTGCTGTACCTACTTCATGGCGTATTGCTAGTATTTCTACCTGGTACTAGATGGCGCTTCAAACAAGTTCCAGAATCTCTTCGAACATTCTAGAAGCAAATTGAAATAAAAATGTAATTTAATACTTACGAGTGAAACGATACTTTGTTTCCGTCAACATTATTTCGATCATCTGTATAACTTTTACATCCAATAACGCAACACTTCATTTTGCACCGGAAAACACAGAAACGAAAATTTACGGAAACCAATACGCGTGCACACCAACCAAGAATAAGTTGCGTACTGACGACAGCGCCCCCGAGCGTGGAATGGCTTAACAAAAGACTCTGTGACGTCAGGACTACATTGATGCAAGCTAGACTACATTGCTTAGAACATCTCTACTTTGTTTCTGCTCTGTGGTTCATTAGTATCAAAACGAAATAAAATTCGTAAGTACTTCCGATGTCGTTTATTTACTCCATGCGCAAAAACATTTGCTTTATGTCCGCAGTTATTGCGACGGGAAATATGCGAAAGTCAAGTATTAACGAAAACAAGTCAGCCTGCAAGTTAGGACCCACATGTAAAGTGTCATTGAGTGACAGCCCCGTATGCGTCGTAGCACTAGCGTCCAAAACGACCCGGATGTTGTCCTTATCAGGACTGATCACGGCGTGATGCGGTATATAATAACCCTCTTCTGTTAATTCAGAGTCAGGTACCTCGCTTAAATACCCCTGAGAAATATGATCCGATATAGTTCTATTATAACTTTCGCGCAGGGCTGGCACGCACGCGAATTTACGCTCGAGCGCGAGCAAACGCCGTTGAGCAACACCGCGAGAATTACCTAAACCGGAGGGGTTTCGCGAAAACGGTAAATCGACAAAATATCTATTATCTTTAAAAATGACAGTAGAATTAAAAATATTTTCACATTCTAACTCTTCCGGACTAATAAAACGTTGAGACGGAATTTCTTCTAACTCGAAAAACTTCTGCAGACTTGACTCAATGTCAAACACACTAGAACATTTTGTAATGATTCTAATCTAACTTTGTATTTCATGATACCACTTTACTTTACAACTTGTGATATCCTACTAATACATATTATTTTAAATGCGAATGATTGTGAGGATGAATAGACGTATGTATGTTTATTACTTATTCACGCAAAAACTACTGAACGGATTTGGATGAAACGTGGCACAGGAATAGATTATTACCTGGAATAATTTATAAACTACATTAATCTTCTCTCTGTATTCACACGGAAACGAGAACTACGTGGCGAATTACTAGAAGGCATAAATAGTAAAATAATAAAACAAGAGTTAAGTGTTATTAATAAAATATTTATTTATAAAATTAGTCGTCCAACATATCAAAATCTAAATATTCGACACCAGACATGTTGTCATCTATTGTCCCAGGAGAATCTTGGCGAGAAGTACTAGGCAGACAGGAACCTTCTGATTCTGGTTCAGACTCACTGCTACTGCTGCTGGTATCCTCACCAACTCTTATAATTAATTTTTCTATATTTTGATACAGCGTTGGGCCTCTTTCAATGTACTCCATTTCAATTTTTTTGACATGGTCACAACATGATTTCCAATCTGCTGAAGTTATAGAAGCAAAGGCCTCTTCAGTTAATTGTTTTATATCTCTGGATCCAACATTTTGTGCTGCCACTTTTCTTTTTGCCAAAGACCATATAAGTTCAATTGGATTCAGGTTGCAGTGATAGGGTGGCAGCCTTACTACTGTATGTCCATGCTCGCTCAGTAACTCGTCAATTTCATAAACTGGTTCTGGTTTATTTTTTTTCACCAAATCATAAAGCATAGGTTTTCGTAGGGTCGGTTCAAAATGAATATTATTCTCTTCAAGCCATAATTTAATTTCAGCAATCGTGCTGGATGTTGTGGCAGCCTTATTTTTCACAATCGAGTGATATGGGGCATTGTTCATTACAATAATAGAAGGATATTCAAGATTTACTTCAAACCATTACAAACAAAATAATGGTACTAGAAACTAAAGAATGGTACTACAAACAACTACAAACGAAATAATGGTATTACAAACGAAATTAAGGTTACTACAAACAACTACAAACAAAATAATGGTACTACAAACGAAATTTACGTTACGACAAACAGCTTGGTCGTAAAATCTCTCAAACTTCAGTTAAATCAATAATTTGTTTTGCATTCAACATTTCTGGTGCACTGGTGTGGCAATTAATAATATTATTGATTGCAGGGCGCAGTTTTAAAAATCTTTCATCATGTAAAATGTTGAGTTCCAACGAGTGAACACATCTTGTATCAGTTTCAAATCAGATTCTCGCCTCAATTCATCACTAGCAGCAATACATTGTTTAAACCACGTTACAATTCTTTTAACTGCAGCTATTAGGTCAGGCAAATTAGGCGTTTTATCGATGGATTTTTGTGCCACCAAATTCAACATATGGGCATAGCAGTGTATATGACGACTTCTACCAAACGCAATTTCTATTGCTTTAACAATATTGGCGCCAGCATCAGTGACAACTGCCACAATTTTTTTTTTTTTAATATTCCATTCGTTACAGGTCTTCAATAATATATTCGCTATATATTCCGCAGTATGAGATTGCGTTAAATCATAAACTCCCTACGATACAGATTCTAATTTATCCTCTTCATTACAAAATAGAACAGTCACTCCCAAAAAACTTCTAGTTTGCATCGTGTCTGTCTAAATGTCTGTCGTTAAAGTCAAACCACTCACGTTTTGAAGTTTCCCTTTGAAGTGTTCTCTAATAATGTCATATTTGGTATCTAACATCCTTTTCAAAGTGAATCGTGAAGGCACCTTGTACAATGGACGAGCAGTTTTCATTAAAGTCAAAAAACCTTCATTTTCTACAATTTGAAAAGGTTGTGAGTCTTTACAAATCATGTATAAAATGCTATTCGTCAACTGAATTCCCTTTGAGCCCATATCACCATATTGAGATATTTTACTAAAGCTAGAGCTTAGAGTTGGTTGGGAGAATAATTTTTTGACACTATCTGTGTAACTTTTTTCAGAATCACAATCACTCCTTGATTCAGACATTTCCATTGTAACATTAGTAGCAGTACTAGTTGAAGGCACAACACTAGGTTCTTTAAAAGTTATTGGAGTTGAGGATGATGTACTTCTCATAGGTTCATACTTGGGCATTAAATTCGGATGTTTTTTATCTAAATGACATTTCAAATTGGTAGTGTTACCAGCAGTTTTTAAAATTTTTCCACAGGAACGACATTTGGCGCTAGTATCATTTATTTTTTCAAAATATTTCCAGTATTGACTCTTTGGTGGCATTTTATAGTACCTTAAATTTAAAAAAACAATAATCAAATTATTATAATATGCTTCTTCGTTATACCTACTTATTTATCATAATCTCAAATGCGTTGAATACATTAATTACAACGGCATAAAAATAGCAATAAATTACTCGGCCAACATGCAGTGCAGTACAATAAACGTTTAGGATTTAGTAATTCACAATTCACTCACCTGCATGCAAAGCCTACAACACCGAAAAAAGAATCCTTAGCAGTCCTTCAATGCAAAATAAAAGCAGCAAGCAGGCAAATTTATTTCTCGTAATTTATCCACTTTTTTCACAAGATAACCTAAAATTGGAATAATAAGTTTCAGCAAAATTTACTGGAGGAAGAAATAATAATATCATACAGATTAAAAATGTAAATAATGTTACCTTACCTGTTATTTCGTTTACGAAGTTTCATTATTTACAAAATAAATAGTAAATTAAATTCGCGTCCGCTTCAAAAGTTTACTCACAAAACAACACCTCACTCATCAACACAAACTACGAATAGAAACTCATCAAGTAAACGCCGAGCGTCATTGAAGTTGACATTTTTTTTTATCTCTTGAGAAATGAAAACAAACTTATTCGTATGGCTTTGGGCTTGCTTAGGTACTCCGATTATTTTGATCAGTGCTATCTAGTGGAAAATAGTTGAAACTTGATAGTCTCAATCCTAAATTAAGGTGTAGCCGCACTGGTCCGTATGTATGTATGACTGTGTTATTAGCAGCTATAAGGTCATACCTAGATTTTGAACAGGGCGTCTTGACCGCTGACCGGGGAAAAACGCACAAGTCCGAGCCAGTGTCCACAAGGAACTGCATTTTTGTCGTCCGATCTGAGATAAATAGACGGCCTGTTAAAGTGGGGCAGTCGTTGGCCGCTACTTGCGACTGCCCTGTAAGTTTTCCGCCTTAAACGTGCAAGGCTGCTTACATTTGTTCGCCTTTGTTCTGTAGGTGTAGTGGTAAAAACAGTGCGGGTGGTTCGGTGGTGGCTGCTTCGGTCTGGAATTCCTAGACCGAGAACGCGATTTAAAGCGTGAGCGAGATTTCGAGCGTCCTTGTCTGTTTAATTGAGTAGTGAGAAGTGCTACTTGCCTTGTTAGTTCGCTTATCTGCTTGGCCATGCTGTCATGGCTTTCCAGTGCAGCAGTAGAGGTGCTGGCAACTTGAGGGTTCATCGGTGCAATTTCGTGCACCTTATCTGCGAGTTCAGCTAGCTTGTCCAACGATAAGTCTGCCATCTGAGAAGCAATTACGGTTTGTATATTAAGAGGTAGACGACTCGACCACAGTGTTTTAATAAAATCCGACGCTGCAGATGCTCCAGCTAGATTCTGCAGGTGGCGTAAAAACTGCGACGGTTTGCGATCGCCAAGTTCTTCGTGGTTGAGCAGCTGCTGGATACGCCTCTCCTGCGATGCTGAAAGGCGACGGATCAGTTCAGTTTTCAGCTTTAGGTACTTATCGGTTCTAGGTGGGTTAGTAATTATGTCTTTTACTTCTCTAGCATATGGAGGTTCCAATTGCGCGGCTACATAATAAAATTTTGTCTCGTCACTTGTAATTCGAGACAGTATGAACTGGCCTTCGATTTGAGCGAACCATAAAGCAGGTTCTTCGACGAGAAATTGGGGTACCCGGACGCCTACTCGCAAGACTTCCGCGGGGGTTGGATCCTGCTGCTCGGTCTTGTTGAAAGCACTTGACTCGTCTGTCATTGTAGTATTTTAATTAAAAAAAATATCGCTCACCAATTTTTACTTGGGTCACCACCGATCCTTTGTTACCTCCTTATAATTCCGTAGCAGGTAATATCGAAGTCGTGAGGTGCGCAGCATCAATCCACCGTTGTCTCGGCTTGTCGGCAGGTCACCAGTGTAGTTATGAGTAAATTAATCTACTACTATATATTAATAAAAGAATGATAGCATGAAAGAGGCAAGAAAGAAAGATTGAGAGGCCAAATGAAGACTGTTATTCTTGTACTTTACGAAAAGAATTTAATAACTTTTTACAAACAATTAGAACACGAAATGTATAAATTTATAACACAAAATGATCGCTAGAATAATGAGAGGAATTAATCGTCTGCGCGCCTAGATCCTTAGCGAGTTGTGTGCCGAATGAATTACGATCAGGCGACTGCAGCGGCGACGCGGCGCGGGCGCATCGGGGGAAACTAGCTAACTTGCGTGCAAAACTTGAATAAGTAGTAACTAATATAATAATAATTTTGTTTGTATATATTTTTATAAAAATAGCACTTTATTTAATGATTTTGAATCTAATTTGTCCAAAAAGTACATTATTTTATTGAAGGAACCTATTTAGATTTTTTAAATACTTACTTTTTATTGTTTTAAACAAATATAAAAATTGTAATTGTGTTTATGTGTGTTTAGCTGTTCACAAAAATAATCGATAATTTTTTGTGTTTGGGGGTACACTACACCGTACATGGGTGCATCACTACGCATCTAAATATTATTAGTAAATTATTTTAGTCAACTTCATATGTTTAAATGTTTAGTTTTTTGAATGAGAAATGTTAAGTTTTCATATATGTGATAATGCTTAGCTAGTTCTTTTACAATTTAAGCTAAATTTATAAACAGAAACGTAAATTACAATGCTACACGAGCGTCTGTAAAAAATAACCTTAATTTTTCTCTCTTATAAGAAATACATCCGAATTTTAATGACAGTGACTTATTTTCAAGATTTATTAGCCGCCGATTTATAGCCGCGAGTGCTATAAAGTTTTGAATTTGATTGTAACTAACAAATATTATAAATAAATCAAAGAATGGTTTTGTGCGATTACATGTTTATTCATAAAATAGTCTTTCAAATTTAGTGTAAATATGATATAATAGACCGTGGTATTGTCAGAAATCAATATAATACAACAAGTAGTAAATATTCAGCTAACACTCATATATTGTTAGCTCATTTATAATTCATCAATAGTTAAAAGTGTATTTTACATATTGTCATAAATGCTCACATTATTCAAAAACACAAAACAGCGTAAACATTTTAAATCGGTGCTATATAATTTGAATTATAAGTGTTTTTTATGTAATGGTTGTATCGGGGAAAAATGACGCGCAGGCTCGGTGTTTAACGGATGTTGCATATCAAAAAGCGCGGGGTTCTAGTGGTTAATTAACATACCTTGCAAAATAATTAATCAAACCATTTCTAATATTAAATTCAGAGGAAACAGAGTTTTCTGTTTGTGTTGGCAATGAAATTACCTCTTGGTCTATATTTATAAAATCTGTAGGCTGTTTAACATTATATGTCCTACAGATATTGTGTAACACAGCAGTTGCAACAATAATTGGCTGAATGTTATCCAACTTACATCTTATTTTGGACTCAACTATGGGGAATCTTCGCTTCCAAACTCCAAATAGCCTTTCAATACTATGTCTTGTTCTTATGTGGCTCTCATTATATAACTTTTCAGTTTCTGTTTGGGGGTCTGCCAGAGGTATAAGAAGGTATGATTTTAGGGCATAACCCGAATATCCAAGAAGCCACAGCCCATTAAATTCCCCAGACTCAATCCTATATTTAATACTTGAACTATTAAATATATGACTATCATGTGCAGATAGATCCTGGCCATCTTGCAACTATGTTCCTTATATATGTCTGCATTTCCAATAACTTGAACTTCTTCTTCCTGTCCATTTCCCAAGTTACTTGGGGTCGGCGCAGTATAAGACACAGCTTATTCGTTTTGGCAAAAGTTTTCCGACCGGCCGCCTGCCTCTTTGATAATGCGTTTGTTGGTGTGACCCGAGGTGTGATGCCCAGCCCGGGGTCCCTTAATCCTTTAGTTTATTTTACTTCGAAGTATTCATGAGGTTGAGGTTGTGTACAATGTACACTTATTGAGCGCAATTCAACTAAGCCAATCATTCCCCTCGTACTGAAGGGAGGCCCGTGCTCAGCAGTGGGATGTTAAAAAAGGCTGAATACAAGCCATACTATATGTGTTATTATTATATTTTCGCTCATTTTCACTGTCACAATTCCTTGCCGTTAGGTGTTGTTTAGTCCTCAGAGAGCTTATAAATCCAGCTCTTTTATAAGAACTTATGCGGATATTCCCATAATATTTACGCACAGCACAGCTATTTTGATCCCTCGAAGATGAGGAGGACCAATTCACACTTTTTTCACAGTTTTAATTTTTTTTTGAAAGTTTTATGCTGATTTTCTTATATATTTTTATATAAATAAATTTTGAAAATATTATTGCTTTGACATATTAACATATTTATATAGTCAGTTATTCTTTAATTAATATAATATTGTCTTTTTAGTAGTAACGTTCGATATATTATAAATTTTATTTACAAATCTTTTAGCACATTGTTTCACTCTGTTATTGGAAGTTTTAAACTGATTTCTTAATAAATTCTTAAATAAATTTTAAAGACATTTGTATATTTGTTACTTGTTGCCATGGACATTATATATAATTTAATTATATATATATATATTTTGGCTAAAAGGCAATAACATCGTTTAGCCTCGTTTTTATCAAGCATTGTAAAATAATTGTAAGACAAACAAGTTCTTTGTTTACAACAAGGCGGTAAAATATCTTTCACTCTAGACTGACTGCCTTTTACTGAAGTAAAAATGTTTTAAGATTGAGAAAATCAAACCAATTTTGTACGAAAATAATATTTTTATTAATTTTATTTTAGAAGGTTAAAGTTATAACTTATCTAAAACTATGAGATCAGGAAACAGCGTATTTATTATAATATTAATTTAAAACTCTTTGAGCACTTTTTACATTTCTAGTCTCACTTCTAAGGCACTTAGATTAATTTAACTTCTAATATCACTTTGTAAAAGCACAACATCTTCGAGAAGAACTCTTCTTTAAGGTACAGTTCCGAGCCAAGCGACGCTGACGCTGCGTCAGCGCGTTAGTAGAAGCTGCGGCTCTGTCGCAGCGTCTCTGACGGTCTGTTGAATTCCGAGGGCGGTGACAGTATCACTGCGGCCTCCAGTCAATTTGCGACCAGTGACCTAGACAGTCGAATTTTCTTGTGTTTACTGAATACATACGGTGAAACAAACGATTATGAATCAAGCTATTGTGAAAGATTTGCAAAAACTATTTGAAGAAGAGGAAGAAGATGATGATCTCTTGCTTTTGTATTTACTGAGTACTAGAGATCGAACTGACCCGATTTATGAAACCCGCAGCGATCAGGGTCTTTATAAAATCTTAATACAAGAACATTTAAATTATAATGATGATAAATTTCGAGAATATAGTCGTTTTAACAAAAGACAATTTAATTTAATTTTGTCTCTAGTTTATGAAGAATTGTCACCAAAAACTACCAGACATTGTATAGGTCCTGAAGAGAAACTATTTTTAACATTGAGGTAAGTAATTGTTTATTAATTTATTAAATATTTTTTTAAAGCTAATCGTATGTTCCGTCATCTTCTGTAATAATACGTATTAAACTTCAGTCCGTAGCTTCCATGTCCATGTCCACTGCTTGTGATATAGGCGAGTGCGCCCGGAAGTTATATGTGGACAGCGTATTTTGATTTGTACGCGGAACGGAATCTGCTGATAGTTCGGGCGAATTAAGTTTAGCAGGCAGCATAGGTGTAGATGCTTCAACGTTCAACGATTCATATTCATACTTCACGAGGACGTAGAAATTTCTTTTTTTGCCTTTACTTTCAAAGTGGACGGTAATTTTTGTAAAACATTTTTAACGTAGTCTGAAAACATAGCTAGTTCTGGGTCCTAAACATTACTATTAGCTATAGTCTCTAAAGCTTTTTGGCGCGTTTCTTCTCTTTTCTACAGAAAAGATATGATCTCATCTTTATCTCATTCTCATTGACGGTTTCAAGTTCAACTATATTTCTAGTTTCTCCTGCTGATGATACAGAACTTAACTGCTCACAAGCTTGGTCAGAAATTTGACTCTCTTGTGTAGAATCCGTATCTTCAATATTAGATTCTGTTGAACGTTCATTTGGCACTAACTGTAGAAACGTAAGCAGGCGATCATAGGTTCCAAACTTAGATCTACGATTTTTAGGCGCTGCGGACCCAGTTCCAGACTTGTTCTTTCGTTTCTGGCGAAAATATGTGTCCTTTATGTTTTTCCATCTCTTTTTACAGTTATCACCTGCAAATAATAATAAATAACATGAATCTAAAATAACGTCTTAATTTTTAGGTTCATCGCGACCGGAGAGAGTTTTGCGTCGCTGTCATTTGTATACCGAATATCGAAATCTTATATATCAAGAGTAATAAGAAACGTTATGAAAGTATTAAAACAAAAGCTTATGCCAATAGCGATGCCACCTCCTACAAAAAATGATTTTAAAAGAATAGAAAAAGATTTTTGGGAAAAATGGAATATGCCAAACTGCATATCTAGCATAGATGGAAAGCATGTTCGCATCAGAGCTCCACCTAATAGTGGTTCTCTTTATTTTAACTACAAGGACTATTTTTCTGTCGTTATGTTGGCTTTAGTGGACGCTAACTATAAGTTTGTGGCTGTAGACGTTGGGTCATATGGCAAAGAAGGCGATAGTAATATATTCAGAAAGTCGGCAATAGGAAAAAAAATCACAAGCAATGACTTTAACATTCCGGAAGCAAAACCTCTCTCGCAATCGAATGTCAGTTTGCCACATTTTATAATAGGGGATGAGGCTTTTCCTCTCAGTTCATACATGATGAAACTGTTTTCGAGAAGAACTGGACTTGATCACCAAAAGGAGATTTTTAACTACAAATCTGTGTGTCGTGCGCGTCGTGTAGCGGAAAATGCCTTTGGACTGCTGAGTCAAGTATTCAGAGTATTTTATACTCCTATAGCTGTTCTACCGAGTACCTTTTTTTTTTTTTTAACGTTGGGAAATGCATTTACGCACGAAGTGTGGGACTCACCGGCGAAGCCAGTACTACCCACTAAAACCCAACAAAACCTTCCCCCGTCTTAATGGGGCGTCGCAGGATCGCTTACGCATTCAACTACGACGCCCCGACGGCAGGTCTTCCGAAGCAGACCACAACAACCATGGTGTTGCTCCACGGTCCACTCTGCTATCAGAGAAGTACCAGGAGCAACCCGCATGGTACACCACCCTCCGAAGAAGGCCGCCTCCCACCGCCAACCGAAGCGGGCCACCTCCCTGTGCGTTTCTTGGCTTCGCGAGTACACTACTGAGCCCCCCCACCACGACAAGGTGAACGCACGTTGGGGGGGGGGGGGGGGGGTTCTACCGAGTACCTGCACTGATTTAATTCTAGTTGCATGTTGTTTACACAATCTGTTAAGAGATGCGTATTTAGAAGAAAATAGCCGACCACATTACGTCCGCTATGAAAACGAGAATCCTACAGATAATATGATACCTTTGAACCGTACAAGGGGACAAGCAAATGATGGCATACATATCAGAGAGCAATTAAAACTCTATTTTAACTCAGAAATTGGTCAAGTAGCCTGACAAAATAACTAGATATTATTAAATAAAAATTATCTAAAGATACTCGCCTTTTTTATTTAACACCCTCCCAATTTCATCCCAAACTCTGTCCTTTTTTTTCGAATTTTTGTACTCTTCAACACTTAAATCAAACAATAGTGGATGTTGAGACACTAAATCTATAAGCAGCTCATCATCTTCTTCAGTAAAAGCCTCCATTTTCAAAGGAATTCCTCTATAACCTAAAAATTACCACGTGTTGACCGTGCGATCGGCGCGACACTGCGCGGGGAAGCGCGGCTCGGCCGCTGACGCCTTGCGACAGTAGCGCCGCGGCAGTGACGCCGCGTCAAGTATCGACGTGTTCGTACACGCCGTCATGTATTTATATAGAACCTTGTACTATCGCTCTGTCGCGGCGATACTAACGCGGCGTTAGTGGCGTCAGTGTCGCTTGGCTCGGAACTGTACCTTTATTTGGAATGAGTAAACGATTACAAATAGCTTATGATTAAAGGAAAAAAAGACTTTCTTTCTATGGCAGCATAGGTACCTAAATATAATAAAAGTTCTAAAAAATAACGAATTCTTTTAGGCCCACTGGAATATTTCCTCTTAGGGATGGCCACTGAAGAACTTGTTCTAATAAACAATCTCTGCTCAGAACGCAACATGCACCAGTAAGATTTGTTTATAATTTCAATCATCAAAAGAATAATTAAAGGAACATTTTTTAAGTATATAATGTGTTTAATATTTAATACCTAACCTATCTTCTTCGATCAAATATAAAAACTAGATAGGTACGTCCGTAGAAACACTTTGACCTTAAGAGCGCTCTTATTCCCTAGCAGTAGCGGCGATATTTGCAGTGCAAGTGTTTCCACTGACCTGCGGCCGACTGTAACTATCACCCGAACGAATAATTATGAAATACAATGGTATGTATGGATTTATGTATCTAGTTGGATCGAAGCCTATCTTATTAAAAAACACAGTTAAAAACTTACCGGGTCGGCAAGGCCATCGATCCCAGGTCTAGATGCTTCTTGTGATGATAAAAAAGACATCAAATCATAGTACCACGGTGTTGGCGTATAGACATTATCTGCGGAAATGCCCGTAGACAAGCTGGCATTAACTTTCTTATGTTCTCTGTAATAACCGTTTCTAAGAATGTCAATTTTTTTTCGAACGCTATCAATCGTTGCACTTTCCCCTAAAATGGGCACCATATCTTGCAATGCATTAATTCTTTTATTCTTATTCATATAATCAGGACTTGAGACGTCCCACAGACAAGAGTGGGATTTATATCTTTCGATAAAACTTGTTATCGTTTTGCGATCCATTTCGACACGTGCGGTCACTATGGCGATGCAAGCTCAAAATGGCGAATCGGCTATACAGCAAGTCTTTACACGATCAAGCACGCACGACGCACGACGCTCTGACGTACGTCCGCATTATTCACTGTCCATCTGCACGACGTTCGCGGTGGTGGGGGCGCTCGCTGGATGCGAAATTGGTCGTGCAAGTCCAGCAATTAATAATAATTATTGACGTACGTCAAGCATATTCACAGTCGTTTTGCTTCGTGCATCGTGTATGACCTTGGCGGAACGTACGTCGAGATGGATGGTGAATAAGGCGCTTTAATCGCTGCATAGGCCCTAACCCATCTTATCAACGACCCTTTATCTACCGAGCTATATTTTTAATATATTAACCCTTAAATGGACAATGTTGTTTTTAAACAACATACTAAACATCACAGATAAAATTGACCTTCTTTTAATTTTTTGTTAATTTTGACAACTAGTTCTTATTTCTGAACGAATTTTGTACTTTTTTAATGTTGGCACTATCCAATATTTTTATGCATTGAAAATAAGTTAATGTCAAATGTCACTTTGAAGAAAACTTTTCTAGTGGCGCGAAACTAAGTTTTGTAGCTGTGTTCGGACTTTGATAAAATATACTGTAAGTATATAACATATTTTTATTTGCTTGATTATACCTTCAATTACATGTTCATGTTGTAAAACATTAAAAATCACTTGATGCTACTGTCGAATTAGGCGAAATCTGGTATGTTGTAGGAAAATTACAATGCGCATTGCCTGCTAAATAAATGCATGTTTGGTGAAGGATTTTTATTTTGCTTTTCAGCATGCCGCGATTACTAGAAAGCGAAATTACAAAGTATTTAGAAACTCTTGAAGATTCAGAAGATGGCTTAGACGGGTCAGACTCCAAAGTAGAGGATGAAGGTCACTATTATCAAACATCTCGAGATGTTCTTCGAGACCTTGAAAATAGTGATAAGGTGAGAATGCCCAGTCTGATGAAGTGGATGCTGATCCTCCTCTCGTAATCGACAACGATGAAAATATGCCAGACCCTCCTATTTTGGAAGCCGAAGAAGTCTCAGCGTCTTATTCTTTATAAGGCGCAAATTCGGCCCCACATGGAGTACTGTTCTCATCTTTGGGCGGGAGCTCCCCAGTACCAGCTACTTCCATTTGACCGCATTCAACGTAGGGCGGCTCGAGTTATCGACGATCAAGCTCTCTCCGATCGGCTTGATCCTTTAGCTCTGCGTAGAGATGTTGGATCACTCTGCATCTTCTACCGCATTTATCACGGGGAGTGTTCCGAGGAATTGTTCGGACTGATCCCGGCTGCTGAATTTCATCATCGGACATCGCGCCAAAATATTAAATTCCATCCACACCACCTCGATGTCCAGCGTTCCACAACAGTGCGATTTTTAAGACATTTTCTGCCCCGCACAGCCACTCTGTGGAACCAGCTATCGCCGGCGGTCTTTCCGAACCGCTACGACTTGGCCACCTTCAAGAAGAGAGCGTATTCTTTCCTTAAAGGCCGGCAACGCATCTGCAAGCCCTGCGGTGTTGCAGATGTCCATGGGCGGCGGTGATCACTTTCCATCAGGTGAGCCTCCTGCCCGTTTGCCCCCTTAGTCCCATAAAAAAAAACGCAGCGCTTTTAGATTTTTTGAAAAAAACTAAAGCGCCTGATCCTCTTAAGAGAACAGTATCAAACAAAAAATTGAAAGTAGATCCTGGATGCTCGATTTCGTGTCAAGATGCAGAAATAATTATGAATGGAGCAAAAAGAAGACAAAAAACATTACCAAAAAAGCTGAATAATCCAAAAAAATGATGAAAAACATGTAACTATTTTATCAGATGTTCGTCTTTTACCAGAAAACCAAGCTTATTTTGATTTAAATCAATGTAGGAGTCTTGATTTAAAATTAATAAATGCAAAATCTAAGCTCCCTTTGAAAAATAAAGAAACTGAAAATATAAATCCATATGAACGTCCAGTACCTTCAACTTCTGGGACATCTAAAGTGATCAAAAGGAAAACCCAAATACAAACAAAAAAACGGAAACTTGATTATGACAGTGACGAGGAAAATGAAGATAATTATTCACTAAGAGATACTTCAGATGAGGAAATAGTCATGTCTGAAGATGAGGACATGGCTTTGTGTGCCATTTTAAAACACAGTAAAAAGTATGAGACTGATTATTATATAAGCAACACATTGCAAGTGTTGGATATTAATGATAATAATACAAATCTAAACAACGAGACTAGTTTAAGTAAAATAAAGGATTTACACTCAAAAATTGACGAAACGAATATATCAGAACGGAAAAATATCGATATAAATAGTAAGAAAATTGTTGTTATATTGGATACAGATGAAAAAGAAATTAATGAAAATGAAAAAGCTGAAAATTTTTTAGTCTTCAATATGGGCGAAATTGAAACAAAAGAAAATGAATGTATAAATGACCATCAGAAAAAAGAAGGTATAAACTCGAACTTGAACAATATTGGAACAAAGGAAAGAGCAGATAATATAGGTGTGAACTCGACTAATGAACAAATTAAAATAAATGAAAAAACTGATAAACAGTATAAAGAAAAAAATACGTCTATAGACTTTAATATGGATAAAATAAAAACATTCGGAACTGAAAAGATTAATAAACATAAAAAACAAGGAAGTGTGAAAGAGACTGAAAATTTGGATCTTAACCAAAATGAAGAAATTGATAATATACACGAGAAAAAACAAGAAGTGATCTCAGAAATACATGAAAATGAAAAAGGAACCATATTTTACGAAAACCAAAGTGTTTTAGTTAGATACACTCCGCGACAAAAGTATAACCCAGCCCCCTAATTTTGTAATATCCAATATAAGGACTAATTTATCTTGATATATTATTATTGCACTAATATTTTTTATTTATTTGTAGTATTATAATATGTGTTTAATTACATTCTTTGTGGTTTTCTTATATTTCGGCGTGATTGTTAGTTTGATAGTGCGACAAAAGTATAGCCCATAACTTACTTTGGCTTGAACAGCTTCATGTTTTAGACGTGTCAGTTCCTTTTTATACTTGTTGTGCGTTCCTCGTAAATTATTACGTACTAGAAAATTATTTCGATTAATATTTATTTATTTTTAAAATAAAAGGCCACGTGGGAAACGTTTCAACGAAAGTGAAATTAATTTAGTTAGGAAATTGTATTCTAAAAATTGGTTGAAAGTTAGAATTGCAAAATTTATCAATAGAAGCCATCGTGTTGTGCGTAATTTCCTAAAAGATCCTGAAAATTATGGCAAAATAAAGAGGACTGGTCGACCAAGGGCAACAACACCACCTGAAAGAAGGTCAATTCTGAGAGTCGCACCTAATTTTGCTCTTACACCAAGACAAGTTGCAGTGGAGGCTGCTGTTAGCACTAATTTAAGAAATGTTCAACGTATTATGGGTCATCGTACATGGGTCTCGATACCTAAAACGTAAGAAATTACAAAGAAAACGTCTGGTATCTGATAAACATAAATTAGATAGATTTAAATTTACAAAAGATCATGTTCAATGATAGAAGAATTGGAAAAAAGTTATTTTCACTGATGAATAGAAGTTTAATTTAGATGAGCCTGATGGTTTTAATTACTATTTTCACGATTTAAGAAAATAAAAATGTGTATTGATTTGACGACAAGCCGGAAGTGGTAGTGTAATGATATGGTGTGGAATTGGTTACTTAGGAAAAATGAATATCAAGTTCTGTACTGGAAAATTGAATAGTAAACGGTTCATAAACATAATAAATGAAGAGATTACTTCTCATTTAATGCGAATTGCTGGTCCTAATTTTATATTTCAGCACGATAATGTCAGTATTCACCGTACACAAATAGTTAAAAACTATTGTACTGAAACAAATACTCAAGTTCTTGAATAGCCAACTTATTCTCCTGGCTTAAATATAATTGAAAATTATTGGGAAAACTTATCACGAGCTGTCTATTGAGGATCAAAACAATTTACCACTGTTGAAGAGTTAAAACTGGTAATAATTGATGAATGGCAAAACATGAATAAAAAAAAATTAAAAAGTTATATGACAGTTTACCAGATCGAATGATTGAAGTAATAAGTAAAAGTGGTGGATCTACTAAATGTTGATCGAAGTACTAAATATTAAATTAAATAAATAATTGCTCTTTGTTGCATTTCTCTTGAGTTTTATTTATATTTAATTTACCTGGGTTATACTTTTGTCGCACCGCAAAACTCATGTATCATCTGTATTTGGTTTATTTTGCATTTAACAAACAATACATTGGTTGTAAAATATACTTACCAATACCTAATTTTGTGTATTAGTAATGCATTAATATAACTATAATTTTATATTGGATATTACAAAATTAGGAGGTGGGTTATAATTGTGTCGCGGAGTGTACTACAATCGTAATAATTGGAAATATTACGTAGGATTCATAGAAAAGATAGACGTACAACAAATAGAAACATTATTCGATTAATTATTTAAAGACTGTTAAAAAGCTTAACTTAAGATTTATCGTTTGCAAAAGAGATTATGATGTCGTACCATCTTCATTTATCGTTAAAGCTATAAAATTAAATTTAGTAAAAAAAAAACCGAGAATACATGGTTGAGAAATGTGATGAACATTATTTTTAAGGCTATCTAAATATTTGATTATTTATTTGACGATTATGAAAGCTATTAATTTTTTTTCCTTTAATATTTGCTAGAATTTGTTTCTTTCTTTTAAAACGATGTAAATATTTTTACATTTTATGTTATTACTGATACAACTTAATATATAATAAATAAATAATGACATAATTAATTGTTCCTAATAAAATTTATTGGTATAAAGAAAAATCTTTGTAGATATAATGCTATAGTATAGGTTTTTGTTTTTATAATAATGTTACAGTTTCGTATGTTTCGTTTTTGATAAAACTTTCATTGGTGCTTTGTATATTCCTATGTACCTAATTACTCGTAAGTAATAAAATAAATAAATACCTATTTACATAATATTTTTTCGTTGTCAACCCTGGCCGTATTCACTGACTTTCTATGAAATTCTCAGAAAAGGGTGATCAACTTTGCCAATTTCTCTGTGGTTTACTTCGTAATAAATATATCTTATGGGTCATATTCCTAAAGTATTGTATCCAAACTATTGATGATTCTTTACTAATATTATAAGTAGAATTTACATTTTCCAGGAAATAAAATTTATTTGGCAAAGTTGCCAAATGGTATAGGTATCTTTGCCATTTTATTTTTTTAACCCTGTCACGATTTCTTAATTTAAAGAGAGAAATAAAATTCAATATCAAGTTTTACAAGTATATTAAAATATAGTTACGTAGTACAAATAACAATATTCACGTATCCTAAGTAGGAATTATTACTATTAAGTTAAAAGGTATATACAATAAGAGAACACTTTTTCGATACTATATGATATTAAAATGAAATAATAATAAACTAAGATTAGGGTTAGACGGGATCGTGGGTTCACGCAAGAAAAAGTCTAGCATTAACAATTGTAAGATAAAAAAAAATATTACTGTCCTGGCTAGCGACACGGTAGGTGTAGCTTAATTTTCATCCCCGGGTAAGTCCGCGCTTGTAGCCGGATAGTGAAGTCTCAGGACACGGGAGTCTGGAATGTTCGGTGAAGTCCTCTCACGCCCTTGAGTGACCTCTAACGTCCTTGCGCGACCTCTGATGTCCTTAAGCGACTTCTGCGTTTCGGATGTCTTCCGAGAGTGAGAAATTTACGTAGAAGTTAAGAAAACCCTGTAACGTACATATTCAGACATTTTAACAAATGACTGATTTCGTACACCTGACTGCAACATCCTATTTTTCCGATGTGATAGGTTTTTGATACCACGCTAAACACAGGATAGTAATATTCAATATACATTGATATATTAATAGATGAGGCAGTCCAGGCGTAACAAAATGTGTTTGTAAAAATAATTCTAGCATACAAAGGAAATAAAGTTTAACAGCAGAAGTTATATTAATCAAATAAAAAAACAAGGTACAAACATTTCTTAAACAAAATAAGCATAAATATTGATTAAAACAAGGATTGTTTTTAACTACTTTCTAAAATACTTATATATTTTTTAACGATGACGGTAGATATAGGTACATGTAAATTATACGGACTATTAAATCTTATATCTAAAATATAGGAAATCGTTTTACAACACTTACCCAGTCTGGGGTTAGTAAAAACTTACGAAGATGAAGATTAATTAAACTATTAAAATAAGTGCACACTATATTGTAGTAAAATACGACTAGGGTGCAGCCGTCCGCGGTCAAGACGTGAAGTGATCTCTCGCTGTCTCTTCAACTCGTTCCCCGCCGGCTGACCGATTAAAAAAAAGGTCGCGTTGTAATGACGCAGCGTTTTTATATGTCCGCGTAATATAGACAATGAGCTTATTCTAATGTTTCTTTTGATATAATCTGTGCGAATGTGTTTAGTAATTAAAATAAATAAGGATATGTTACAACCCTTGCCAAAATATCTTTTATTTTATTTCAAAAATATTTACATCTATGTACTCTTTGATAAATATACTATCTGCCATACATACTTCTGTGATTTCACACGTTTGATTTTTGGTTGAAATTTAACTTTAATTTTGTAACAGTTGTGTAAAGTGGCAAGGTTGCCAGATTTGACGGTATCGTTTTTTACGAATTACTATGTGACACGGTTAGCTTGACGTTCTATAGCCGACTAACTAATAAAATAAAAGTGCTTGTACTCTTTGAATACCGAGAACCCATTGTTAACAATAAATTTCTAACATCAATGGCAAGCTGTGTAACAATCACAACTGATCATTATTTCTCCCAACGTTGCGCATACGCAACGCTTTCTGAAAGTCTAAGTATAAACAACACGGGTAAGTAGTTTTGTCCAACAAAAGAGTTAATATAATAAATAAGATATTGCTAAAGCTTTATACCATATAAAAAGTATAACTTTATTTCAATTAATATTTTTTATGATTGGATGAATCTTTCGATCTTGAGATGACTCAATTAGCAGTTATTCAAAAACAAAAATAAAATATACATATTTGTATTTAAAAAAAATTGAATCCATCTCTTGGTTCTTCTTCTCGAGACTGGCTTACATGTTATAGATTTTTTTTCCTTATTTTTAAAACAAAAAAAAACAAATTTGAAATGTTGCGCTCGCGCAACGTTGGGTAAGGATGGGTTAAAGTCCCGCTAGAGTACCGGCCGACACTCTAGGCGGGTTATTGTAGGCTTATCCGGGTGCAGGGGGCACCACACGGATGGACGGGCTATTTACCCCATGCTCGTGGGATTCAAAATGGAACCAATTTTTAAAAACAAAAACCCAAACCTAGATGTGGAGCCTGTGACGGGCGGAGAAATGACGGTGCCTGTGACTGGCGGTGTGGTCGTAGAGCCTGTGATGGGCGTGGTGAACGATTCGGATGGGTCCATGTACTCGTCCGTTTCCTCGTTGTTGGGCCGTAAGAGGCCTCGTGCTGAGCCGCTGCTTTTGGCGTCGTCTTCCGGGTCTGAGACCGAGACGGAGTCGACCATCAACGCCAAGGCGACGGAAACACGCAGGGGGAAGACCTTTAAGGGTCCGGGTGGCTCTGGTCTGGTGCGTTCGCGTGCAGAACTGAAGAAATTGGAGTACGAGGCCAAGGAGAAGGCCTTTGAGGAGTCTCTGGAGAAGAGGGCCTTCCGTAAGGAAAGATCCTCTCAGTCTGCGGGAGCAAAGTTGTCGGCCTCTGTTGCCCCCGCTCCGATAGATGTGGCCGGGATGCCGGCTGAAGAACTGAAGGCGGTCGCTGGTACAAGCGTAGCGGCAATATTGGAGGTGGCCCTTAAGTCGGGGAATTTGAAGGGCATATTCGTCAAGAGGCTGAAAGATTCGGCGGCTTCCCTGTAGCAGGTTGTTGAAGCACTTGCTGGGCGCACGACGGCCGAGGAGATGGCTCACCTGAATAGCGACAACGCTAGACTCAGGCGAGAGGTGGAAAACCTGAAGTCGGAGCTCAAGGCCTATCGGCGAGAGTTCTCCGACATGCGGGCTGAAATGTCGGCGGCGAAGCCAGGCCCATCGGACATTGTCACTGGGGACTGGCTTGAGGAGATCCGGGCCTCTGTTGTCGCCTCGGTGGGCATAGTATCGCATGACGCTGTGGGCGATAAGAAAAGAGTCTGAAGAAATAGAAAGAAAAAAGGCAAGTAAAAAAGCAAAGAAAAATTTAAACAGTTTAGAAGGTAAACAAAAAAAAATGAAGCGTAATATTACAAAAAAATCTTATAGAAGAAGACGACGAAGAAAATGAAGAATATTTTTGCCTAGTTTGTACAGAGTCTTACACTACTAGTAGGCCAAACGAGCAATGGATTCAGTGCACTGACTGCAAATTTTGGGCTCATGTAGAATGCACAGAACAGGAGGGATCCGCATATGTTTGTCATAATTGCGAATCTGATTTATATTTTGAACTTGTACAATTTTATTGTAAAATTTCATTTAAATTTCATTGATGCTATCTGCCCGAGCACAGTGTATAAGGCAAAAGAATAATGTGTGTCATGCTGACCGTATGCTGATTTTTTAAAGCATTCTATTACCAAAAACGTTTTTGTTAAAATTTATTGATTTGATTAATTTTCGTAATGTTATTAAAGTTTTCAGATATTGTTATAAATTAAAATTAATAAACATAATCCTACCTTTGCCGCAGTCGGATATAAATAATATCTATCATGGGTCAATTGTACCACGGGGCAATTGTAACATGCTTGATTTGTATACAGAATATTTGTAGTTGATTACGACTTTAAATTATAAGTTTTTCTATTAAATGCTATGCTCCTGTGATGAGACAAACATAGTTACTTCAGTAATATAAGAATTATGTTATTTTGTTTCATTTTACCGAGAAGACGGACTGTTAAGTTTATGTGTTAATTTTGTCAATAATTTTTACAATATTCTAGTGCCTTACAAAAAATTGTTCCAAAGAAAAGTTATAGTTTTTATTATTTAATAAAAAAGGACTATTTTTTTGATTATTTAGCGTTTTATTTTGAATGAAATATATGTTACAAATGACCCTGTGTAGGGGTCAATTGTAACACTGTTCAGTGTTCACTTTAAAATTAAATTTTACCATTAGTCCAAGATCCCAGTGCCGCCAGACCTACGTCATTTTAGCAAAGCTAAAATTTCCATGATTTATAGTCTAGTATGTAGTTAGGAGAGTATGCGTACTTACTAGCTCGAAAGCGGGGCCCTTTCACAGGTAGCGCGAACTAAAGGTGTTTCAAAACTGTACTCACCTACGTTAAAGTAGAAAGGCTCATATTTAAATATATTTTTGACAATATTATCAAAAATAGATAATCGTTATTGCCAGACCGTTTCTGTGGGCCATTACTTCCGCCAGACGTTATAAAGATTGTTTAAAAATTAGGTAAACTACGTCATTTTAGCAAGCCTAAATTTTACATATATAACTACGTGGTACTATTTCCAGATTTTTTGTAAGCAGCCAGACCAATCCAATGGGCCAATTATTCTCCCAGACACCTCAGTTTCCCTGTGAGTGCGAGCGTGAGGGCGTTATTCGTGTTTAGCGTTAGCGCATTGTTGTCATAGTTTGTCAAAAATGGACACTATATACACAGAAGAGCGTTGTTGCCATAGTTACGTTATCTGTCTCTTTTGCTGGGGTCTATTTTTGTGAAAGATTATTTAGTATATTTTCGCGCAGCTGCTGTAACGTTTGTAACACGAGTTATTAGTTTCAAAATTATAATATTTGAAGTGTTTGTGAAGATATAATGGCCAATTTATTAAATTGTGTTTTTTGTCATAAGTCTGATGGACATTTAATATTATTTACTGAAGATAGATTGAAACATTGTCAAAATATTTTAATGCTTAGAAAAGAACACAACTTAAAATTCAAATATATTATTCTGCCTGTTGAGTTATTTGAATGTGGTTACCACAGAGAGTGTTATAAGTCATTTACAGGTTTAATGAAAAAATATAAGTCAAAATCAACTACAACAAAACTTGATTTAAAAGATTCGTCCTCGTGTGCTACAGGAAATCAGTGTACTGCGTCTTCATCTACATTCAACATAGAGTCTACAGAACCACAGCCATCCGTTGTACAGTCATCCTATCCAGTAAATATTATTTTACCTGATCACAGTACAATACCTGAGCACACTTCTATACCTGAGTTGTCAGACAACCACCACCAATAAAAAGGTATGGAGCTGTAACTTGGGATTGTGGCAAAATACTTTGATCGGGCAAATTAAGGCTTTCATTTATTAGTTTTTCGTAAAATTTAGTTTTTTTCAAAACACCAGCATCAGCTGCTCGATCGTTAATTCCAGCATGGACGTAAATAAATTCATATTTAGCATTAACTACAGCAAAAAGTACGACACTGAAATATTTCTTGTAATTATAGTAAAGAGAACCACTGGAATAGGGTTTTGTTATACGAATATGCTTCCCGTCCATTGCTCCTACGCAGTTTGGGAATTGCCATTTATTCTGGAACTCTTCTGCAATTTGCTTCCACTCCTCAGCAGATGATGGGAACTGTAACAAATATTAAGAAATAAATAAATACCGTTACGTTATATCCGAAGAGGAAACAGATAAAATACTTTAGTTTAAATAAGTGTTTACAGAATTTAATATTTCATGTGACTGTAACATACACTAATTTTTGTTTTTAGGAGAGGGCAACACCTAGTGAAGGTATAAGCAGAAGAAAAAGAGCAAGCACGAAAGTTCAAGAAGAGTTAGTAAATGTTGCCAAAAAGTTATTGACCGAAGCGTCCTAAAAATGCTCCGGATCGGGACATGACATTTGGATTATATCTAAATAATCACTACTCAACAAATTTTCAACTTTTGATTTTATCTGAGGTCGCATTATGTGATTACTATTTCTTGCCACTAAAGTAATAAAAATATGCAAATATACACACACCATCACATCTCAATGTCCAGATAAACATCCATGTCCGAAATCACGAATTTTCCATAATTTTATTGTAATTTTAATTGAAATGGCGTAGTTTTTTTGGAGTGGCTGGCTTTTCTCTTGTACTCAGTAGCAGGGGTCTCTCTAATAAGGCTCCAACAGTAATCCGCGAGCATAGCAGGCTCCCATCTGCCTTGAAATCGCTTTTCAAATGCAACAACATCTTGGTGAAAGCGTTCGCCATGTTCGTCACTGACTGATCCCATATTTTCAGGGAAAAAGTCCAAATGCGAGTGAAGAAAATGCAACTTAAGTGACATATTGCATTCCATTTTATAGTAGCAGTCCAATAAAACTTTTATTTTTTCGCGAAAATCTTCAGATTTCTTGTTACCATGGAAATTGTTAGTGACATCGACAAAAGCGTTCCTTAAAAAAGCTTGTTTTTCAATATTATTGAGAGCAGATATAAAAGATGGATCTTGAATCAGCTTTTTTATGTCTGGACCTACGAAAACACCCTCTTTAATTTTCGCGTCACTAAGCTTGGGAAACTTTTGCTTGAGAAACTGGAAAGCCGCACCTTCTTTGCTTATTTTTTTCACAAAATTTTTTATGAGCCCCAGTTTGATGTGCAATGCCGGCAAAATAATTTTATCTTGCTCAACCAATGGTTCAAATTTTACGTTTTTCTGGCCCACTACTAGAGAGTGACGTAATGGCCAATCTTTTTTAATAAAATGTTGAGCTTGAGCTCGGCTATCCCACTCGCAAAGAAAACAACAATATTTTGTATAGCCTGACTGCAAGCCTGTTAACAAAGCAACCACTTTAAGATCTGCACAAACTGGCCATTTATGATCTCTGTATTTAATTTTTTCTAATAAAAGTTTCATAACGTCATAAGTTTCTTTCAAATTAGCACTATAAGCGAGGGGCAAGGACGGTAACTCATTTCCATTATGCAACAATACTGCTTTCAAGCTACTTTTTGAGGAATCAATAAATAAACGCCATTCAGCAGCTACGTGATTTTGCCCAAGCTGTGCCATTAATCCATTTACATCATTGCAAAAAACTAAGCCATCTTCTTTAGAATAGTACGGAACCAGTGAGCTATGTCGTTTACGATAAAAAGATACCTTCACATCTGATTCACATAGATTCCATTGCTGTAATCTGGATGTCAATAATTCTGCCTTATCAATGGGTAAATTTAATTCTCTTATTAAGTCATTAAGCCTAGTTTGATTCAATAAAAGTGGCTCAGATGCACATTTTGGGACATATTGGGGGTCCTCGCTATTTTCACTATCCGTCGAACTCGAGTCGACTTCAACTGTCTGAATTAAATTCACTGGGCACTCAGGAACAGGTAACTCGTCAGAATGTGGCTGAGGTTTTATTACCGATGGCACGTTGGCATACTTAATACTTCGTTTTGATTTTTCAGAAAACCCCTTTAAACAAAAATAACAATCGACGGCATGATTCGTTGGCTCCATCCACACCATTGGCGTACCAAATGGCATTTTTTTAGTTGTTCCCTTACACCAACCATTGAGATATGTATAACATCTTAAGCAGCACACTTTAGGAACCCATGACTTGTCTTGATTCCTTACGACACGGTTAAAATAAGCTTGATAGCACTGTTTAATTAAGTCAGAAAGTGGTTTTTTTTTCGATTTCGGCGTAAACTCGCCACAAATATAGCAAAATAAATCAGGACTGTTAACACACACTCGCGACATTTTAGAAGTCAGTTAATATACTAACAAATGCACTATGTTCCATTTGCAAAAGTAATAAGTTTCCGGACTACCCGCATTTTAACTTTTGTAGGTAGGTAAAAAAATAAAAAAATATTTATCCCTATAACCAGATGTGATATCGAAATAAAATGCATACAGTATTTTTATATTGGTCAAGCTTATTATGAAATAATATGAATTGGGTCAGATATTTTTTAAGTGTTGAGTATATAATCAACTCCAAAACCTGTCACATGATCAGAAAATTTATGCAGAAAAACTAATGTCAGATGTTTTGTTTTTGGCAAGAACAAACCAATTAAATGCTACTTCACGTATCTTCACGCGTCCATCCTCTCAAACAACCACAACATTAAATGAATACTCTTCATCACCTATTCAATTTGTCAACTCACCTTCACCATACGCAGAAAATGTGCGTTCATCAAAATGATATAATTACGAAAATGTGGGGTTGAACCACAAGGGAAAATAAGTAATGAGTGTCTAATAGAAATAAAAACTAGCGTTAACACAAATAAGAGATTACAAAAGTTAAAGCAAAGCGATAGAAACCGTTACGGTTTGCTAAGCTACTGGCTAATTTAAAAATTGTGCAACACTTACCCAATCGGGGTTTAATTCACACACACAGAATATGTTTAACAGTAATATATTGTTGTATTATGGAATTAAAAGGTCGAGGAAACGATAGCGACGTCTTAATTAGAAAAATTTTAAAATCTCGATTACGACGTTAGTAACTCGTATTAGGGACCGAGAAAAGACTGACGTGCGTTCGCCTCGACAACAAAAATCGTTCTCTCGGCTACGGATATTTGTGGACGATATACATCGATTTATTTAAAACACTCGATGTATAGTAACGATGCATCGTATAAACCGATGTATTGTTAATACTTCAACATCGAATATATATCGATGTTTTTCATTCGATACATCGACCAAGCAAATTAGGAATGAGTATACTATGAGTGAAACGAAACGTTATAATCAGTGCTGCCAATATAACAAACGCGCCTATCAGTTATTATAGGCTGAATTGGCTATGTTTCCATTGCCGCGGAGCCGGTATAGCAAAATTAAAAGTATTTAAATTAAACCAACAAAACAAAACAACAATATGGCCGACCGAGTCTCTGCTGTGGAAACGTGTGTTGTGTTTTAATACGATACAAGTGTTTGCTTTGTTTGAAACTAAAAAGAAACTTTGATTTATCAACAGGTATGTGTATTAATAAACAGAATAATGTATTTAGTGATAATGGGTTCGAAATTTTACTGGTAATATCACATTGTTTTGTTGTCAAAAAGTAGAAAGTAATTACTTATGTTGAAAATATTTTACGTTTTACTGCGCGTGCATATAACTAATTAACATATAAAAGAGAAGATTACGTTACGAAGTTTGCATTAATTTCGCAATGTAATACGATTTGATTGGAAGGTTATATTTTTACCCTGAAATACTACCTACCGTAGTGATTCCAAGTTATCGATACTATATTATCGATTATGATGCGGCATAAACATATTTGTATTTTACTAGGCAGTTAATAGGTATTATTATAAATACCCCGTAAACCGTGCTATAAAGTATTATTTTTTTAACTTTCAGTTATAATGGGACCTAAGAAAAAAAGTTCAGTTTGGCAGTTCTTTAACAAAATTGATGATAAGAAAACGAAATGCAAACTATGTCAAAAGGAAATTAAGTCTGCTGGAAATACTACGAACTTAATTGGGCACGTTCGTAATGTTCATAAGGCTGCTTATCTTGAAATTCAGCCAAAACAAAATACATTAAATGCAGAAGAAATATCGAATCCTCTAAATACCAAGGTAACGCCTAACGATAACATTGATGATGGTTTACTTCAATCTGAACCGATTCCTAGTACAAGTGGCAGTGGCAATAAAAGATCCTGTGAGCCGTTACCGAAAACCGTAAATGAAACTATTGATTTAGACTTAGAAGAAAACGTTACCCCTTTAAAACGCCAAAAAACAATACAGGCCGCCTTTAAAGATATTTCTTCTTACTCAGAATCTGGACAGAAGACAAGGAAACTGAACAACTGTTTATTATTCATGATTTGCAAAGACCATCAGCCTTTCTCAATTGTTGAAAACGAAGGCTTCAGAACTCTAATGAAAACAGTTGCTCCTCAATATAAACTCCCGAGTAGAACAACTCTAAGACGCTGGCTGGACGATAAATATGAAGTAATTTCAGAGACAATTAAAAAAATGCTATCCTCTATAGAAGATATAACCCTAACAACGGATATTTGGTCGGATACCTTAAATATGAAAAGTTTTTTGGGCATCACAGCGCATTTCGGAATAGACATTGAACTATACTCAATCACTTTAGGCGTGTACGAATTGGATGAAAGACATACATCAGATTATCTTTCTGAAATTCTCTTAAAGGTATGCCAAGACTGGAAAATAGACCAAGAGAATGTAACGGCTGTTGTTACTGACAACGCAGCCAATATAGTAAAGGCGATCGAATTAGCGTTCGGTAGAAGGAAACATATCCCATGTTTTGCCCATACTTTGAATTTGGTAGCTGAAGGCACAATGATGTGTACTGGCTATGTGAACTTGGCACCCGACTTTGGAAAAATTGTTCTTTTTTAGGTTTATTTGAACGATTTCGGTTAGTAGTAGATAGTAGTGAAGCTAACTTCGTTTGTAGTAGTGTCAAAAAAAAAATACAGACAACAAAAAAAAATGTCATCCCCCGAAGTTGGTAAAAAAATTTTTTTTCGCTTGATTCGTATAGAAAAACGTTAGTAGTGGTTTGTAGTGCAATTTTTTTCGTTTGTAGTAAAACAAAAAAAAAATTTTTTTTTCGAGTATTTTTCCAGAACGATTTTTACTACATACATTCATTGTTTCGTTTGTAGTACCATTATTTCATTTGTAGTAACGTTAATTTTGGTTTGTAGTACCATTACTTCGTTTGAAGTAACGTTAATTTCGTTTGTAGTAACGTTAATTTCGTTTGCAGTACCATTATTTCGTTTGTAGTTGTTTGTAGTAACGTTAATTTCGTTTGTAGTAACATTGTTTCGTTTGTAGTTGTTTGTAGTAACCTTGATTTCGTTTGTAGTACCATTATTTCGTTTGTAGTTGTTTGTAGTAACGTTAATTTTGTTTGTAGTACCTTTGTTTCGTTTGTAGTAACGTTAATTTCGTTTGTAGTACAATTATTTCGTTTGTAGTTGTTTGTAGTAACGTTAATTTCGTTTGTAGTTGTTTGTAGTAACGTTAACTTCGTTTGTAGTACCATTGTTTCGTTTGTAGTACCATTAATTCGTTTGTAGTACCATTATTTCGTTTGTAGTATCATTATTTCGTTTGTAGTACCATTATTTCGATTGTAGCTGTTTGTCGTAACGTAAATTTCGTTTGTAGTACCATTATTTTGTTTGTAGTTGTTTGTAGTAACCTTAATTTCGTTTGTAATACCATTATTTCGTTTGTAGTTGTTTGTAGTACCATTCTTTAGTTTCTAGTACCATTATTTTGTTTGTAATGGTTTGAAGTAATGTTAATTTCGTTTGTAGTACCATTGTTTCGTTTGTAGTACCATTAATTCGTTTGTAGTACCATTATTTCGTTTGTAGTTGTTTGTAGTAACGTTAATTTCGTTTGTAGTAACATTGTTTCGTTTGAAGTTGTTTGTAGTAACGTTAATTTCGTTTGTAGTACCATTGTTTCGTTTGTAGTACCATTAATTCGTTTGTAGTTGTTTGTAGTAACGTTAATTTCGTTTGTAGTACCATTGTTTCGTTTGTAGTTGTTTGTAGTAACCTTGATTTCGTTTGTAGTACCATTATTTCGTTTGTAAATGTTTGTAGTAACGTTAATTTTGTTTGTAGTACCTTTGTTTCGTTTGTAGTAACGTTAATTTCGTTTGTAGTACCATTATTTCGTTTGTAGTTGTTTGTAGTAACGTTAATTTCGTTTGTAGTACCATTATTTCGTTTGTAGTTGTTTGTAGTAATGTTAACTTCGTTTGTAGTACGATTGTTTCGTTTGTAGTACCATTAATTCGTTTGTAGTACCATTATTTCGTTTGTAGTACCATTATTTCAATTGTAGCTATTTGTCGTAACGTAAATTTCGTTTGTAGTACCATTATTTTGTTTGTAGTTGTTTGTAGTAACCTTAATTTCGTTTGTAATACCATTATTTCGTTTGTAGTTGTTTGTAGTACCATTCTTTAGTTTCTAGTACCATTATTTTGTTTGTAATAGTTTGAAGTAACGTTAATTTCATTTGTAGTACCATTGTTTCGTTTGTAGTACCATTATTTCGTTTGTAGTTGTTTGTAGTAACGTTAATTTCGTTTGTAGTACCATTGTTTCGTTTGTAGTACCATTAATTCGTTTGTAGTACCATTATTTCGTTTGTAGTACCATTATTTCGTTTGTAGTACCATTATTTCGATTGTAGCTGTTTGTAGTAACGTAAATTTCGTTTGTAGTACCATTATTTCGTTTGTAGTTGTTTGTAGTACCATTCTTTAGTTTCTAGTACCATTATTTTGTTTGTAATGGTTTGAAGTAACGTTAATTTCGTTTGTAGTACCATTGTTTCGTTTGTAGTACCATTAATTCGTTTGTAGTACCATTATTTCGTTTGTAGTTGTTTGTAGTAACGTTAATTTCGTTTGTAGTACCATTGTTTCGTTTGTAGTACCATTAATTCGTTTGTAGTACAATTATTTCGTTTGTAGTTGTTTGTAGTAACGTTAATTTCGTTTGTAGTAACATTGTTTCGTTTGTAGTTGTTTGTAGTAACGTTAATTTCGTTTGTAGTACCATTGTTTCGTTTGTAGTACCATTAATTCGTTTGTAGTTGTTTGTAGTAACGTTAATTTCGTTTGTAGTACCATTGTTTCGTTTGTAGTACCATTAATTCGTTTGTAGTACCATTATTTCGTTTGTAGTTGTTTGTAGTAACGTTAATTTCGTTTGTAGTACCATTGTTTCGTTTGTAGTACCATTAATTCGTTCGTAGTACCATTATTTCGTTTGTAGTTGTTTGTAGTAACGTTAATTTCGTTTGTAGTAACATTGTTTCGTTTGTAGTTGTTTGTAGTAACGTTAATTTCGTTTGTAGACCCAATATTTCGTTTGTAGTACCATTCTTTCATTTGTTGTACCATTACTTTGTTTGTAGCTGTTTGTAGTAATGTTAATATTGTTTGTAGTACCATTAATTCGTTTTTAGTTGTTTGTAGTAACGTTAATTTAATTTGTAGTACCATTGTTTCGTTTGTAGTACCATTAATTCGTAATTAATGGTACTACAAACGAAAAAATGGTACTACAAACGAAATTAACGTTACTTCAAACCATTACAAACAAAATAATGGTACTAGAAACTAAAGAATGGTACTACAAACAACTACAAACGAAATCATGGTATTACAAACGAATTTAAGGTTACTACAAACAACTACAAACAAAATAATGGTACTACAAACGAAATTTACGTTACGACAAACAGCTACAATCGAAATAATGGTACTACAAACGAAATAATGGTACTACAAACGAATTAATGGTACTACAAACGAAACAATGGTACTACAAACGAAGTTAACGTTACTACAAACAACTACAAACGAAATAATGGTACTACAAACAACTACAAACGAATTAATGGTACTACAAACGAAACAATGGTACTACAAACGAAATTAACGTTACTACAAACAACTACAAACGAAATAATGGTACTACAAACGAAACAATGGTACTACAAACGAAATTAACGTTACTTCAAACCATTACAAACAAAATAATGGTACTAGAAACTAAAGAATGGTACTACAAACAACTACAAACAAAATAATAGTACTACAAACGAAATTTACGTTACGACAAACAGCACAATCGAAATAATGGTACTACAAACGAAATAATGGTACTACAAACGAATTAATGGTACTACAAACGAAACAATGGTACTATAAACGAAGTTAACGTTACTACAAACAACTACAAACGAAATAATGGTACTACAAACGAAATTAACGTTACTACAAACAACTACAAACGAAATAATGGTACTACAAACGAAATAATGGTACTACAAACGAAACAATGGTACTACAAACGAAATTAACGTTACTACAAACAACTACAAACGAAATAATGGTACTACAAACGAATTAATGGTACTACAAACGAAACAATGGTACTACAAACGAAGTTAACGTTACTACAAACAACTACAAACGAAATAATGGTACTACAAACGAAATTAACGTTACTACAAACAACTACAAACGAAATAATGGTACTACAAACGAAATAATGGTACTACAAACGAAATAATGGTACTACAAACGAAACAATGGTACTACAAACGAAATTAACGTTACTACAAACAACTACAAACGAAATAATGGTACTACAAACGAATGAATGGTACTACAAACGAAACAATGGTACTACAAACGAAATTAACGTTACTACAAACAACTACAAACGAAATAATGGTACTACAAACGAATTAATGGTACTACAAACGAAACAATGGTACTACAAACGAAATTAACGTTACTTCAAACCATTACAAACAAAATAATGGTACTAGAAACTAAAGAATGGTACTACAAACAACTACAAACGAAATAATGGTATTACAAACGAAATTAAGGTTACTACAAACAACTACAAACAAAATAATGGTACTACAAACGAAATTTACGTTACGACAAACAGCTACAATTGAAATAATGGTACTACAAACGAAATAATGATACTACAAACGAAATAATGGTACTACAAACGAATTAATGGTACTACAAACGAAACAATGGTACTACAAACGAAGTTAACGTTACTACAAACAACTACAAACGAAATTAACGTTACTACAAACAACTACAAAGGAAATAATGGTACTACAAACGAAATTAACGTTACTACAAACGAAACAAAGGTACTACAAACAAAATTAACGTTACTACAAACAACTACAAACGAAATAATGGTACTACAAACGAAATCAAGGTTACTACAAACAACTACAAACGAAACAATGTTACTACAAACGAAATTAACGTTACTACAAACAACTACAAACGAAATAATGGTACTGCAAACGAAATTAACGTTACTACAAACGAAATTAACGTTACTTCAAACGAAGTAATGGTACTACAAACCAAAATTAACGTTACTACAAATGAAATAATGGTACTACAAACGAAACAATGAATGTATGTAGTAAAAATCGTTCTGGAAAAATACTCGAAAAAAAAATTTTTTTTTGTTTTACTACAAACGAAAAAAATTGCACTACAAACCACTACTAACGCTTTTCTATACGAATCAAACGAAAAAAAAATTTTTTACCAACTTCGGGGGATTACATTTTTTTTGTTGTCTGTATTTTTTTTTTGACACTACTACAAACGAAGTTAGCTTCACTACTATCTACTACTAACCGAAATCGTTCAAATAAACCTAAAAAAGAACAATTTTTCCAAAGTCGGGTGCCAAGTTCACATAGCCATGTGTACTGAGTGGAGAAACATTGTTTCTAAAGTAAAAACAATAGTGACTTGGTTTAAACAGAGTTGCGTAGCTAGTGACGAGTTACGTAAAGCCACTGCTGCGGCTATGGAGTCTCCTGCTGGGGTAAAATTAATACAAAGCGTGGATACTCGTTGGAACAGTACATACTATATGTTACAAAGATTTCTAGAACTCCGCAGTGTCATAAATGATATTCTCTTCCGCCACCCCAGAGCACCTGCAATGCTCAGTGCATCGGATATATCTACTGTATCGTCTGTCATCGTGGTGTTGCGACCCTTGGAAGCGGCTACAAAAGAAATTTCGGGTGATAAATACTGCACAAGTAGTAAAATTATTCCCTTAGTTCGTTGCATGCTCTCTAAAATAACTTCAGCTGTTATAGAAGATCCCGTAGCGAAGGAGGTGCAAAAACTTGCTATTAATGAAATAAATAAAAGAATGGGTTCTATAGAACATGTGAGTGCTCTTGCTATCGCAAGTATTCTAGATCCACGGTTCAAAAGAATACATTTCAATGATGCAATAGCTTGTTCGAATGCTGTTTCGAAAATTAAGGATATAATGAAGAAGAATTTGCAAAGCAATGAAGAACCTGAGTCAGATTCTGATAAATCTGATAAAAATGAAGAGGTCTTTTCATTATGGACTGATCACCATAAGTTAGTGCATCGTAACTGGAAAATTAACAAATCTGAAGATGTTTTGTCTGACGAACTTTCAGTTTATCTCAGAAGTCCTGTTGGAAGACTGAACGAAAATCCGTTAGAAATCTGGAGGGATTATAAAATACAATTCCCGAAGCTGTACAAAATAGCTTTCAAGTATTTGACAATAGTTGGCACGTCAGTACCTTCAGAAAGACTTTTTTCACAGGCAGGGCTAGTTTTGACTGAACGAAGGAACCGATTGAAGGGGAAAAGATTAAGTAAACTTTTATTTTTACATAGCATTGACAAAAAATATTGGAATATGTAAAAAAAAATGTGTTGGCTGTGTGATTTTGAATTTGAATAAATATATTTCCTGCTTTTATTAATACATATTTTTGTTTTAATTAAGGCCTAACCTAACCTAAAATACGTCATGGCGAAAACAATCGATGTTTAAGAAACATCGATGTATTTCTCAATACATCGTATTACCATCGATGTGACCGGTCGATGCATTACATCGAAAAAAACATCGATGTATATTTTAAATGTCCATCCCTAAGTTGTCTAAACCTTTACCATCCACTTCTCATGAAAACATCATACCATTAGAAAACTTGAATTTAGTTGAAAGTGATGTTTCAATGGAAAGTAATGTAGGCAGTGGAACTGTAAACATTATTTGTATTTTTTGTGACCAAAAGACAAAAAAACATCGTAATAAAAGACAGCCTTTACATCGTACGGAGAAAGCAAAATTTCTATCAAGCATTTTACAAGAGAATGACAGCTTTCCTGATTTACTCCAAAAAGTTGAAAATTGTGCCCAGTCTAACATTTTTTACCATCATATTTGTCAAGTAAACTTTACCAACAAAATGAAATCAAATAAAAAAGCAACAAAAGGAATTTGGCATGAAAATCGCCACAATCATCAGATAGCTTTTTCTGAGCTAAGTTTATTTATTAAAGAAAATGTAATTGGGAAAGGAAGATGTTTCTTTTTAACTTATCTGCACAGATATTACCTCGAATTTTTAGAAAAAAATGAAGAAGACACCGAAAAAGTTTCATCACATTTTACACCGCAGCATTTAGAAGATAAAATAGTAAATTCATTCAGTAAAGAGGTAAAAATTTTTTTCATTCACAATAAAAAATTATTAGCACCAAAATACCTTAAAAGCATCGATGATCAATCATTTGAAAGTTTACAAGATGAAGACATTTTGCAAAAAGCTGCTTTGCTGTTAAGAAAATTAGTTAAGCAAATTCCGATTAAAAAATTACCTGAGAATATCACTGTGCAGAATTTGAAGGAGGGAGAAGTATCTGTGCCACAAGCTTTATCAGAATTTTATTTTACTCTTATCTCAGGCGGTAATCAGAAACGCAAAAAAGAACGCAAATGCATTCGTCAAGTGCAATCTTATTGTGAAGATGTAATATACAGCATCTACAACGGAAAAATAAAAACATCGAAACACATTGTTCTAGGAATGACTTTAAAAAGTTTAACTAGTAGCAGAAAAATTATAGATATTGTTCATAGATATGGACACTGCATTAGTTATCCAGGAATAGAAGAGTTGGAAACCGAAGCGACATATACATCAATACAAAAATCAACTTTATGTCCTGAGACTATAAAAAAAACTCATAATCTTTGTACTGGTGTTGCCTACGACAATTTCGATCGTTTCGTTGAGACAGGAAGTGGTAAGGATACTTTGCATGATACTGTTGGCATTATTTATCAAAATTTAGATCAAGATAATCAAGATTTAACACAGTCATCAAATGTAATTTCTCCCAATGATGAAGAAGCTTCCGACTTAAAAAGAAGAAGACGAAGAACATTCGAAGCTATAACTGTAGATAAAGTTCCTTACCCTAAGAAACCCAAAATGACAGATGCTATGCAAGTGTCACTCCATGAGGTTGAAAATTTACAACCTGTCAATATGAAAGTATATAATACAATAGATATAATTTTGATGATTAGTCATGCCTTGCAAATACCAAAAGTTCCAATGTGGGTTGGTTTCAATAGTTTAATAAGTGACAATGATCATCCAAAACAAATAATTAGTTATTTAACTCCAATCAATTCATCACCTACAAATACATCAGTAGTACTGGAAACTATGAAACGAAGTCAGCAAATTTGTCAAGACTTACAAAATTTGTCAAGACTTACGATCTCGCTATTGCAAAAATAGCCTTACAAATTCAAGCAACTGAAAAGCCAACATTTGATAATCTGTTCATCCATCTTGGGCCTTTTCATATTATGATGGCTTATTTTAAAGTTATAGGAAAATTTATAATAGATTCCGGATTACCTAATGTTATGGTGCAAAGTAATTTACTGGCAATGGGATCATTAAATGGATTCCTTGAAGGGAAACACTTCAACAGGTGTAAAAGGTTTCATCCTTTGGTGGCAATTGGACTGGAAGTTTTACATTTTAAGTCATTTTTAGAGATTAAAAATATTGTATTCACGGATCTAATGGTACAGGAAGTTATTCGTCTAGGGACCTGTCCTATATCATCGTTTAAAATAGAAAATGAAGAACTTGATGAGTTATTAAATGATTATAACATTTATAAACAAGAGACCCTAAACGGCGAGCATGGCAAAACAGCACAGTTTTATTTGATCTATGTCCGCCTTGTACATTATTATTTAACTTTGTCAAGAAGTATCCGCATAGGAGATTACGAACTGTTCAGATTTATACTGCCAAAAATCACTAATTTATTCTTCGTATGTAATCAACAAAACTATGCACGATGGGGAGTGAATTACCACACTAATTTATTGAACGTTGCCACAACTCATCCTGACATATTTGAGGAGTTTAAGAAAGGTTGCTTCGGCATTAAAAGAACTAATAAACCTTTCTCAAGTCAGCCGATTGACTTAGTATTAGAACAAACAATAAATGCAGATGCTGCCAGGAGACTTACAGGTAAGGAGATTGAAGAAAATAAATGTTTAATTAATCCGTAATTACATTAGTTTCTTTTTCAGAATGTATTTAAATATGTAGCTTCAAGTATTTATATATAAAAAATAATTTGAATTTTGAACTGGGAAAAGATATTTGTAATTGTCGTGTATTCATAAAATCATTTAGTATCGAAATTTTATGTATATAAAGATGATTTATATAAATTGTACAGTACAACATAAAAAAAATTATATTACAAAATTTCAGGTATAACGCAATTTACTAATTCCATCTCAGCACGTCAGCGATGGGCTCGAAGCCATGACTTGAGATCAACGATAATAATCAGCTATGTATATGAAAAATTGGATTTACAAAAAGATCAAGATATTACAGCAGATTTGAACGATCATAATATCCAAAATAGTAATATGCAATTACAAATTTTTATGAATATCTTTCAACAATTTATTAATCCATTCGATGTAGGAGTACCTAAAAATGTTTTAATAAATATTTCAACTGGGAAGGCAGCATCAGCAGAGGTGGAAACATTTCTTCTTAATATTGAAGAACACGGAGAAGCTCTACGTAAAACGTTTATTGCAGAATGTGAGGCTGACATTAGTAGGTTTGAAAAAAGTATCAAAAGAACAAAATTGCAAAACTTTTCGCAAGATTATTCAAAAAAGAAAAAAACAACAATTGGTGGTAAGATTCAAGAAGTACGCGTCCAAAGAGACTTATTTGGACGTATGCTTGGTATATCAATTAATCATAAAATTGATATTTCTAAAATTTTATCATATCCAATTACTTTTGTGCCGTTGTCTATGTGTCATCTTGATGGTGCGATTTGCAAAACACCAAAATCTGCTTTGATGAAATGTTTAGACAAAGATATTGAACATCATCCACCACCGTACATTGATATTTTAATAATTGATGGATTTTTTATTCTTCACTCTATGAAAGATGTTCCTAAATCATTTGGAAATATTTCGAAGAAACTGTTGAAAATGGTAACACAAATAAATGCCTCAAGAATTGACGTTATTTTCGATCAATATTTCACCCCCTCCATAAAGGATTATGAAAGATCTGTACGACAAGAATGTTCACAACTCGAATTCACTATAACTGGACCAGATCAAATTCAACCTGCCGATTTTTACAAAGAGATAAAAAATTCACACTTCAAACAGGCACTTGTTAACTTCTTAATTGTACATTGGGCTACAGATGAAATGGCACCTTTCATTGGCAATAAATTAATAAAAAATAATTTCATGGAATGCCATTCTTTCATTGTCATGAACAATAGAGTTGTATCTACTATTGATCAAAATTTATCGTGTCCACAGCATGAAGAGGCTGACACGAAAATTATTTATCATGTATGCAATATAGATACTCAGGAAAACATTGCAATCCGATGTTCTGATACTGATGTAACAGTTATAATGCTGGGTCACATGCATCGTTTGAAAGACATGAATTCACACGTTTGGGTACTTACAGGCACCGGGAACAATCAAAGATATGTTGATTTAACCAAGATCTATGACCGTTTGGGACCGTTTCTATGTAGGAGCTTAATAGGCTTTCATGCAATAACAGGATGTGACTACAATCCTGCTTTTTTTAATAAAGAAAAGAAAAGACCATTCAAAATACTGCAAAGACGTCCAGAATATCAGCAAGCTTTTACGAAATTCGGTGAACTTGAATTATTCGTTGATAAAAAGAAAGAAGAAGATGTATTTGATGTAATACAGAAATTTATCTGCGAGTTATACAATATTTCAGGAATAATTGACGTAGATGCTGCTCGACTTCAACTTTTTATTAATAAATATACAGTTGTCAATGTAAATGAAGAATTCAACCGGAACAATTTGAGAAATTTTGATGCAAGCAGTTTACCACCTTGCAAAAGTGAGCTATTGCAGCAGTTTCGACGAGCAAATTATATTGCAAGTATCTGGAACAATGCTCATGAGAAGCAACCCAGCACCCTCAGCCCTGAGAACAATGGGTGGATACTGAAAGATAGTCAGTATGATTGTAATTGGTTTGATGGTGATCAATTGCCCAGTTTTGTTAGCGACTCACTACAAAATGAATCAGGTATTTTACTTTCACATTAAATTATTTTTATATGTTGGTAGCTATTCGCAACCTCATTAAATTATTTATCTTTACAGAGGAGCCAAATGACGATGACCATGATGGTGAAGATGAATTGAATATTCAATATGAATGTGAATTTGATGAGGGAAGTAGAAACTCGAGCAACGAAGAGAATGGAGATGAATAACATAATAGATAATATTTTTTTAATCTTAATTTGTCAATTGTAACATTTTCAATCAAAATTTTAATAAAAAATAATACATACCTATTGCTTTAAATTTATTTGATCTAAATATCTGTTAATGATCATAACTATATTTATTTAAAATTTTAATCAAGCTCAAAATAAATAATATAACCATCATTTCAATTATCTGTAATTATAAAGCCATGTAGTGTTCTCACTCGAATTAAAGCGCACGAATAACGCCCTCACGCTCGCACTCACAGGGAAACTTTGAGGTGTCTGGGAGAATAATTGGCCCATTGGATTGGTCTGGCTGCTTACAAAAAGTCTGGAAATAGTACCACGTAGTTATATATGTAAAATTTAGGCTTGCTAAAATGACGTAGTTTACCTAATTTTTAAACAATCTTTATAACGTCTGGCGGAAGTAATGGCCCACAGAAACGGTCTGGCAATAACGATTATCTATTTTTGATAATATTGTCAAAAATATATTTAAATATGAGCCTTTCTACTTTAACGTAGGTAAGTACAGTTTTGAAACACCTTTAGTTCGTGCTACCTGTGAAAGGGCCCCGCTTTCGAGCTAGTAAGTACGCATACTCTCCTAACTACATACTAGACTATAAATTATGGAAATATTAGCTTTGCTAAAATGACGTAGGTCTGGCGGCACTGGGATCTTACTCTACATGATTTAGTCGATTTGAGTACACGATGGCTCCTAAATCCTGTAGGTAAGGAAATTAAGTTTCTGAATTTACATTTTCCGTTTCTTAAATCTAAATTGTGTCCTCACAATCGAAGTTTAAGTAAAAATTGTTACTATTGTCCCCGGTCTACCCTACCTCTGTATACCGGCAACATCAGTTCCTTCAGAGCGCTTATTTTCAAAAGCCGGGATTTTGTGTAATGACAGAAGAAACCGTCTAACACCAAAAAAAGTTAACCAAATTTTATTTCTAAATAGCTTGCAATAATTTATATTTTAGGGTTCCTTACCTCTTAAGGTAAAAAAGGAACCCTTATAAAATCACTCTCTTGTCCGTCTGTCTGTTCGTGTGTCACCACCGATTTTCTTGTGAAAGAAACTTGTGAGTACCAAAATTTACCTGAATTTTCAACTTTTTTTTATTATTCGGAATTTTCCCTTTATTTGTGCTGTAAGACCTTACTTTTAACAAAAATTGACAATTTTAAGTCAACCAAAAGTACCCCTTAGGTTTTGGGTCCAAAATCTATATGGTAGTTCCCGTTGACCTAGAATTACGAAATTTGGCAAAAAGCATGGTCTTACAGCACAAATAAAGGAAAAATTCCCGAAAATAAAAAAAATGAAAATTAAATTTAAACAGATTTCCCACAATTTTTTACGTAACCAACGGTGGGCGAGTGCGACTCACACTTGTCCGGATTTTATTTATTCTTTAAGAAGTACTTAAATATTTCGTCTTTATATTTTTATGTAACTTATAAGAAGAAAAGAATGTTATGTTTTTGTTGAAATTACTTATGTAGTTATTTATACGTAAACTTAAGGCGTGTCCAAACATAGCGCGGCAATCGTGAGCGGCATGCCGCGCGCGATTTCCGCGCTGTGTTTGGACGGCCGCCGCGCACGAATGCCGCGTGTTGCTGCCGCGCGCGAACGAGGTTGCCGCGCGCGTAGTGTTCGTTCGTCAGTGAAGGTGTGTGGACGTAAACGATGGATAACGAAACGGCAATTCGACTTATTGAAATATATGGTTCATTTAATGCATTATGGGACACCAGGCGCAAAGAATATCATAACAATAATTTAAGAGAAGACATGTGGGATGAAATCGCAAAAAATTTCGAGCAACCGAAAGCAGTTCTAAAAACCAAAATGAAAAGTCTTTTAAGCTCATATTTGAGTCTACTAATGCTAAAAGTACAATACTAAAATATTTTTTATAATTGTAATACTCGGTGCCGCTTCTAAAAGGAGCCTGAATAGTTATTTACAATAAGTTTATTTTAGTTATTTATATAAGATTTTTTTGTGGAGTAGTTAGTAGTATATTAACAAGAAATACTAATATTATAAAGCTGAAGAGTTGGTTTGTTTGTTTGGTTGAGCACGCTAATCTCAGGAAGTACTAATCCAATTTGAAAAATTCTTTATGCATAATACTTTCTTAGATTTACGCGAATACTTGACATTTTAAATAAAACTATCTTTTCGGATTTTTTCGCGAATTTATTTTGATTTTTGGTTCCCGACGTTTCGAATGCTTTACAGCATCCATGGAGAGACTGAGGTGTTACATGTCTTGAAGGTATAGTTGTTACAGACAGCCTACCCACCACCAACATGCTTTGGACTTTATGGAATCTTCCTCGCAACGATGGAAGCAAAACTTGAAGGACTAAAATCTGACTATCCTCTTGTCAGCCGTAATGGGGAACTTACTTACCCTTATCTTGCAAGCGCACGGCTGCAACATCTCGCTAAAACCGTCACTGTCGCCCCCGCTCCTTTAGTAAAAGTTATTAATGCTGTCGGAATAATAAAAAGAGATGGCTTTGTTTACTTACCAGCGGTAAGGGCGAACTTACGAGATATAAATAATGAGTTTGTGCCCAGGCCAGAAACTGTACTCTATTCCAACTTGAGAGAGACAGTGGTAGCCTTGGCGAATCCACATACTCCTGAAAGAACTAGGACATACTTTGAACAGCATAATCCTATTCCAGGAGCAATTTTTGAGAACCATGTTCTACAGAATCCAGACGAGATCATGCCGGATGATTACGGTCTTGAAGAGCTGCAAAGAGAGATCCGTGTCATACAGCCGTTTTTGATAAAATTGCAGAAACACGTTCCAAAGCTTGTATCTGGCGTTTTGGATTTTAAGAGCACTGGGAAACCTTCATTGTTTATTAGCAATGAAATGGAAAATTTACGTATTCCAAATAGAGCACGGAATCAAGATATACAGGACTGGTACCGCAATTGTCTGCCACAAGGAAATGATATATACATATTATACATACTATGCAGGTAGGTACAGTCCTAAAAAAGTCGGTATAGGTATCCTTGGCGCATCACGCCAAAGTAGTACTGCTAGTACTTTTCAAAATGCATTGTGTGGAGCGTTGCTGTAGTTGAAACATTCGCAGTTAGAATTATGCCGCATAATGCGATTTAGTGCTGTAATTGGAAAACAGGGTGTACTATAGTATTATGTGATCTGTGCTACTAATAAAAAGTACTACTCGAACTCTCGATGAAGTTTTGTTAGGAAGTATATTATATTAACATTTAAATTATACTGACTACATAAAAACTAACATACCTAACAGAATCATATTTTGTGTAACAGAGTCAAATGAGGATAGGCGGACGGGCCAGAAGACAAGCATATGGCCAAGTATTGCTCGCAAACAGAAGTCCAGAGTAAAAGGGAGATTTTCAAACGCAAACAAAGAAACCAAATAAAAAAAGAACAGTATTGTGGAAGTTAAATGCCCAGCGTCAGTAGCAGCTTATACTCCAATGGAGGCAATTCATTTAAAAACTTATTGTATGTTCACTGCGGCTGGTATAAAATTAAAAAACTTAAAAAATAAAAACCTACTTCCAGGCGCTAAAATGTAAAAAATAACTAAACGGGGGTTTGCATTTATAATATATATATATATATATATATATATATATATATATATATATATATATATATGTATATATGTATTTAAAGTTATAATATATATTGAGTAGTTTATCAACTATCTGGTATCTATAACACAAGCCTTGTAGCTTAGCATGGAACTATATAGTGTTGTGTGTTAATGTCCCAACATATTTATTATTATTATTATTAATAGTGTTACAGATAACGTAGCAAACATAAAAGCAGCTATACGATTAATCAATTATGAACATTTGCCGTATATCGCTCACACTCACATTTTACTCGTGGACTCGACGAGTTTATAAAAAATAAACGACATTGTGGAACTCTTCCACAAGAGTCCAGTAGCTACCAATAACCTAATTGCAATGCACGAATAGCTGAGGCCTAATTAAAAACCATTGAAGCCAAAAATGGACGTAGTCATTAGATGAAACAGCACCCTGGACATGATTGAGAGGATTTTTTCACTTCAAGAACCTTTAAAAGCAGCTCTTGGAATACTACACAATTCAGTAGAAAATCTTACTGCCAGAAATAAAAAAAATTCTGAAGCCATTTAAGCAGCTCACACAAGAAATGTCTTCAGAAAAAAAATTGACTATTTCAATGGTCTTGGCTTCCACAGAAAGTATAATTAAGATTTTTGACGATTTAGGCATAAATACTATTACAGAAACAGAAAAGAAACTGGTAAACAAAATAATAACGGAATTTAAAAGTAGATTGTTACAGGTACCCAGTGTTATCTAAAGCAGCGTTGTTAGACCCGCGTTTTAAGAAGCTAACATTTAGGTTTAATGCTGCAAGTCTGCCAAAGATGCATTGAAAACTGAGCTTCAAAACCAGTTAAACTTTCATAAAAAGTTTCACGAAACGGATTTCTCACACAGAAAACTATATAAAGAACGTTTGGCAAAGTTTAATATGATTCCTCTTCGGAGTAGGCGCGAGATTTTAGAACTAAGCTTTCTACACAGTGTAGTAGTGTAAGTAAGTATTAAGGCATGACGTATATATTATTCAGTATATAATCGAGTATTGGTTATCTTGATTCAAACTTCGTTCGTTTCACTTACCCCACTACTCTCACCGTACATGGCGACCCTGTCAAAGGAATTCGCTCGGTAACGCGATGCGCCTCCCATATTTGGAGGGGAACTTTTGTGTGGCTATTTCTTGTACCTAAATAATAATGGAGTTAAATTATTTTTATTCGCGCCAGCAACTACTCGTATACGTCTTGCATTCTCGGAAAAATGGGTTAGCAACAGTCAAAGGAGGAGACCATAATTGTGTTCCATAATTGTGCAAAATGCAGCAGCCGGCAATAATCAATCACAGTTGGAGCAATTTAGGGTGCATCTTTCCACCATCAATATATTATTAGGTGTGATTGTGCTGGTCATATGTCTGCCGTCCTTACGAAAAGTGCAATAACTCGTGTTTTGCACCAAATTGAGATAAGTACATATTCGGAATTAGCAGAACGAGATCTATATATTCTTTTAGACACTTTTTACGTATCTATGATGTAGCCGGTTTTATTACTAAGCCTAACTGCAATATCTAGGTCGATGCTTTATGATTTACATATCAAGACCGAAATAACTGTAAATAGGAATAACTTACTTACGCTATTTAGTAATTTTACTAACTATATCTGCAATAAGTATATTTATAACTAGCATAGTTCGTCATTTGTAATATTCATTGACTAGTTATAAGTGCAATATGTTTGAGTTATTGCAGATATGATACGGATCCTTATTTTCGTATTGAATAATGTGCTAATTATTTCTGCAATAAGTAGAGTTATTGCATTTATAATTACCATATTTCGTTTCTTGTGATTCTCATTTACTAGTTATAAGTACAATAAGCTTGAGTTATTGCAGTTATCTTATGGGACCTTATTAATGATTGTGGGATGAATACTAAAATTGGTTTAGTAAGTAGATATATTGCATTTATTTGTAGGAAGATTAAACGAATACAGTATACCTACGCGAAATAAATTGCAATAAATTCACTATTTATTGCGTTTATAACTAGCACCAGGAGGTGAGGGGGGTACGAGGGGAGTAAAATATTTCGTGCAGACTTCTGCTGCAGCTGTAGCGGCGCTCGCTTACATCGAGTCGGACGAAAACACGCACGTGCGACCAGTTTGGGCGGTAAGTACCTAACGTATTTAATATTACAATATGTTTATATTAATACGCTATGATGTTATTAGCCAGTGTTACTTTATTTAGTTATTAATTATAGACACACACACATTGTTTTAATTACCTAATTGTACGTTGACTAACAAAAAATATATTATTTTGCTTCAAAATAGAAGAATGATAGAACTAAAAACTTGCTATTAGAAGTAGTTGCAAGGTAAATGACATCATAATTGTGATTTTAATTAATCTCTGTAATGTACTTAAATGTTGATATAACTTTGAAGAGAGATGCCACACGGCCGTTGATCACGCTCCATCGTTTTATACACCATTTTTGATTGGCAATGCAAAATGCGCGCCGCGCGCGGCTGAGTGTAGGTAGTTAGGTACGCACCGACGACGACACGACGTTCGCGTAGGTAACTGACTCCTGGCGCCGGCATTTTGCGAGTATTACGTTATCACTTCCTTGTTTATTTTAAGAGATACAATACTGTGCAAGCTTTTGATGAATAGTATTTTGTAAGATAAATCACCGGTCCAACGGATTAAAACGATTAATATGTAAGCGTTTATATTATACCTAATAGAACTTCGTAGCGTCACCGCCCAGGCGTCACAGCGCACCAGTAACGCTCGTGTGGCATCTCTTTATACTTCCAAGTCACTCGGATTCAATCTCAGGTACTCATCACTAAATTTTCCAAAGTTTTATTTTTATTTTCATTGACACGATCTCTGACCGTGAAGGAAAAAGTAAGAAAACCTATAATAAGCCTGCAAGTTTTTGAATACAAGTATAGATTACTATAAATCCACACTAGGGTAGGTAGAGTAGTGGATGTTTTATCACGATGGTTAAGTGCCATTTGTAATAGGTAGGTGGCAATCTTAAGAATTCCTCGATAGAAAAATCCAATAACACTTGCCCGGCACGAGAATAATTAGGCGCTTGTGACCGCTTGACCATTGAGGCAGTACCCAGTATTATTGTTTGTTTATATTTATCAGTGTGTGTTTTATGCTTTCTTTACGCCTGTTGATGTTTTGTCCCTAAGCATAATATTTATTTTTTTCAGGCAACACCATGTCCAGAAGAGACAAAATTCTTTCTTTGGCTATTTCGCAAAATCAAAACTCAAAACCACATGTTTCTCCATCTGAACCTACCAGCCATCAGCTGATTCCAAGGCCATCAATAATAAAAACGTCTGCTGTTCAAAAAGTCAAATCTTTTGAAACAACCGTTACCAGACATTCTCTTAAGTGCTATGAAACCCTACCATACTCCGAAGAAGAATGTGAAAAGATGAACAGACCTGTAAATTATTTTGAAGATTCCGACGATAGTGTCATTGATAAAGACTATATCCCTGATTTTATAATTTCAGATTCTGATTCTGATTCACCCATTTGTATTAAAAGAAATTTACTTGAACATAAAAAAACTAGAGGCAAAAAGACAGAACGTGAAGAGACTGAACATGATGAGACTGAACCTGAAGAGACTGAACATGATGAGACTGAACGTGAAGAGACTGAACATAATGAGACTGAACATGAAAAAGCAGAACGTGAAGAGGCTGAATATGATGAGACTGAACGTGAGGAAACTGAACGTAAGGAGACTGAACATGAAGAGACTGAACGTAAGGAGACTGAACGGGAGGAGACTGGATATGAAGAGACTGAACATGAGGAGATTAAACGTGAAGAGACTGAACATGAACATACTCAACGTGAGGAGATTGGACGTGAAGAGACTGAATATGAACATAATAATAATAATAATACTCTTTATTGTACACCAAAGAGAAAATACATACAGACAGTAATTAAAAATTAACAAAGATGCACAGTAGGCGGCCTTATCGCTTAAAGCGATCTCTTCCAGGCAACCAACTACCAGGTAAAGGAGAGTGTGAGAGAAATGGTAGGCGGTGTACTTGCTATACGATATAATTATACATACAATATAAATAGATAAACATAATACACATATACATACTGAACGTGAGGAGATTAGACGTGAGGAGACTGAACGTGAAAATAGTGAAGTAGAAGAATGCGTAATACTTGAGAATGAGAAAGGACTGACTAAAGCGGGCATGCCAAGAAAAAGACGTAGATTTGATACATCCCTTGCGGATCGACAAAGACAGAAAAAAGAAAATGCTGATGAAAAGCTGTCACTGAAACCACCGTGTGATGGTAAATGTCGTAAAAAATGCACAACTAAGATTTCTGAAGAAATTAGAAGAGAAATACATGATCGGTACATAAGATTAGATTGGGAGTCTAGAGGTTTATTCATTAAAGGAATGGTCGAATCAAAGGAAATAAAAACAAGAACTACAAAGGAAGGTCGAAATAAAAGAAGAGATGTTTCGTATTACTATCATTTTCAAGTCAAACATGAAAAAATTGATGTTTGCAAAACTTTTTTTTTAACGACACTTGGTTACACCCACAAAATAACAGACATATTCACTCGGCACTCAGTAAGGAAGTTGATAATCAAAAAGATAAACGAGGATCATACAAACGCCAAAATGTCATAGATAGGGACGTAATCAAGGATCATATACAAAGTTTTAATCCAACAATTTCACATTACCGTCGCGAACATGCCCCTAATAAACTTTATCTGCCGAGTGACATCAATGTAACAATGATGCATCAATGCTTTATTGAAAAATATCCCAATATGTCGGTCTCTTTTGAAACATATCGAAAGGTTGTAAAAGAAATGAATATTTCCTTTGCTCATCTCGGGCATGAAGAATGTGAGCAATGTGCCCTCTTTAAATCACATACTGGGTGTTCTCAGGAAAACTGTGACCTCTGTATCTAAAACAGTAAACATAAGTCACGATACACGGAATCCAGAGAGGAATATCAACGAGACAAAGAGCAAGGTCTTACTGACAAAGACTGCATATACTTTTCTGTAGATCTACAGAAAGTAATCATGTTGCCACGAATGGACCAATATAAAACAGCGATATTTTGTCCTCGTGTTATTACATTTAACGAAAGTTTCGTTCCACTTGGAGGTAGTAATGGTACAAATGTTCCTTATGCAGTGCTTTGGAATGTAACTGTCTCTTGTAGAAGCCAAGAAGATATCATTTCAGCATTCAGATAGTTTTTTATACATGAACGCGACATGAAACATATCGTGGTATGGGCCAATTGCGCGGCCCAAAACAAAAACTGGGCGTTTATGTGTTTCCTGGTGAACATAGTAAATAGTCAGCTGATTGCTGCCGAATCAATTACCGTAAAATATTTTGAACCAGGCCATACGTTCATGTCGGCTGATAGCTTTCACCATCAGGTTGAAATGGCATTAAAAAAGAAAAAGAAAGTAGTAAAAGTGATGACAGTATCCGATTTTTACAGTTATGAGGATGTGTCGTCTCAGCATAAAATTCGTAACGTGGAACCCAGAGTCTATCTAAAAGACATCATGGCAGTCAGAGCCGAAAGAGGAGCATTTACAATAAAGCAAAGAGCTACCCACGTGTCTGATTGGAAAGAACTAGATTTTCTACAAGTCAAAATAATCAAAAACAAATGCTTTCCTAATTTTGCAAACAAGAATTCATCGAGAGGAATAACAAAAGAACGAAAAGATAGAATAATAGCCGACTTAGTACCTTTGATGCCTGAAACCAGGAGAGGCTTTTGGTTAAACTTACCTGAAACAACCCGAGCTTCGAACCTAGACTAAAAATATTTAATTAGTTATAAGTTACACTGATAAAAACATTGATCTCAAATTGTGCCTTAAAATAAAAAAGTAGATTACATTTTTTATTTTAAGGCACAATTAAGTTTGTTTTTAATATTAACGATTGTGTACTTTAACTACTATTAAGATTCATTTTGACAAATGAATAATTTTTTTAAATGTTTGTTACTTAATTGTAGTAACCGTTGAATTTTAAATGCTGGCTAATAGACCAGAATTATTATTAATAAGTAAAATAGCGAAGTGATTCCCATTGTGATTGTACTTTTTTAGTTTGAAATAAAAAAAATATAATATGATATTTTTTTTCATTCATTAAATTATAACCGATTTCACATTATTTTAAAAACACAACTTAACGCAGATATTATGAATAGACTTGACTTTACCGAAAACAATTTAATGCTAAATCGGTAAGAGGCAAAATACTGTTTTGCAAACTTCTGTTTATTCATAGGTATTTGACATAAAAGTGTAACATCTCTGTTTTTCTATTAGTAACAAGTTAAAATTTTTGGCGTTTTAAACTAGTCTCTTACTAATGAAAACCGCAATAAATAAGAAACTTAATGCACATTTGGTTAGGATGATGATTAAAAAAAAATGAATTGTTAGTCAAAATTGCATCATGTTGGTTTCCTAACCATTAGTGCAATAAATAGGTTACTTGTTGCGGTTATGACTAGTAAACATTCTTTCTACATAATAATAATACTTACCATTATTGTATTTATTGGTTTTTATATCGGGAATAAATGCGGGAACAAACATTAAGTGTATTGTATGTATGTATGTATGTATTCAGCCCTTTTTATCGTCCCACTGCTGGGCACGGGCCTCCCTTCAGTACGAGGGGAATCAGGCCATAGTCCACCACGCTGGCCAAGTGCGGGTTGGCGGACTTCACATGTCTTTAGAAAACTTGCTAAGTTCTCTCAGACATGCAGGTTTCCTCACGTTGTTTTCCTTCACCGTAAGGCAAGTGGTAATCATGTTAGAAATGATTCGCACATGAAAATATCAGAGGTGCGAGACCCGGGATTTGAACCCGCTTCACTCGGTTTCTCAAGCGAGCGCGTTACCACTGGGCTACCACTGCCTTTAAACACTACGTGTAAAAAGGTTTGCTAGCCGTGATGGCGACGCAAAATGCTAACGATACGAATGCGAATAAAAGTCTACCACCGCCGACGAGGCCTAAGAAGCCATTCCCGAGGCCACGACCTCACTTTAAATCTAAGGAGTTCCCACAGCCACAAAAACCATCCACAGTACAAACACCATTAACTAATGATCCTTTATGGCTTGATTCCTTTGTACGTGAAGGTGATAACGGTCTCACCGCTACTGGAGCAGATCAAGAGACTCCAGCTGATGCCGCCGGCTACGTAGAGCTTGTAGAGCAGGAGTACGACGCAATAGCTTCGTGTGACAAGTATTTTGCTAAAACGGTGCCCCTTTCAGCCTTTGCATATTACCATCACATAGTATGGTGGTATAAGATCGCCTTAATGGCAGCCAAGCATGGCAAGGCTTCACACGACCAGTTACAGCTAATTCAATTGGTCGAAGGATACGACACCGTCATTGGGGCAGGAGCCGCAACATATCTCTCCGGACTTGGAGATTTTACCGACGTGAACGGAGGTAAGCACAGAATCGTCGCGTCAGAGCCAAACCGCGATGGCCATTTTGGAGTTTTAGACCACACCACCCATGGTGCATATGAGACCAAGATCGCACCACTCGTCTCCGTGCATACTGTGTTTGCTGATATAAGAGCAACACTTCAACGTCGTGAACAGTGCGACTGGTGGATAGATGACATCGACGTCGAGTTACCAGAACAACGACGACCACCACGACAAGTCCCGGCCCCCCCTGCGCAGCAGCGCCCCGCACGCGTCTTGAGACCGCGTCGCAGAGAGGTTTCACCTCTCCCAGAACCTATGGGAGTTGGAACGCCCCCACCACCGGAAGAAGTCGACACGCCAAACGCTCGTGATGAAGAAGATGAAGAGCCACAGTGGCGCGCCACCCAAAACCTACTCGGATGGAGACTCGGCAGACCCCTGACGAAGACACAAAGTCAACATCTTCTTGAAACATTAAGTACCACATAATAATTCTCTACATTGTTATACATCATGTAGTGAAAGTTTCAATCCGATACCATGTATAGTGATGGAGATACAATCAAAATAAAAATAAAATCTTTTCCCGCGTTTTTCTCGAAATCAGGTTTGACCGAGTTATTGCACTTTTCGTAGGGACGGCAGATGTGTGGGAGCGATATATTGCGGTTATCGCACGTATAAGCGGGGCCACATGAAGTGGATATCATCGGAGATAACCCGGAATACGTTACGGACGTCTTTATCAGACGTCAGGACGTCAGATCCAGCAGCCCGTTCTTCCCATGGCCGCATCAGACGAGGCCTATCAGCCAGGCCAAGCCCTATTCTCCAAGACGAAAGTGTGAGTGTAGTGCGAAAGTAATAAAAATAAATACGTATCGTGATGTGTTACATATATTATGATACGTCTCGGAATAATAGGTTTATGGATGTATGATGAGACAGTAATTTAACTATTGACTTTAATGTATAATTGTAAGTTATTTTATGTATTAATATATTGTATTGTATATAGAGAAAGGAGGGCGCTGCAGCGCAACAGTAAACAACGGCTCTGTGTCTTTCTTGTTAAAAAAATAAATAAACCCCGCGTAACAGTGAAAAACCCAACAAAAAACAAGTGAAAGTGAAAAATAAAGCATTTTAAATAAAAGTAGATATGTGTTGACTTATAAAAACTATGATAAAGTGCAAAAGTGAAAACAAAACATTACCAACTTATTGTGCGCATAAATCTGACTATAAAACCAAAAACATCTAAAATTATACTAGAAATACAAATATCGAGGGTGAAACAGTGTGTAACAATAATAATAACATTGTGAAAAACAGTAAAAAATTAATTGTGATCAATATAACCTAAAAATTGCTAATACGCATAATCATTATTACGTTATATGTAATTTTTCTGGATAGAGCGACATCTATTATAAATCGGAAGAACTGTTTAGCTTTCATAGATACTAAGACATCGATCTACAATCACAGTACCACAACATTTCGCTAGAGGGCAGGAAACATAAAAGATAAATAAAAAATGGAACAAATCACAGAAATGTTTAAAGCTTTACAAACCAAGTTCGATGAACAAGCAAGGGAGCTAAAAGAAATGAAAGAGAGTATTCCAAATAGTATAAATAAAAATATAGATGAAAAATTTATCATACTTGAAACTAGACAACAGCAGTTAGAAAAAATTACAGAAGAACAAGCGCAAAAAATTCAGAAATTTGAAAAAATACTAAGAAAGAAAAATCTGATATTTTTCGGAGTAGAAGAAACAGAAAATAACTACTTTACCTTACAAAATAAAATTTTAGATTTGATAAATAATAATATGAAAGTAGATTGCCAAAAGGGAGATATTGAGTATGTTTCACGCATGGGGAAAAAATCAGATAAGACAAGACCGATAATTGTTACTTTGACTACGATGGGCAAAAAAATAGAATTACTCAAAAATAAGAAAATGCTGCAAAATTCCGGTACCTATTACATTAAAGAAGACTTTCCCCCGGAAGTTCTTGAGGAGAGAAAGAAACTAAATATCCAGCTACAACGAGAAAGAGAACAAGGAAAAAAGGCATATATAAAATACAACAAACTAGTAATTCTACCAGAAAAAGTAAACTCTCAACAAGAACGTCAAAAAAGAATTTTATCGCAGTCTCCGGAAACAGCGACCGTTATTGAGAAAGAACACAAAAATACTTCTAAAAATCCAACCAAGAAAAATATAATGGATCTATATTTAGTTAAAAATAAACCCGTAAATACAGAAATTAAGTCCCCATCGCATCAGCTATTAACCAAGAAATGACATAAAGAAGCGACCTCTCTATGTCCCCCACCACGGCCGGTCACCGCGGGGGTCACAGACCAAAACCCTCCATTCCAGCCTATATATATATGTACATACAATGCTCGGTCATTACTATCAGATGAAAGGCTACTAGAGTTCAAGCAATCAGTATCAACTATTAAATATGACATCATTGGTCTATCAGAAATCAGACGTACAGGTTATAATATAGAAGAAAGCGAAGACCATATATTCTGCTACTTTGGTGAGACTAAAGGACAATATGGGATAGGTTTCCTCATAAGAAAGTACCTAAAAAACAGCATAGAGAGTTTTACTGCAATCAACGAACGAATCTGCATACTACACTTGAATTTTCAAAATACAAACCTATCTATCATTCAGGTTCATGCGCCCACCTGTAACGCAACTGAATTGGAAATAAAAAAATTCTATGATCAAATACAGGGATCTCTTAAGCAATGCAGTAGAAACCTTATAGTCATGGATGACTTTAATGCCAGAGTAGGTCAAAAAATGAAAGGCGAAGACAGAATATTAGGAAACTCATGCTTCGGAAAAAGAGACAAGAGAGGTGAAGCTCTTCTTCAGTTCTGCTGGGAAAATAATTTTTTCGTTATCAATAGCCTATTCAAAAAGAAAAGCAAGAACATTTGGACATGGCTTTCGCCAAATAGAAATAAAAGCCAGATAGATTACATACTGTCAAACCTAAAAAATAAAATTACTAATATTGAAGTGATAAGCAATCTATCGTTCCCGAGCGACCACCGACTAGTGAGGAGTACTCTATTGTTAACCAACACCAAAAAATCTAGAGCCACATATAAAAGTAACAAATTTTCACTAAAAACTAAATACGAGCAAGAGAAATACATTGAAGCTTTAAAGTTGAATACTTCAAACATAAAACTGGAAGAAAATGATGATATAGAGACGTACTATGAAAAAATTAAGCAAGCAATCGATAAAAGTTTAAAATCCATACGTAATAACAACACAAATACAAAACGACACTTCATCATTTCAGACAGAACTAAAAACCTCATAAAAAGAAGAAACGATTTAATAAATAAAAAACAATTAACATTAGAAGAGAAAAAGGAAAAATGCTATTTATATAAAAATATTCACAAAACTATCAGAAAAGAATATCAAGACTACAGACTAACAACAATTGAAAAATATCTGAAGAAATCAAGAAGTGTGAAAAAAAGTTTGAAAGAATTAACAATATCTAAAAATTGGATTTCTAGCTTGAAAAAGAACTCTACCGGTAACAAGGCAATATTCTCTAGATCGGGAATAATAAAAGCTGCCACTGAATTTTATAAAGATCTCTATGCATGTAAAACACAGTTGAGTAAAGAGACTCTACCTCTACAGAAAAATGATACTACAATACAAAGATTCTCTACTCAAGAAATTTTTACTAAGATAAAATCTTTAAAGAAAGAAAAAAGCAGCGGTCCAGACGGGATATCAAACGAAGCCATTTCTACGGGAAAAACTCTTCTAGTACAAACTTTAACCACCCTGTTCAATAAAATACTAGACGACAGAAAAGTTCCGACTGAATGGGCGAAATCGGATATAGTGCTTCTCTACAAGAAAGGAAACCCTACAGACATAAGCAATTATCGACCAATCAGCGTACAATCAAATCTCTACAAGCTGTTTGCTTCATGCCTTGAAAAACGCCTTGCGATGTACACTGAAGAACACCAGCCAGTGGAGCAAGCAGGATTTAGAAGTACGTATTCAACTATAGACCACATCCACTCATTGGAACTTATTATAGAGAAATACGAAGAAATGAAACGCCCGCTCTACCTAGTGTTCATCGACTACGCTAAAGCATTCAACTCTATATCACATATCAGTATGTGGAGAGCCTTACAGGAATGTGATGTGCCATCAGAAACTATAGAACTCATACAAGACATATATAAGAAAAGCACAAGTAGAGTAATATTAGACAAAACAGGCACGGAAATCGATGTATGTAGAGGCGTTCGTCAAGGTGACCCACTCTCTCCCAGAATTTTTATTACCGTTCTACAAAATATCATGAAGACACTAAAGTGGAAAAACAAAGGTATAGACATTAACGGTCAATTTCTAAGTAATCTTAGATTCGCCGATGATATCATACTCTTTGCAGAAAATTCTTCGCAATTAGAGTCAATGATAAATGAAATTAATTATGTCAGCAATGAAATTGGTCTAGAACTAAACACAACAAAAACTAAAATTATGACAAACAGTATAAAGACACCAATACACATTAACAGTGTCTCACTAGAATATGTCCAAGAGTACATATATCTAGGCAAACAAGTGTCATTTAAAAAGTCTAGACACCAAGATGAATTAATGAGACGCGTAAATATGGCCTGGAATAAATTTTGGAGCCTGAAAGAAATTCTGAAATCAAATATCTCAATGAAGCTGAAAAAAATTGTGTTGGACTCTTGTATCTTACCTTCTCTTACCTACGCATCCCAAACATGGATTTTCAACAAACAAACCAGAAACAAAATATTAACAACCCAAAGAGCCATGGAACGGAGCATTCTGAATCTTAAACTGAGACACAAAAAGAGAAGCACGGATATAAGAAAAACAACGAAGTTGATTGACGCTCTAGAACACTGCAAAAAACTGAAATGGAAGTGGGCTGGCCATATTGCACGTATGAACGATGATTAGGTGGGCCAAAAAGATAACTTCATGGAAGGGACCTATAGGCAAAAGAACCAGAGGTAAACCGGCGGAGCGATGGCTCGATGAAATTTTGAGAGCAGCAGGAAAAGAGTGGTTAGACAAAGCCAACGACAGAACTATGTGGAGAAAAATGGAGGAGGCCTTTACTCTATGGAGAGGTCCTTAATAAATTCAAAATATATATATATATTAACAATAAAAAAAAAAAAAAAATGTTAAAATAGAAGTAAATTAAATGTAGTTAAGTTTTTGTTTATTGTGCAGGCTATTTAAAAAGATTTTATTTCTTTTTTTGTTTTTTTATAAAATTGTTATATACTAAGTGCATGCTCTATAAAAATACTATTAATGTAATTTTATTAAGGAAATAAAAAGGCTAAATTATTATTATTATTATTATATTGTATTACATTATTCGCTTAAAATGTTTACTCTGGAAATATTTATACATATGGGTGGTAAAAAGTTATGGCTCTTGTTTTAAATCAATTATATGAAGAATTAAAGAAAGTAAAATCATATTTAATAAAAATTGGACCAAGTAGGCGACAAGGAAATATATTACAAATAAAGTTAAGTGAAGCTAATGTTATTTTTAATAAATATTCGAGTTGGTTAGTAAATTTTAAAAAAGAGATAAATGAGGAAAAATTGAAAAGGGAACATATATCTCTTTATGAGAATTCTTGTAAGAAGTTTGATTTGTTATATAAGGATATTTTAGATTTGTGTTCCGATTGTGTTGAAAGCAAAAGTTGTATCGAAATGGATACTTTCGATTTAAAAACGGCTTTGACCTTGATGCCTGTTATGACAAATGATGAAACGAGTATAAAACAATTAGTAGATAATATTCAATATTATGATTCCTTGCTTAAATCCCCTGATAGTAAAAATAACTTAATAAGATTTGTATTAAAAAGCAGACTATCACAATCTGCTAAGTTACGTCTCCAAGATAATTATTCTTGCATTGAAGCGTTAGTTAGTGATATGAAAAAACAGTTATTACGAAGTAAAGGTGCAACTCCTATTCAAAAAAGTTACGTAATATAAAACAAAGTGACATGTCTATTTCAGATTTCGGAGAAGAAATAACGGAATTGTTTGTGAATCTTACGATTGCGCAAGCCGACGGTAAGACAGAAAACTACAATGTTTTAAAGCCCATCAATGAAAAACAAGCAATTAAAAAGTTTTCCGATGGCTTACGAAATCGTAGACTCAGTACTTTAATAGCGGCTAGAAATTTCAGCTCGCTGAAGGATGCGATACAAGCAGCCAAAGATGAGGAAACTTCGTCCCCCTCCTTTTCAGATGAAGTAATGGGTATGTATAAACGAAACTATATATCTAAAAATTTTAATAACAGCCTTAGGTATAACCATGGAGCATCTAATCGCCAAACATCTTCACATAGAGGACGCTCGTTCCGAGGGAGATCGCAGCGCGGTTGGAACTCGCCTGCATCGCGAGGCCAAGGCCAGCGCGGAACTTACAATCGAGGTATGTACAATAGACCTTACCGGGGAAGTAGAGGGATGAAAAGAAATTTCATAAATATTATTAATGAACATGAAAAGCCCACTTCAGAATTAGAACCAAAATTAGATCAGTTTTTTCGTGAATAAACAATATCATTCTATTTTAGCTAGTAATAGCGATTGTTTTTTTCATATATCTATAGCTTCGTACGATAAAACTTATTCAGTTTTAATCGATACGGGTGCCTCATTATCGGCTATAACATATAAACATGTGTGTCATTTGAATATCCCATTTAACAAAGATATCGTTACTATAAATGGACTCGGGGGCAAAGTACAAACTATCGGATATGTTTACATTCCAATGTCTTTAAAAGGACAAGTAATTGATCACAAGTTCTTTGTGTTTGACTCGTTACCAATTTTATCTAATAGAATTATTAGACGTGATTTTTTAAAACGATTTAGAGCACACTTAGACTTCAATAAAAATATTTTATCTTTGAATTTTGGGTTGAAACAAAATGTTATTTTACCTATTAACAGTAGTTGTACATTTAGTAATTTTTATATACCACCTCGCAGTGAGTCGGTGCATTTTATTCAAACTGTTATTTGTTCAGAGGAATTACAGGACGGTCTTTATCTTGCTAGTTCAATTGCAAGTCCGGTAAATGGCATGGTTCCAGTAAAAATTTTGAATACCACTGATAAAAATATTACATTGTCGAATATTACTCCTAAAGTACATAAACTTAGTGATTATAATATTTGTTCTTTTGATAAATCAGAGAATAGTTCAGATAGAGTAAAAACTTTATTTTCTTTATTAAAATTATCCGATCTCAATAGTGAAGAGTTAGAGAGTATAAAAAAGATTTGTGCGAAATATGCCAACATTTTTTACTTACCAGGAGATAAATAAACTGTTACGGATATTTATACACATAATATTTCATTAAAGCCGAATGTAGCTCCAGTTTTTGCAAAACCTTACAGATTACCTAAAATTCAGAAAGATGAAATTAAGCAACAACTTGGTGAAATGTTAAAAGAAGGTATTATTGAACCTAGTAGAAGCAACTGGTCGAGTCCCGTATTGTTAGTGCCTAAAAAATGTGATTCAACTGGACAGAAAAAATGGCGTTTAGTCGTCGATTATCGAAAGCTAAATAATTGCATAGAAGATGATAAATATCCGCTTCCTGACATAACAGAAATATTAGAGTCATTATCTGGAAGTGTCTACTTCTCACATTTAGACTTACATCAGGGTTACTATAATGTTGAATTAGATAAAATGAGTAGAAAATATACAGGTTTTTGTTCAGGTCAATACCAAATATATCGGATGCCTATAGGTTTAAAAAATAGCCCTAGTTCATTCTCCAGGCTGATGAATTTAGCAATTTCAGGTTTGAACAATGAAAAATGCATGATTTATATGGATGATTTGATAGTTTTTGGTCGAAATTTGGAATATCGTAATAAAAAATTACAGGATGTATTCGAAGGTTACAAAAAGTAAAGTTAAAGTTAAACCCTTCTAAGTGTACTTTTCTGAAGAAGCAAATTTTGTATCTAGGTCATTTGATATGAAATGAAGGTATTTTACCCGACCCAGAGAAAGTTGTTACAGTAAAAAATTACCCCTGTCCGCAGAATATAGATGAAGTAAAAAGATTTGTTGCATTCACAAACTATTACAGGAAGTTTATACCTAAGTTTTCCGAAATTGCATATCCCCTGAATAATCTTTGTAAGAAAAATGTTAATTTTATTTGGGATAAAAAATGTCAAGATGCTTTCGAAACACTAAAACAACGTATTATTTCACCTCCTATTTTAGATTATCCAGATTTTTCACAGCAAATCCATGCAAATAAATGAAATTTACTGAAATAATCTCGACCCGGTGGAGAGAAAAAAAAAATATATTAACGGGCGGGGTCGAGCACTTAACCCACACAAGTTCCTTTGTTAAGTCGGTTCAGGTACTCTCCTGCGTCACGCCGTAAAGATGGTGATCCCGGGAGCTACGCTCTGGAATCCGCTGACGGCTGGATGCGGCAGAAATGGGTAACCAAACCCGGCGGAGAGTATTCACGTCGTGGTAGTGAAAGTAGAAAACAAAAGGGCGTGAGGGTATACCGGCCGAATTGGTAACCCGAGCGTTGAACCCTGAAACGCGCCATCAAAATACAATTACAAGCGGTCCAATACATATAGCAAACATCCACGGCACTGCGTTATAAAAGAAAGCACCTAAATTGTAGTAGTAGTGCCGTGGAATCATGACAACCAGAAACGGAAATTACCATTTTGAGAAATAAGTTAATTTATAAAGAAATTTACGAATATTTAAAAATTATTAAAAACTGAGGGTGGAAATAAAAAATGATGCAATCTTTTATTTATTTATAACTTTAGCGGAAGAAGGAGAAGACGTAGATGGTAGTGATTCAGGGCCCTCGTCAACTTTGCAAACACCAAAACCACCAACTTCCCGTCGTCGTCCTGCTAAAGATATAGCGGAACGGCAGATGTCTTCAGCTTTTGGGCAGTTAACCAATATGTTAGCCAAAAGGCAAAAAGAATCTCAACCGCCACTAAAGGAAGAAGATGACTGCGAACTATATGGAAAATTATTAACCCAAAAGTTGCGAGAATTGCCTTCTGATGACAGAAAACTGATGATGTATGACATTGATACTTTATTTGTTAATAGAATTAAAGAAAAACAGAGGTGTCAAGCCATATCTTCCTATCACTCAGTCCCATACCAAATGCGCATTACTTCACCAATGCCAAACCGGCCGTCAACCTCTCAAACATCCTATTTCGAACCTTTTCCAAATACATCCCCTTATCTAAACCGTCCATCGCCTTCCCAGACGTCGTACTCTGAACCAACGATTTTACACCAACCATCCACTTTCCAAATGTCACATTGTGAAACCTTACCAGTTAAATCGCCAGCAGAAAACGAAATCGAGTTCTCAAAGCATTCAATCGCATAATATCTCCCAACCGGACTTAAAAAATTATGCAACTCCCACCATTCAAATTATATCTAACGAATTAATTGCACCACAAACAGGACAAAATATTATTAATAAAGCATTACTTAAAGCTTACGAAGAGTTTGATATCTGTAAAAAATGAATAATACTAAATATTATTATACGAGTAATTACATATATTATACTAAATATTATTCATTTTTAAGTTTCTGTAGTTCCGGTTTTCATTTTTCACAATTATTGCATATATAAAAATATAAATAAATATATTACAAAAATATGTAAAAATAAATAAATATATTACAAATATGTATGGTCTTTTAATAAACTGAAACAAAAAATGCCTTACCTTTATTTCGTCTCTCAGAACTTGGTTAATAATAGCATTGCAGACTTCAGGTATGATTTTTGATATTATTTGGGGGGATACTTTGAATAAATAGTGTAAACTTTTATAACTATCACCACTTGCGATGAATCTTAATGTTATTGCTAGACGATATTTAGCTGGTATGGCGTCTCTGAAGTCAGTATCTTGCTTCGAAATTAGAGGTGAAATTTTGTTTAGCAAATATTCAAAATCTAAAAAACTCATACGACAAAAGTTGTGAAACTGTCCTGATGGTTCATAAAGCAGCTCACTAAATTTTTCTTCTATAAATTGTCTAAAACGAAAAAAAAAACGTGAATTAGAATTAAATAATACCAACTCTGAAAATATACCTTATTTGTACTTACCTTGTACGATTTTTGGGAATTTTTATCATCCACCATCGCCTTCGTCTTCTTCTTTTGAGTTCATTTTGTTTAAACTTAAAATAAAAATAAGTCAAACCGAAAGTGATTGCTGCCACAAGCTCGTCGTCCGCCATATTTGCCGATCCCCAAAATACTAACACGTTCGTTAAGCGTGAGGACGACTGTTTGTATTTGATGATTGTGGTCGATGTTTGGAACTTTGTGTTTGTGGCGTACACCAAGCGTATGGACGGGGCTTTAAACGTTGTGACAAATGTCAGCGTCAAAAACATTCCTTACCAATAAGGGAACCCATGAATATAACAACAACTGCCAATACGGCATTTGAAAAGGTATTTCTAGATTTGGTAGGTCCATTTGAAGTTGATAATAATAATTACTCATACAATTTAACTATTCAATGTGTACTAACTAAGTATGTTGAGGCATATCCTTTGGTTTCTAAAAAAGCACAGGAAGTAGCAAAAAGTTTTGTTAACAATTTTATTCTTAGGTATGGAGTACCGAAAGTAATAACTAACAGACAGAGGGAAGGAGTTTATCGCAGCTACGTTTAAAGAGGTATGTAGTTTATTACAAATAAAACAGTTAAACTACATCATATCATCATCTATCATTAGGTGCATTGGAAGTGTCTCATAAAAATTTAAATTCATTTCTTAGAATCCAAACTGATAATCACCCTGAGACATGGAGTAGTTGGCTTCCATTCTGGTCATTTGCTTTTAATACAACAGTTCACTCAGAAACTAAGTTTATCCCATATGAATTAGTATTTGGAAAGAAATGTTCACTACCCAGTAATTTAACCGCACATCTAGAACCATTGTATAACCTTGATGACTACCCTTGTGAACTTAAATATCGTATACAGATGACACAAAAGGATGCTAGAAATAATTTATTAAAATGTAAACAAAATAGAAAATTAAGTTATGATAAATATACTAATCCAATTATTTACCAGCCTGATAATATAATTTTGGTTAAAAATGAAACAGGTAACAAATTGTGTTCATTATTCTCAGGTCCATTTAAAGTAATTAAGGATAAACCACCAAATGTAGAAATATTTAAAAATGGAAAAGTAGAAATAGTACATAAAAATCGTACAAAGTTATATGTACAATGATTAGGAATATCAAGAATTAATACCTATGTATGTCTAAGTATTGTTTAATCTTAGTTTAAAGAAATGTATCTTTTATAATCTTTATATTTTATTGTAATGGGTTTTGTTTTACTTAATTTTATACAAAAAAAAATGTAATAATATTATGTAATCATTTTTTTTTCTTTTGGATGGATGGTGTAGTAGTTAGTGTAAGTAAGTATTAAGGCATGACGTATAATATATTATTCAGTATATAATCGAGTATTTATTATAATAAAGAGTAGTCTTGATTCAAACTTCGTTTCACTTATCCCACTACTCTCACCGTACAACAGTATTATCAACAATAATATAATTAATGCAGAATTAACCGAGAGAATACTGATATCATTTCCTTCTAGGACACACAGAAGCACTCACGTCCACAAGATATTTCATACTCCTTGCGTTAGATTTAATATCGATAAACAAGGCCCCTTGGTACGGTTGTGTAACAAATATAATGATATCCTAAAATCAATTCCTGGCATTGACATTTTTTATGACTCTCCATCAATTTTTAGAAATAAGTTATTTAATTATTATAAAATGCATGATTGTTAATCCTAATTATTATAATATTTTTGTTGTTTATAATGATGATTTTAATTTTACTTCCTATTATGATGTATTATTATCAATTTCTTTTGTAATATGAGATTAATTTATTATTATTATTATTATTATTATTATATCTTTGTACTTTTAATTCATGAATATGGAAATGCTATGTTACACTTATAATTAACATGCATATAAGGTATGTTATTATTACATTAATTAAATTGAAAATGTTTTATATGTATGTTGTAATTGTGCTTTTCACAAATAAATAAATAATCAGCTGTCAATCGAGCCTAACGAGAACGAATTCACGTGAACTATATTTAATTTTACTGGCGACACCGACACTGATAACGACTCAATATGGAAGGATTTTGACGCTTTGACAACGTCAGCGTTTGCTTCGAACTCCACAGTTAGCTGCAGCATAATTACCATGAGGCAATATCTAGAAAACGCATTATGCATAAATGAGTGTCCTTTGAAGTGGTGGCAGGACCGGGCAATTTTATACCCTGAACTCTCAAACTTGGCTGAGAAATATTTATCGGTGATGGCTACCTACCGAGGTAGTCATGATACCGATCATCTAAAGGCTTTTTCGAAGTCGGGCCAAATATTGAGTGAGAAGCGCAATTCTATTAAACCAAAGCGAAAAGAAAAGATTTTATTTTTAAATATGAAATAAAGATTCTTACCTTAAAATGTGTTTTTATTTTATATGTTTAATGTCATTGGGAGAAAAAAAGATTTTTTATGTTTAAGTGTTGTTTAAACATTTTAATTTTTTTCTTTCACATGTTTCATTATTAATTTGTTTCTTTTTAATTGTCAATGCATGATAGATTGTGGTGTTTTTGTGATTTTACATATTTTCACAACTGAAATATTATTAGAAACAGTAAATCCATTGCAAATTCAGTACTTTTTTGTCAGATCCTTGGGGTTGTAGTTATGTTAATGGGAATGGCGTTGAGATTCCCACCATCCACTATTTAAAGTTCTGTGCCCAGTCAGTGAAGCAAAATCGTATGTCCTTAAGCGAGTTGTTAGGAATAAAACAGTTCGAGTAACACACACTAAAAGTTTATTAACAGTACAGAGAGAAAGACAGGAGAAAGAGCGATAAGTAGAGTATACATAACAGTAAAATATAAATTGGAAAGTAAGCACGCGTAGTACAATACGTAACGTAACGTACTGCCCGTCGTATTTCGTAAAAAATAGATCCTATGCTAAAAATAAGAAAAAAAATATAAGTTTTAAAGAAAGAACAATAGAAAAACAAATAAACAAAAGAAGGCAATATGATGTAAAACCCGGCTGTGGTGAGAAATGTTTTAAGTAAAATTATTTATTAAACAATCATTCGATCTTGGAAATCAACTCTTCCTTCATGAGAAAAATATCTTCTGAATCCCTCCCTAATCACTTGTCCTTCTTCATTAGAGAAACTAAGTTTTTCTTCAATGTCCAAAAAATTGTAGTATTGACGATAATCCCCTGGTATCACAATTCCTTGCATTGTGTCTTCTCGGTCAAACAGTGAATTTGGTATATCAGATTCTCTACACATTTTTGACAAAAAAATATGTAACGCACAACATGCTAATATAACATAATCTAAATAATCCACTTGAAGTGTTATAGGACTGTAGAACAATCTGAAACGTGTCGCTAAAATACCAAAGGCGTTTTCAGATACACGTCTTGCTCGAGATAATCTGTAGTTGTAAATTTTTTTTGAATAATCATTATCTTTGTAAGGATACGGTACGAGGAGATTATGCAATAACGGAAATCCAGAGTCACCAATAAAAAGGTATGGAGCTGTAACTTGGGATTGTGGCAAAATACTTTGATCGGGCAAATTAAGGCTTTCATTTATTAGTTTTTCGTAAAATTTAGTTTTTTTCAAAACACCAGCATCAGCTGCTCGATCGTTAATTCCAGCATGGACGTAAATAAATTCATATTTAGCATTAACTACAGCAAAAAGTACGACACTGAAATATTTCTTGTAATTATAGTAAAGAGAACCACTGGAATAGGGTTTTGTTATACGAATATGCTTCCCGTCCATTGCTCCTACGCAGTTTGGGAATTGCCATTTATTCTGGAACTCTTCTGCAATTTGCTTCCACTCCTCAGCAGATGATGGGAACTGTAACAAATATTAAGAAATAAATAAATACCGTTACGTTATATCCGAAGAGGAAACAGATAAAATACTTTAGTTTAAATAAGTGTTTACAGAATTTAATATTTCATGTGACTGTAACATACACTAATTTTTGTTTTTAGGAGAGGGCAACACCTAGTGAAGGTATAAGCAGAAGAAAAAGAGCAAGCACGAAAGTTCAAGAAGAGTTAGTAAATGTTGCCAAAAAGTTATTGACCGAAGCGTCCTAAAAATGCTCCGGATCGGGACATGACATTTGGATTATATCTAAATAATCACTACTCAACAAATTTTCAACTTTTGATTTTATCTGAGGTCGCATTATGTGATTACTATTTCTTGCCACTAAAGTAATAAAAATATGCAAATATACACACACCATCACATCTCAATGTCCAGATAAACATCCATGTCCGAAATCACGAATTTTCCATAATTTTATTGTAATTTTAATTGAAATGGCGTAGTTTTTTTGGAGTGGCTGGCTTTTCTCTTGTACTCAGTAGCAGGGGTCTCTCTAATAAGGCTCCAACAGTAATCCGCGAGCATAGCAGGCTCCCATCTGCCTTGAAATCGCTTTTCAAATGCAACAACATCTTGGTGAAAGCGTTCGCCATGTTCGTCACTGACTGATCCCATATTTTCAGGGAAAAAGTCCAAATGCGAGTGAAGAAAATGCAACTTAAGTGACATATTGCATTCCATTTTATAGTAGCAGTCCAATAAAACTTTTATTTTTTCGCGAAAATCTTCAGATTTCTTGTTACCATGGAAATTGTTAGTGACATCGACAAAAGCGTTCCTTAAAAAAGCTTGTTTTTCAATATTATTGAGAGCAGATATAAAAGATGGATCTTGAATCAGCTTTTTTATGTCTGGACCTACGAAAACACCCTCTTTAATTTTCGCGTCACTAAGCTTGGGAAACTTTTGCTTGAGAAACTGGAAAGCCGCACCTTCTTTGCTTATTTTTTTCACAAAATTTTTTATGAGCCCCAGTTTGATGTGCAATGCCGGCAAAATAATTTTATCTTGCTCAACCAATGGTTCAAATTTTACGTTTTTCTGGCCCACTACTAGAGAGTGACGTAATGGCCAATCTTTTTTAATAAAATGTTGAGCTTGAGCTCGGCTATCCCACTCTCAAAGAAAACAACAATATTTTGTATAGCCTGACTGCAAGCCTGTTAACAAAGCAACCACTTTAAGATCTGCACAAACTGGCCATTTATGATCTCTGTATTTAATTTTTTCTAATAAAAGTTTCATAACGTCATAAGTTTCTTTCAAATTAGCACTATAAGCGAGGGGCAAGGACGGTAACTCATTTCCATTATGCAACAATACTGCTTTCAAGCTACTTTTTGAGGAATCAATAAATAAACGCCATTCAGCAGCTACGTGATTTTGCCCAAGCTGTGCCATTAATCCATTTACATCATTGCAAAAAACTAAGCCATCTTCTTTAGAATAGTACGGAACCAGTGAGCTATGTCGTTTACGATAAAAAGATACCTTCACATCTGATTCACATAGATTCCATTGCTGTAATCTGGATGTCAATAATTCTGCCTTATCAATGGGTAAATTTAATTCTCTTATTAAGTCATTAAGCCTAGTTTGATTCAATAAAAGTGGCTCAGATGCACATTTTGGGACATATTGGGGGTCCTCGCTATTTTCACTATCCGTCGAACTCGAGTCGACTTCAACTGTCTGAATTAAATTCACTGGGCACTCAGGAACAGGTAACTCGTCAGAATGTGGCTGAGGTTTTATTACCGATGGCACGTTGGCATACTTAATACTTCGTTTTGATTTTTCAGAAAACCCCTTTAAACAAAAATAACAATCGACGGCATGATTCGTTGGCTCCATCCACACCATTGGCGTACCAAATGGCATTTTTTTAGTTGTTCCCTTACACCAACCATTGAGATATGTATAACATCTTAAGCAGCACACTTTAGGAACCCATGACTTGTCTTGATTCCTTACGACACGGTTAAAATAAGCTTGATAGCACTGTTTAATTAAGTCAGAAAGTGGTTTTTTTTTCGATTTCGGCGTAAACTCGCCACAAATATAGCAAAATAAATCAGGACTGTTAACACACACTCGCGACATTTTAGAAGTCAGTTAATATACTAACAAATGCACTATGTTCCATTTGCAAAAGTAATAAGTTTCCGGACTACCCGCATTTTAACTTTTGTAGGTAGGTAAAAAAATAAAAAAATATTTATCCCTATAACCAGATGTGATATCGAAATAAAATGCATACAGTATTTTTATATTGGTCAAGCTTATTATGAAATAATATGAATTGGGTCAGATATTTTTTAAGTGTTGAGTATATAATCAACTCCAAAACCTGTCACATGATCAGAAAATTTATGCAGAAAAACTAATGTCAGATGTTTTGTTTTTGGCAAGAACAAACCAATTAAATGCTACTTCACGTATCTTCACGCGTCCATCCTCTCAAACAACCACAACATTAAATGAATACTCTTCATCACCTATTCAATTTGTCAACTCACCTTCACCATACGCAGAAAATGTGCGTTCATCAAAATGATATAATTACGAAAATGTGGGGTTGAACCACAAGGGAAAATAAGTAATGAGTGTCTAATAGAAATAAAAACTAGCGTTAACACAAATAAGAGATTACAAAAGTTAAAGCAAAGCGATAGAAACCGTTACGGTTTGCTAAGCTACTGGCTAATTTAAAAATTGTGCAACACTTACCCAATCGGGGTTTAATTCACACACACAGAATATGTTTAACAGTAATATATTGTTGTATTATGGAATTAAAAGGTCGAGGAAACGATAGCGACGTCTTAATTAGAAAAATTTTAAAATCTCGATTACGACGTTAGTAACTCGTATTAGGGACCGAGAAAAGACTGACGTGCGTTCGCCTCGACAACAAAAATCGTTCTCTCGGCTACGGAAGCGTTCTGTCCGCGGTCTGCGATGCCCTCCCTGCGCACGCGCCGCGAACAAAGGAACTCGTTTCTGGTTGCATAATATGTCGCTTTTAATACAAACGTGGTGATAAATTGTTGCTGGTATAAAATCTGATTTGATGCGTTCATTTAATTTTTTTTTATTTCAATATTATAAATAGTTTTTTTTATTGTAAATATTATTATTGTAAATAACTTCTTGTGTTTATTATTTTTTTTATTATTATTTGATTATTAAGAATTAAGACATGTAACAATTAATGTTACAATAATAAAGCATTATATTTGTCTCTTGTTTTAAGAGTTTAAAAGCCTCATAGTAGCTGTACACACTCACCGTGACACACCAAGACAGGCCGAGAACGAGTATGTAGACGGTGCATCCGCCTTGTCTCGCTCTCTCGTGCCTCGCCTCGGTCGGTCTCGATCACTGGTCGGTTTTTAGCGCCCGAGTCAAAGGGTCTCGTTGAGTCTCGCGAGGAAAACGAGAGCGAGCATGTACACACTTGTTCAGTTAGTTTATCGCTGACTGTGTTCGCGTAAAGACGGGCTTCGCCATGTGGTCTAATGAACATAAATTACAATTTCTGGAGTACTATCAAATGGAACCAATATTATGGGATTCTAAACATGTAAAACATAAGGACAAGCAAGGTGTTCACGATGCTTGGATGCGAATAAGCAAGCGAATGGAAATTTCTATAGCAGAGTTAAAAAAGAAAAGAGATTCGCTAATGGCCACGTACATCTGAATCAGAAAGCTTAAAAATCATGTATGAAATAGATGGATTATTTATTAATACTACACCCACATACTCTGCACGGCCTTCACCGATTTACACATCGTGTTCAGAACCAACACAACGACTTCAATTTTCACATCCGAATACATCACCAACATATTATGTACGGCCTGGATCGTCATGTACCTCATATTCAGAACCAGACATGTCAGCAACACGTTCTTCCTCAGCCGTTTTCAATACAAATACCATACAAATTTTGTCTAATGAGATTGTGAGCCCACCAACAGATACAAATTACGACATTCTCGGTCAAGCATTTCACCAAGCATAGCTGAAAAAAAGAAAATTAGATTAAATCCTAAATAAAACCTTATTTTCTTTTTTTCGGCGGTTGTTTTTTTTTTTGTTAAAAAGCTATTATCTGTAATAAATAAAATTTATAAATAGTAAATGTTGTTATTATTCTGTATCCACATACTCGTACCAGAAACTTATTATTATTTTTTATGTCACCATGCCGTACTCAGGGAACAGAGTGAGACCACCAAGTACAGCGTTGTGTTTGACGGCTCTGCACCTACTACGTCAGGTTATTCAATCAATGACCTTCAAATGGTTGGCGCGAATATTCAAGACTCGTTGTATTCTATTTTAATTAGGTTTCGTCAATACAAGTACGTCCTTTCGGGTGATGTCGAAAAGATGTTTCGACAAGTACTAGTGCATGAGGACGATCGAAACCTACAACTTATTTTATGGCGGGAAAACGAGAATGAACCCATAAAAACATTGGTAATGAACACAGTCACATAAGGGTTTGCTAGCGCCACTTTCTTAACCACACGTTGCCTTTGGTAACTGGGGGAGGACTGTGGTAATGAGTTATTTAAGGTCATAATCCAAAAAGATTTTTATTGTGACGATCTAATCACAGGGGCGGACTCAGAGCAAGATTTGCTCCTAATTTTAAATTCTGTTTCCTCTATTCTTAAAGGTTGTTTCAACTTGCATAAATTTTGATCAAACATACCTAATATATTTTCACAGTCCTCACAAATAAATTTACATGATAATCTGAGTTTAAGTGAGTCTTCAAGTGCCTTAGGTCTAGGGTGGAGTCTTACTTCTGACTGTTTGCATTTCACTATCAATTTACCCACTTCAAGTGATCAAAATATAATAAAACGATTTGTTATGTCTACTTCTTTCAAGATTTTTGATCCGCTGGGACTGTTGTCGCCATGTACTGTCCAGCCTAAGTTGCTTATTCAACAACTCTGGATCAAGAAGTTAGACTGGGATGAAACAATTCCCCATACTCTTATAAAAAATTGGGATAAAATTGTTAATAATTACCCGCATCTTTCTTCTATTCAAATTCCACGGCAAGTTTTATTTACATGTTTTTATTTGTAATAATTTGTTTTAGAATTGAAATCTTTAACCCTTAATTTGACTGTGTTCACTGTGATAAACATTCATAAAAAATAAATACTGAGCGACTATTATTCACTATTTCTCGGTTTTTATTTTAGTTATAGCAAGTGTAAAGTATATTTATCGGTATAAAAAATAATTCAACTAGTGGCAGCATCGTTTATCTGTCATAATTGAGACAAGATGTCAGCGAGACGCGGGCACTCGAATCTTCGCAGGGTAAATGTTTTTATTTTAGATGTTTTACATAACTAAACTAACTTTTTTCTGGTTTTAATTTACTAAAAAATGTTTATGCTTTGGTTTGGAATGGGTTTTACGTAATGTTTTATGTTTTTGGTAACTTTTTTTTGGACGAAAACTTGTTTGTTCATCACAGTGAACACTGCCAAATACTCGAACAAGTATTGTCAATTTGATACGTTCATTGTGATGAACATTGCCAAATTAGGTATAACTTTTATTTACAAATAATATGCTTTTAAGTGGTGAGCTTTTACAGATTACCAGAATAAAATACAAAACCGCACTCATAGAATACGAGCTCTTGTTCCTGTCGAGCATGCACAATCCAACAATAGTGATAAATCCGAAAATAACAGTGACTACGAATTGCCACCACCTTCTCCAAGTCCAGTTTCATCTTCTACGCCTTCCATTAATTCTTGTTTAAAACTCTTAGACCTCAATAATAGTCCCGAATCTGAACATATTCAAAATGATGATGAACAGCCGTTAGACCATCCGAAATTTTATAAACTCATTTCTTAGATCTGAACCAGCACAAAACACAAATAGGTACTGTAAATAGCAGAAACAAAGAAGAAAGATAAAAATTGATTGTCCGCAAATTGTTCGCGAGTACATATGGGGGGTGTATACCTACTGGTTGATATGTTGATATCATTGTATAAAGTTCCGTTTAAAGCTAGAAGGTGATACATAGAAATATTTAGTCAATTGCTATATATAGGTATGTATAAATAATGCTTGGCTATTGTATAAACGTAACTGTTATAGAAATCAACAAAAATCACAGTCACTGAAAGTTTTTCGATATGAGATTTACTTGAGTTTAACAAAAGAAAACCGATCTGTACCTCATGATAAAATGCAGGAATGTAAAATTATAAACCTAAGATCAGCCAGGCCTACAAGCACCATCAGATTCGATAACACAGGACATTATTCCGCCCAAAGGAAGACATGGGGCGATGCAAGTTTCGCCAAAAAATACAACGTACATTGTATAAAATGCAATATGAGAATTTGCCTTGTTACGGGAAAAAATCCTCGCAATTGTTTTTAACATTTCCATAATAAATAATTTGATTTATTGATATACATAGTACTTTTATTTTACCTGTATAAACAACACTAATTTGATAATGTTTACCACTGTGAACATTAACAAACATTACAAATTACTTGTTGTTCTCAATGTATTTCGCAGTGTTCACTGTGATGAACATTGATTTCCTGAAAACCTGTAAATAAAATATTTTTTATCTATTTTTCCCAAGTTGTATTTAACCCTAGGACTTCAGAAATACATTTTATTTCATAAAATAAAACAATTCGGATCTCTGCCAAATTAAGGGTTAATTGTCTAACATAATATAAAACTTTAACGGCGATCGGTCTGGAGGTTAGATCCAATAATAAGTTTTATTAGACAGAGTAGCCATTAACCAGTATGCATTTTTTTGTCTATAACTAATAAGTTGCAATTTTTTTTCTTTATATTTCGTACAGGACAATTTTGTGAAAGAAGGTAGTGGATCGAAACGCCATGGTGATGGAACTTTCAGGACAATAGATACATTTTTCAATAAGATACCTAAACTTGAAACTATCAATAAAAGTGATGAAAATGATTTAGTTACATCTGGTATAGATTCTAAATCAAGGGAATCATACTGCACATACTTCTAATGAATGTATATCAGATTCTAAACCCAAAGAAAAGTTTTCAAATCAATTTAACTTTTCTTCCGATATTGGATATTATAAAGGGAATAATAATATTAGCGCTTTGACTAAATTCAATCTCCTTACAAATCATTGGATGCCACCGACTGATTATCAGTTTCCGTTTTGTAGCGTAACTAAAAAAGGTAGGCAAACAAAAAAATATGCTCAAAGATCTCATCTCCACAAATTCCACTGGCTTGTGTTATCACATAAAGATCAATGCTTGTACTGTAAATATTGTGCACTATTCGCTACTGGAGTTGGTGGTGGTAATCAATCAAACACTCATCTTAAACGACTTGTTAAAGAACCTTTGAAAACCTTTGATGATTTACTAGGAGAAAAAGGGTCATTTTTAACTCGTCAGCGGAATCAATATCAAATGACTGTTGAAACTGAAAATTTTTTCTTACTACTTATCGGAACCCTGAACTTGAGGTCATTAACCAAGTTTCTAAACAGCGGCTAGAACTAGTTAACGAAAATAGAGACCGGTTACGACCTATTAATTATTAGCACGATTATTTTGTGTGGTCGACAAAATATTCCATTGCGTGGCCATAGAGAAGATGGAGTGCTGAATTTGAATGATAAAAAAATTGAACAAGATAGCTTAGTAGATAACCAAGAAGGAAATTTTAGAGCTCTTCTTAAGTTTCGTATCGAATCTGGAGATATAGCCTTGGGTCGACATTTAGAAACAGCAGGACCAAATTCCAATGCAACTTATATTAGTAAAACTACACAAAATGAGTTAATTAACACATGCAAAAGTTTAATTCAACAAAAGATTTTGATTAGAGTAAAAGAAGCAAAACTATTTTCATTAATTTTTGACGTCACTCACACCGCACAGCTTAGTCTCTCTTTTCGATATCATTATAATGGAGTAAGTCAGTGAAGATTTTATAACATTTTGTGACGCATATGAGAATATTCGTCAAGAAGACTTGACTGGAGAACGTCGATTGACTGGACGCGCATTAGCACACATAGTTGAAGATCTTTGTCATACATTTAATATTGACTTGGCATTATGTGTTGGAATTGGTACAGATAGTTGCTCTGTGATGGCTTCGGATACCAAAGGTGCAGTTTTTGAACTTTTAAAAAAAGCAATTCATGCGAAATGATGCCCATGCAACAACCATATTTTAAATAATTCATTAGCAAAATCCTCAAAGGTCACATTTTGTCGCAATACTTCTGCAACTATGAAAAAATGCGAGTAATTACATGGAAATAAATCATTGCAAAACAACAAGGGCCTTTGATATTCAATTTAAAAATCCTCGTTATTATCTTACTCTTGAAAAAAATTATTTGGGACCGCTCGCTCAAGATTCGATTCAAGAATTATCGAAGACAACAAATCCTCCAAAAACAGAAATTCAAAATTTTCGAATCAGTTGTTTAAACTTCTTTACTGAAATAATATCACAAATCAAGGACAGGTTTGAGTTTAAAGACTCCATATTTAATATATTATCAGTTTTAGAGCCTAAAGAAGCTCAATCATTTGAAAAAAAAGATTTAAGTGACATACTATCAAGATTTTCGACATTAAATACAATCATTGATGAGAAAGCATTGGGAAGAGAATGGCGTGAACATGCATTATTAGAGTATGAGAAATATGGATTACAATCAAATCTTCCCGCTGAAGAATATTGGCGAAAAGTATTTCAGCTACAGAAAATTGCTGGAGGGATTATGTTTCCAAACTTAAGAAAAGTTTTTTCATTGTTATTCGTACTTCCTTTTTCGAATGCTTGTGTGGAGAGAGTATTAAGCCAATTAAAACTCATAAAAACTGTTCATCGAAATAATTTACATACATCTACCATATCTGCCCTTATGACAACAAAAGAAAATATCAAAGATGCCATCAAATTTGAGCCTAATACATCTGTTCTTAACAGTAAGATAAAATATTAAATACATCGTATTAGTCTTAGCATGTCTCAGTATGTTTGGATTTATTTTTACTATGATAACTTTTCTTTTCGTTTTTTATCATAGAGGTGATTACATTTCTTACTATTTTTTACTGAATATACGATTCATCTTCTCTCTCACACCAGACCTAAACGTTCATACATTTTTTCTCACACTCACTCGATAAATAGTGATTTTAAGCCAATATTCCTAAGATGTAGATTAAAGTCTTTAAAAATAGTTATATCTTTATTTAAGCTATTTGAAAAAGACATAAACATTACAATTTTTGTATAACTTGGCAGTTCTTGGTTCAAGAAAAACTTATTCAATGTAACAATATAAACAACTGGTCATGATAATTTTATATTGTTTCAGGTGTAGCCAAATGGAGTCATATTGTTAAATTTTATGAATCTGACAACTCAAATCCAAACTTCGTGTAAGACAGGGTGCAAACCCTGTCTTAGACAGAAACATTTAAATCAGAATACAAAACAAAAAAATAGAGTAAAACTAGCTGTTCAATTGCTGAGCCACACTGTTGCTGCGGGCATGTTTGGCAAAATATCACAAGGTAACTTGATTTATTGAAATTTATGCTTGTAAAGGATTCCAAGACATTTTTAGGGTTCCATCTGTGATTTAGTTATCTCTATGTGTCTGTGAGTTACAACAATTTTACTTTGAGACTATTGACACAATGTGAATAGTGTATTTCTGTTTATTTTTAATGTTTACCATTACAGTAAGAATACTATTGAACCAAATTTAGATATTTTGGAATGGAGACAGATTGAACCCTGGGGAATGATATAAGATAGAATATATAATGATAGAAGATATAATGATATTTATCCTAACGACGTGAGAAGAGCCACGGGCTGAACCTAGTAGTAAATAAATTGATACACTCTTATTTTTTAAATTATTATAATAAAATGAAATATTATGTTCTATTACAGGTGAATTAACAGCTGATGCGTCTGTGACGGCAGATATTATATCTAGAATGGATAAGCTGTTTGACACTCTCAACAGCGACACAGTGGACCTGCGGAGAGGAAAACCTTTCGCGACTAATTTAAAAATTTCCTTTTAACCCGGCGTCATGGGGGTTGGGTCTGTGAGACCCGTCACATTTTCTATTACTTGTAGTTAAATTAGTATCGGTGCGACGTTGCCGTTCTTCTCAGTAGCTGGATCTGTTGAGTTGTTCTATGCGTCGCAGGTAACAAATTAGTCGTGCGACAGCCGCAGCGGGAGTTACACGTGCACAAATCTAAAAAAGGTATGTGAGACCCATCCCCGCAGTTAGTGTAACAATTTCGCGCCATTTTGTATACGTATCATTTTAATTTTTTACCGTAGATTTATGCTTTTATTTCCGTTTGTTTTTGTTGTTGTTTATAATTTAAGTTGCTACGAGTAATATATAGTTTAATGTATTTTATTTGTGTTTTTGTAGGTACTTAGTAAAAAATGGACCGAGAAGAGAAAGAAAGACAGCGTATACTGTCGATTTTACAAGACTCTGACTCTGAGTCTGCGTTGTCAGACCAGGAGTGTATTGAGGAAGATCATTTGAGTGAGCGTAGTCATCCCAGTGATACAGAGCAAGAAATCTCAGAGTCTGACGATGATGACATTACGCTATCTACGCTGTCGCATAGAAATCGTTCGCCACAGTTGGAAGAACATTCTACATTTGGATCGACTTCGAGCTTTTATCGTGGCAAAGATAGTACGATTTGATATAAGACGCCTTTTCGACAAAATGTCAGAACCAGAACGGAAAATATAATTCATCAGTTGCCAGGTGTAGTGACAGAAGCAAAATCGGCGATGTCTGAAGTGGAATGCTGGAATCTTTTTATTACTGAGTATATGCTACAAATCATACTTATGCATACTAATTCACGCATTGAACCTAAAACAGCTTCGTGTACTAATTTATCTAAGTACACACATGTTAAAAAATGCACTATGATTGAATTGAAAGCTTTTATAGGCCTTCTTAATCTTGCTGGTCTTTACCGATCAGGCAGACAAAATTTGAGCGATTTATGGGCTACTGATGGGACGGGTGTCGATATTTTTCGGCTTGTAATGTCTTTACAGAGATTTTATTTTATTCAAAGTTCTTTGACCTTTGATGATATTTCTACACGTCAGCAAAGAATTCAATTAGATAATTTAGCTGCAATTAGAGAACTTTTTGAAGCTTTTGTAGAAAACTGTAAGAAAACCTACATACCAAGTGATTGTCTAACAATTGACGAAATGCTTGTAGCTTTCCGAGGTAGGTGTAAATTTCGGCAGTATATACCATCTAAACCTGCTAAGTACGGCATAAAAATTATTGCTTTAGTCGACGCAAACAATTATTATATCAAGAACCTAGAGATATATCCCGGAAAGCAGCCTGAAGGACCTTTTTCTATAAGTAACAAACCATTTGATTTTGTTGACCGGATTGTACAGCCTATTACCAGAACAAACCGAAATGTCACATTTGATAACTGGTTCACTAGTTATGAACTGGTGCAGTATTTGCTCACGGAACATAAGTTGACATCAGTTGGTACCCTGCGAAAAAATAAAAGACAAGTTCCAGCGGAATTCACTAAAACTCGCGGAGTTGAAGTTTTTTCATCCCGATTTGGTTTTCAAAAGGACACTAGTTGCTCATGTGCCTAAAAAAAAAAAGTGTTGCTTATGTCTAGCCAACACCACAATGATGCCATTGATGAAACAACAGGAGAGCAACGCAAACCTGAAATAAATACGTATTACAACAGAACGAAATGTGGTGTGGACGTAGTTGACGAGCTATGTGCTACATACGACGTAAGTCGTAATTCTAAAAGGTGGCCATTGACGATTTTTTATGCTTCATTAAACATAGCCGCGATTAATGGCCTAATAATAAATAAAATTAATAATTGTTCAAAAACAAAACGAAGGCGATTTATAAAAAACCTGGGCCTCGGTCTTGTCATGGAACATCTAAAACTTCGTCAAAATATATCAGTCCTTCCACGTGAGTTGCGACAAAAAATTGGAAAATTTGTAGGTGAGTCTTCAAGGGAACCTCCGGCAAAAAAGGCTAATGTTCGCAAAAGGTGTCAAGTGTGTCCAGCCAAGAAAGACCGTAAAACAAATTACACCTGCGAGAGTTGCAACAAATATATTTGTTTGGAACATATTGTACCTTTCTGTGCTGACTGTACCAAAGATAATGATTCGATCGATTATTATTTTTTCTTCCAAAGATAATCTGGTTTCCTACAAAAAAGTGCCATTAAAACATTAATAGTGTTTGTTAATTAATAATAGAGTTACATTTAAGTAGATGAGAAAGATTTTATTAATATTTGTGTTTTTTTTTAATGATCTAATAAATATGATTAAAACATGATATTACATAATATTTTTCTTTTATTTATTTACTTCATATATCTAAAAAACCAAATACGGATAAATATTATCTTTTTTATTTATAGTGTTTAAATAACTGATATATAATAAACGGGTCTGTGAGACCCACCCCAACGTCCATGTAACATTTTTCCACCCCCATGACGCCGGGTTAAATGAAATGAAAATATTTTTGCAATCAATCAAATTCGTAGGCTCCAAATGCACAGTGCCATTGCAAATAGGTTGGCTGTGGACGCTTAATGCAGTCGAAATGTTGTGGGAGAATTTGCGCCAAAAACACCCATCGATTAAAAGTCTAGCGACTCGAAGGCTGCAACAAGATACACTAGAAAATTTATTTGGCTGCATTAGAGCAAATTGTGGTTCAAACTGCAGTCCTACTACTGGCCAGTTCATTGCTGGCTTAAAAACCTCAATATGAAGTAACCTTTCCCACGCTAGTTATGTAAACTGTGAACTTGACTGCAATGAGGTTGCAATTTTAAAATGTTTCTTAAAATCAATAATCACCCTAAAAACCATAATGAAGACATTTTAACCTCATCTACTGCATGGAGATTAAATAATGATGACATTCACCAGGAAGTATTTGAGGAGGATGGTGAATCACAAGCATGTGCTTATGTGTGTGGATTTTTGATAAAAAAATATAAAAATGATTGTGAGATTTGTAAAACAATATTTACAACATCAGACCGAAGAGTAATGCATTATTTTATACAATTTAAAGAATATAATGATTTTAAAGAATCTCTAAAGTATGCCAGCAAAAACTTTGTTCTGTGTGTAGAATCTTGTGCCACTTACATCAATAATTATCTATTAAGTAATTCACATAAAATAGGACTAATTAATGAATTAAGAAACATTTTAAAATATTTCCATAAATTTTAACTTTTTAAGTGATTGCACAGAGCACAAAGAAAATAATATAAATTATATAATTAACAGTGTTTTCCATATTGTAATTAAAAGATTTTGCGCTAAAAAAATATATCTTGTGCCGTCAGCACATTACATTATATGTATTTGCGCCCTCAGTTGGAATACACACATATGACACTCGGATGAGATACTCGTACTCATAACAAATATATCGTTCAGTTTTACGTGTTAATTTATTAGACCATATAGCACCCAACCGCTAAAGTGGTGACCCCGACGTGATCCTGGTCTGCTGGTGACGCTCCAGGATATCGTAAGGCTTACGACGTTATTTATCAAGAATTCAATTACTTCAAGTTTCCAACTCGCAATAATCAAATATGAGTACCCCCGTCGGGCAGCAGAGCAAAATGAATATTCATTTAACACCTCAGAACGACGCTGTCGAGCTAGCGTCGGTAACAGTATCTTCAAGGTTACGAGAATTTTGGTGTGACCAGCCACGGTTATGGTTCGTGCAAAGTGATGCGGTTTTGGGACCACAAAAGCTCAGTGACGATGCAAAATTTAATTAAATCGTCACTAAGTTAAACAAAGACATTATTCAACAAGTTAGCGACATACTTTTGAATCCACCGGAGACAAAAAAATATGAAACTTTAAAAGCTCGCCTGTTAGCGGTGTACGAGGAATCGGACACCAGTAAATTTCAAAAATTACTCAGCGGAATAGAATTGGGTGACCAAAGGCCTTTACAGCTTTTGCGTCGAATGAGAGATTTAGCGCGTGGAAAAATATCGGATAAAACACTTCTCATTATGTGGCAAAGTCATTTACCTGCTTCTGTACAAGCTGTTTTAGGAAATTCAATAACTCCCCCGTCTTACGTCCAATCGAAGAGCGGTTTTCGCTAGACGTATTCTTTTTATTCCCTTCATCCTACCCACCCAACAAACCAACCACCCACATCCCCCCCTCCCCCCATTTTTTCTCAAACATCATGGATCTTCACAATAGAGAGGGAGGGGCTCCTCCCCCCCTCACTCACTCCTCTCTCCCCTGTACCGTTTCTGATATAACCGATATGGAATCTTTGATTAACGCTATTAAGAAGCTCTCCACGTGCATTACGGATGCAGTGTATGACAGCAAAAGCGTTACCGCGGCCAACAAGAGGCTGATCGCCGCCACCGCCGACGAGATAAAAAGGGTTGCAGAAATAGTCCCTAGAGTTATCAATGCCGAGCACAGACCCGAACCGACACCTCAACCAGCGGACGACCTGAAGAGTGAGATAATCAGTGCAGTCAGGCAGGAACTGGCTGATTTCAAGAGGCAAACTATCGTCGCCACCACCACCAACCAGCAGCGACAGGGGCCAGCTTCCGTCTTATGCACAAGCTGCGAGCACGGTCTCCAAAAAGCCACGACCATCACCACAGACAACGCCACCGGTCACCAGGCCGGCGCTCATCATCATCTGAAAAAAAGGAGGGCTTCTCATCGGCGGACACGCTATCCTCTTGGAGGGCATCTGTGTCCTTCAAGGACACCAATTTTACCCCGGCCGGAGTACATTTTGTCTCTAATAATAAACTCCGGGTCGAATTCGACAGTGAGACACAGCTACAAGCCACTCTGAAGAAGGTCGGTGAGTCTAATCCATATATCTTCTCCGCAGAAGTCTCTAAAAAATTAAAACCCATGTTTATTGTTAAGGAAGTGGATTCTGACATTTCACCAGAAGAGCTTAAATCTATAATTATTAATCAAAATGACTCAATTAAAAATTACATTAAAGACAATAGTGACCTAGATTTCAAATTTAAACGCCTTAATAAAAACGAGAAATTATACAATGCAGTATTTGTTACTGCACCATATTTATGTCGCACTATTCTAAAATCTGAAAAGTTAAATGTCGATCATCGACGCTTATACATCGAGGAATTCACTCCCTTACTCCAATGCTTTAGATGTCTTAGCTATGGTCACACCCGTAAACATTGTAAGAACAATGATACTCACTGCTCCCATTGCTCCGAATCTGGTCACGAGTACAACGACTGTCCAGTGAAGAAGGACCCTTCCAAAGTCAAATGCCATAACTGTAAAACTTTTGCTGAAAAGAGCAATAGGGGCAGTGATAAATTAGATCATAGCGCCACATCTGACTCTTGTCCGAGGAAACAAACCATGATCGTCCGCACTCGTACTAGGATCGATTATGGATCATAATCAACCAACAGATAACACACACAACAGTCTTCACACACATCCATCATCATCTCATAATTATAACACTATACAAATCAACCTCGGAATTCAAAAAAGATAAGACACCTATTCCGTGGACCGATGACTCTATTAAAGCTTTTGAACAATGTAAGGAAAGCTTAAAATGCGCAGTTACATTGTCTTTTCCATCTCAAAATGCACATATGTCAATTATGACGGATTGTTCTGCCACCTGTGCCGGAGCAGTCCTACAACAAAAAGAAGGCGACTCATGGAAACCACTTGCATTCTTTTCAAGCAAACTGAGTGAAGCGCAACAGCGCTACAGTGCTTTTGATAGGGAACTGTTGGTTATTTACATGGCTACAAAGCACTTTAGATATTTAATAGAAGGCAGACCCCTAACTGTATATACGGATCATAAACCACTAGTTTATGCAATTAAAAATAATTCTGTTGGGAAAAATGATACACCAAGACGGTTAAGACATTTTGATTTTATTTTACAATTTTGTACGGCAATCGAATACGTCAGCGGGACCGAAAACGTTGTAGGTAACGCATTATCAAGGATTTATACTATCGATTTTCCTTCTCCGACAGACTACGAAAAACTCGCAGAAGCTCAGGAAAATGATAAAGAATTGAAATATTTAATTAATTCAAACAATTTGAAATTTAAGAAACTAATTTTGCCGAATAGTAATATACCTATTTACTGCGAAGTGTCTACTAATAAGGCGCGTCCATATTTGCCTCTAGAGTTTCGTATAACAGCATACAAAGCTATACACGATTCCAGCCACCCAGGAGTTCGCGCCACAAGAAAATTGATCCGAGATCGCTATATATGGGCCGCGATGAATAAAGATGTTGCCATGTGGGTCAAATCATATTTAGATTGCCAGAGATCGAAGGTGCAACGTCATACTATATCGCCACTTGGAACATTCCAGAAAAGCCAACGCTTCGAACATTTACACGTGGACATTGTTGGCCCACTAACTATGTGTAAAGGATATCGATATTTAGTTACCATGGTGGACAGAGCAACCGGTTGGTTAGAAGCTTATCCAATTAAAGATATTACGGCTGAAACGATATCATGGATAGTTTATTCAGGCTGGATATCAAGATTTGGATGTCCATTGCGAATTACCACGGACCGAGGTCGTCAATTCGAATCCAACTTGATTACACAGTTAGCAAAGCGAATGGGCATAAAAAAATTGAGAAGTACAAGTTATCACCCGCAGTCAAATGGTGCCGTTGAGAGAGCTCATCGATCATCGAAATCGTCGATCTTTGCAAACAGCCGTTATGTGCAGAGGCAATTCGGAAGATTGGGTGAACGAATTATCGTCAGTACTACTGGGCTTAAGGGCAAGTGTACGCGATGACACAAGTGTAAGCGCTGCCGAAATGGTTTATGAACAAGTGAAACGCCTACCAGGAGATTTCTTTTCGCCCACAAAGCTAGAAATCACTGAAAATGAAACTTTTTTGCAAAATTTGCGACATAGAATAAAGCAAATTTCATCGATTCCGAAACGAGAAAATAGGCAAGGTCGTATATTCGTACATCCTGAATTAAGCGCGTGTACACACGTTTTCGTTAGATGCGATCAAGTCACGAAACCACTATCTCCACCATACTCCGGTCCATACAAAGTTATCGAACGTACAGACAAATATTTTAAAATAACGAAAGCAAATTCGCTGCAATGCGTTAGTATCGACAGATTAAAGCCAGCATTTACAATTGACACCAAAGAATGCACAAGCGCACCATATGAGGATACGACTTATGTAAACAAAAATCGGAATGAACCGAGGATTACAATATCTGGTCGTATTAGGAAGCCAGTCGTTCGCTTTGCTCCGTAATAACATTATCTGTAATTATAATAACGATGGGAAAACAACAGAGCAAAGAAGTCAAAGAGGAAATAATAATAGCGCAAAATGGTGCCGGCAATGAAGCATCTGCAACTACAAAACACTCAGAAACGATATTTAGAATTGAGCTGTATTTAGTTTTCATAACTTTATGTATCCTGGGAATTATAGGATATTTTATTTGGAAAAATTGCAAAACTAACTATGGGAGATACATGCGCAGAGAGTTGCAAGATTTAGCAATTACACCTTATCGCATTAGCGACCAGGGCCCTAACAGCCCGGTTACTCAGCAAGTAATTGTGTGATGTGAAGTGAATTATTTGGTGCCTAGTTAAAAGGCATGTATAAGTGTAAGTTATGTGTTACATTAGTTTAATGATACTATATTCGAATTATGAACTCTATACTCACGTAATATACCACATAATGTTAGTTAATAAAACAACATATATTTAAGCATGTATTTCTATTCCAATTTCATGATGTAACATGGAATATTATTATTTTATATTGTTCGAATTATGATATAGGTACTTATATTAAAACAACCTTATTTTGTACTATTTTAATTACAGCTAATCGAATTTCAAGATGTGAGTAATCAATACTTTATTTTATTTTTTTTGCGTGGCTTCAAATGATCATTAATGAAAACAATGTTAACTATTTTTATTTCTTGTGTTTTGTTCTTTATTCAGAGATTTTATTGCAAAAACATTATGTAATCATTTTTAGTATGTACAAAGATTTTATATTCTATGTTTATATCTATATAATATTTTATAATTTTACCTATTTTTGTCATTAAGAAATTGTATTCCATATATTTTTTTAAAGGGGGATGTTATGTGCCGTCAGCACATTAGATTATATGTATTTGCGCCCTCAGTTGGAATGAGACACTCGGATGAGATACTCGTACTCATAATAAATATATCGTTCAGTTTTACGTGTTAATTTATTACACCATATAGCACCCAACCGCTAAAATCTTTATCAAAAGAATCTGCCACAAAAGCACTTAAAAAAATCAATTTATTGAAAAATATGTAACTAGTAGTGGTTTGTGTTACTTTGTAAAACCAAACTGAACAATCCAAAATTTAATAACCTTTGCAAATTATATTATTTTAACATTGATATATTTTATGTGTATTTTGAAAACTTAAAGACAACAAAGACAAAATTTTATTAGTAATAAATATATTATTTATTTATGTAAATTTGTTGTTCAATATATTTCTATCTTATCTATTATACCAATTGTGTCATTTACGATTAAGTACTTCTGATATTAAAATCAAAGTACTGTTTTTATTATTAAAATACTAGTAATAAACTGTGATCTTATAAATAAACCACAAACTTGTGATTTATGTTAAAATTAAAATTTATAAAAGCAAGAAATGCCTCTTATTCAACTTTTAAGTTTTTTCTTAAACATTAAGGCCACCTAAGCGAAGCTGGAAAATTATTACCAGTGAAATTCAGCGGTTACAATTTTCCAGTTATGATTTGGTGGACAGAACATGCCGACCTTTGAATAAATATTTTAAAGAAATCAGATTTTGAATTCTCGATGCTTTCTCGAATTTTTGGGTGGCTACCACATTTTATTTGTACGTACTTGACATTCTTCTCCCTAGAGTAAAAATGTTGTTTGGCGATAACCAAGAATAAAATCTTGTCTGGCTAGACACGACGCGCTCTGTGTTGTTGCGGTAAAGGGAGGTGCGGGGTAAGCGAGCCGCGAGGGCAGTTCAGGTAGTTTCAGTACGTTTTATGCGTGGACATGTTTACATTCTATAGTTGTTCCTACAATTTATTATTTTACACAATTTTATACGCGGGATGGAATCAAATAATATGTCATTGTCATTTCAAGATGATACACGTTTTATAATCTCCATTTATCTAAATACTTTTGAAAATTTACAATTTTAAAACAAATCTCTTTGCTCTAAACTGTGAAAATTCATATTTAATCTATTTATCAGCGAATTATAGGTGAGTGGTGTTATTATTTTATTTCCTTTTTTGTATTTTTGTTAGATATAGTACAATAAAAACATTATTTATCTCGCGTACTGCTATTACTCCGGTAGTGCCCCCACGCTCCAGAACAGTCTTCAGCGCCAACTACACTATCTCTCGCTTATGCAAAATATATAATAAATTCAGTCCGTTAATTGACATTAACATTGATTCCCTTAACACTTTTCGCAAATTAATTTTAAGCAACCTAGTCAACCAGTCATCCTGATCATCAGTGTGACAGGCCACTTTCTCATATTAGTTGTTACGTCTTTATTTTAATTAATCGATTTTAATTTAGTTTCTTTTAATATATATTTGGTTGAGTTAGATTAAGGTTTTTGTTTTATCTAGTTGTAATTTTAAGTAAAACGTTAATGAAATATTTGTTTCACTAAATATATAGGTAGGGTTTGTCAGACTTTTACAGATTTATTTTTTTATTATTTTTTGTTTGTTTTTGGTTTTAGTTGATTTCTGTTTTTAATTCACTTTTAGATTTATTAAGTAATATTAAGCGAAATTAGCATGTAGTGTTTACCTTTAAATGATTTTACATACCCTGTTCATGTAATGTAAATTGTAAGTATTTTAAGAAATATCAATTATGTAAATTCGCTGGTAGACCCAATAAATAAATAAATAAATATATGTGCATACATACCTTTATTTTTGTATCTGTCAACACTTCATTTGTCTCGTCATCTATGGCGACTAAAAGATGTCTCATGTCTGGTATATCTGCTTTGTTAAGAAAAACTTAAAAATACAGAACAGAGAACCTACAACATAAAAGCTTTTTATTTACCCAAATCCAATAGGTTATCGGCCCAGACACAAAAGTAGAAAAGAAGAATAATAAAACCGGATAATTAATGATTCTTTTTAATAGGAATTTATTTTTGGTTTTATAGCGTGCTTGCAAATAAAAAAGCGGCACGGTAGAAGATAAAGTTGCAACAAAATTTGCAATACAGAAGAAACCTAGATAGTTATGAAAAGGAATGTTTATATAGAAAACAAAATTATATAAAAGACAAATGGAACGGGCAATTATATTAAACGAACAAAACTGGACAACATGGCGGTTCCAGGTATCCATTGTTTTAAAGTATCGAGGTTTATACAACATGTTCACCGCGAAATGTACCAGAGAAGAAAGAGATAAAGATCAGAAAGCTCAAGAGTTAATTGTAACGAGAGTGGAAGAGAATATTCTAACACTACTCACAAGTTGTGCAACAGCCTATGACATTCTTTGATAAATTGCGTGAGCAGAAGGATGATCTGAAAGTCATATCGATTGACTGTCAAAAAAATCTGCCCATTCCAAAGTTACCGGACCAAATTTGTCAATTTTACTTTTATAACTTCACCATGGTAGAAGGATCTTATAATCAGCCAACCGAAAGGATCGAATGAAATTGCTAGCGCTGTTTTTCATTATTTGATTACCATTTTTCTGAGTTCCAGATTAATAATTATACATATATCACACAGGTTCGTTTGTTAGCAGATGGGAGCAGCGGCCAAAATAAAAACCAATCTGTTATCCGTCATGGAACTGCGTATTACTTAGGAATTCAAATCAGCTGAAGTCTTAAAAACTACAACCAACATTAACTTTTCAATAAAAAATATCGAAAAGATTTTTCTTAAAGGATTTGTGACAAACAAAATGTGTATATTCGAGCGGAAGTCTTACCAAAATATCTGCAAAGGAAAAAAGAAGGTTTCTGCTATAAAGCCAGATATGATTAATTTATACTTTAACATTAAACACGAAAAATTAAGTGATGTGAAGAAATTATGTACTACACATTGTGCGCGTATAGGGGGGGTTTTACTGGGATTTATAAATGAAAAATTAAAAACTTTCATGACTGAACAGCACGCAGTCTTACGATTTATTGCGAATTTTTAAATCACCGTCTGCGCTACACATGACAATATATGACAGGACGCCTGAGAGAAAAAAAGAGCATTACGTTGGTCTATGGTTATGTTGCTTAAAAATAACTTAATTGAATGGTGCTTCAACACACTTCTTGGAGAGAAGTCCGAGCCAGTGTCCACTAGGAATCGGCGCTTGGTGTTCCTATCCTGGGTGAAGAGGCGACTAGATAGGGAGTGGCAGTCGGTTGTCGTCATTACTGACTGCCCTGGTTTTTTCCCGACTTCCAAGTGCAAGGTGTTATGCATTTTTTGCATTTGCCTGGAATTTCCTGTGATAGTAACATAATTTTCCAAAACTCGAGCTTTGTGGACGTTGTGTATGTGCATGCTCCTTGAGCGTGACCTCATTCTATGATAGGGAGTCAGACTGCAGTAGCAGCTGCATCCATCGAGGCTGGACTTGGAGAGGTTACAGTTGGGATTGGGATTACAGAATCAATGACATCCGCCGGGGCATTTGTGGGCGTAGTACCGACGGCGACGCAACTTGCTTCTGCGGCTTCTTCAGTGTCTTCAGGCTCTATACGTTCCTTCAGAAGCGTCATAAGTAGCGCAACATCTGCCGTCGCAGAAGCACCTACCGAGGGCATACGCACATTAGGGAATGTGTCTTCCGGACTTGTAAGAGAGTACATGGCTGCGCCACACGTTATACAAGTGAGATCAACACCTATTGGAGCAGAGTTGGATCCTACTATATCTGCAGCAGTCGCCGCAATACCATCCGCAGGCAATGGCCGCTAGAGCAGGGATGTCCAGTCGTCAGCTCATAACACGTATCATCTCTGCCACGACGCGGGCAATATCACACCCCATGAGACGGCGTAGGTCAGCTGGTTGGAAGGGAGAAGAAAAGAGAAAGAAAACCACAAAGGAAAAGAGCCCTTTGAAGAGGCCCATCTTAGTGTCGACATCGTCCACAACTTCCACCACAGAGCAACCCTCTACATCCTCAACAGAAAATACACCACCATCAAGCGAGACACCTTCAACAACACCATCTACGACCACAGTGTCCCCATCAACTACTCAGACAACATCATCATCAACTTCGACATCAGCGCGCATAACTACGGACTTATTTCAAAATATACTAATATTATAATTAGTATTTATAATACTTTCTATTATAATTAATCAATGTATCATGAATACACGTCATGTACCACTAAACGGCTATATACCAACGGGAGTAAATTTTGTGGTGGCTGGAAGGGCATATGGAGACAGAGATATCCTATTTGATTTGGGGTCAATGAGAGCAGGCCCAATATTACACCGTTGTCATCCATTATTTAAGACACCATTTATCGGCATAGAAAAAGAAAGAATGAGAGATATGTTGGCCACAATGTTTAATGTCGATATAGAGCGAAGCCCCATTAGTACGTTGCGCTGCGTTGCGTCGTCGCAGCGTCATTTTTCATATATTTTTTATAACATGCCCCACTAGACCGTTGCGTCGTCGCGCGCGATGTTTCAACGGATCGACGGACAAGAGACGAAGCGGGAGGGAGGGTGATGCGCTGCGTTGTCGAAGCGCCGCTGCGACGACGGACAGTGATCCATTACCAGAGGAGGAAGCTAGACAAGCGTAACGACATTTTTTAACATCATGAGTGAACAGGAGATTGATATTGATTTTCTCATATCTTTGGTTCAAGAAAGACCCATTATATGGGATAAATCACACGAACACTACAGTGATAAATTTCGTAAAGCGAATGAATGGGCAGCTGTTTGTAAAATAATATTTCAAGATTACGAGGAATTTGAGGACCAAAAAAAGAACAAGATTGGTAAGTTGTTATTTATTATGATTAATACTTAAGTTATTCTACAACTTTTATAAGTCAATTTATATCTTTTTCAACTGACATGGTAAAGCCCCTTCCGGACTCATGAAGTAATTAGCAAATTGATCTCTGATAAAATTTACGGCTAATGATTCTTCATTGACGTGGGGTCTCAATTGTGGGAACATACTTATTGCCATTTTGTCTTGTTGTCGTAAACCATCATGTTGTATAACAAAATTGTGTAAAACACAACATGCTTTTACGATATTAATAGTTAAATCATATGCTGTATCAATTGGCCTATGTAAAATGAGCCATTTATTTGCCATGATCCCAAATGCACATTCCACGTATCTACGAGCTCTGCTAAGGCGATAATTATAAACCCTTTGTTTCACGTTGAGATTTTGTCCGCCGTATGGGCGTATAACATGCTTACTTAAACCAAAAGCTACATCACCGATGAGTACGTATGGGATTGGTGGTTCGTTAATATGATCATTTCTAAGTGGTTGAGAAACAGGTAATGGTAATTCATTTCTCATTAAAATCTTGTAAAGCGTCGAATTTCTAAAAATAGTAGAATCACTTTTCTTTCCATATGCTCCCACGTCGACAAAAACAAACTTATAATTTGAGTCAACAACCGCCAGCAAAACAATTGAAAAATAATTTTTGTAATTATAAAACAGAGAGCCACTTTTGTCCGGTTTTATCAAACGTATATGTTTCCCATCAATTGCCCCAAAGCAATGAGGAAAGTTGGCTATGAGATTAAAATCTAATGCAATATTTTGTAGTTTTTCTACTGTAATCTCTTCTATGTACTGTGGTCTAAGATATTTCTACACAGCTTGACAAACTGACGAAATAGTTTTAGAAATTGTTGATCTTCCACGTTTAAATTTGAAATGCAAGTCGTTTATCGAATTTCCACTGCCCAAGTACCTGAAATAGAAGCACAAAAATTAAACAGGGTGGCACATTTAGATCTGCAATCATAGATTAATATTCTTTTTTTTTTTTTCTTTCTTTGCAGGTAACGAGATCGTGAAAAAATGGAGAAGCGTGAGGGACAACTTTTTTCGATATGTAAAAAAATTAAAAGAAAACAGTTCGTCTGGATCAGGGGCAAAACAATTTAAAAAATATCATTATTACAATCAGTTGCAATTTTTGTTGAAAATTGCCCAAAATAAAACTGACAGTAGCCTTAAAAACGTGCCTGATGAAACGGAACGAAACAAAAACACAACATCATCTTCTCCATCTCAAGAAATGTCCTCGTTACCCCCAGGACCTTCTCGCTACGTGCCTGCAAGCCGCAAGAGATCAAACCAAGCAATAGATGATTTCGAGGCGCAAACATTAGAAGCGTTGCATGAGACAGAAAACCGCCACTTATCATTTTTCAAAGGAATTTTGCCTTCTTTGGACGGCTTTACGGAATTACAGACTTTGACATTCCAAAGCAAAGTTATTAATATCATTACCGAAATGCGGTTCGGGGAACAGACTCAATCAACACCATTGCAGTCACGCGGATATCAAACTGGATAACAGTATGGATATCACACTACACAAAATGCCCAGTCACCATCACCATCGGGGTATCGTACAGATGAATTCGACGCTTCCTTCGCAGCCAACACTACAGTTAATAATTTGACAGATGATAGTCAAGAAGAAGAATATAACTTTGCTGTTGACTAGTAGTAATACTTAAATTAAACTGATTTTAAAGATAATAAATGAATAACTGATGAACATTTTTTTTTAGCTTTAAGTTTATGTATTATTATTTAAACATATATATTTAATTATTATTATTTTTGAAATTTCTTACCTCAATGTAATACCAATCACTTCAATTGGTTCTAAAGGGTTCCTGAATTTGGTATACTGTTTCTTTAAATATGGTTCTAAGATTTTAACCAAATTATTAAAGCTGGCCTCACTCATCTTAAAAAAATTGAGAAATTTCTTTTCATCTAACAACAACTCCCTATATTCCTGCATAAAAAACTGACCATCACTATTTCTTAATGCTATCAAAGGAGATATCCAGAATCTTCTATGGTTTCTACGTTTATTTCGGCGGTGGCGTAATGAAAGCAACAAAAGAACACGTTTGTATTTATCCATTGCGAAGGCTGAACTGAGACGCAACCAGTGTTGCTGCGACGCTCTTGCGCTGCGACATCGTGCATCGTCGCAACGCAGGTGTGGCATACAATGCGCTGTTCCGTTACGACGACGCGACGCAACGCATAAATGGGGCTTCGCTCATAGAAGTTAACGAGTACATCTTTTATGCAGGATACCCACAATACGTGTCATTACACCAAGAAATCTTGAGTGATTTACTAGACGTGGCAGGGAGTTCTAGCTGGAATTATGAACAACCGGAAGATAACCACCCTGTGCGTAGGACAACCGGAGATGGGGATGGAATCAGATTTACCACTTTAATACAAGGACAAGAGTATCCTCCCATCTCATGGAATAAGGACCCCGACTTCGTATATTCTATACAGGCTCTTCTGGATACTCCATCTATCACAAGTGAATTTGAACGTATGCATCGACAATTAAAAACTGACTTGATGTGTCATGGTGAGTCATGGCTCAGGGCACTGCCTTTAGTTCTACTTGGCATGCGTAGCGCAATAAAGGAAGACTTAAAAACATCAGCCGCAGAGCTGGTCTACGGTGAACCCTTGCGTCTGCCTGGAGAACTAGTAGTGGCCCCAAAATCAAATCCAAACGTAGAAGACACAAACGACTTTGTTACACGTTTAAGATTGGATATGTCGAAGTTGCGACCTAAAGCAGCATCCCGACATCTGGGGAGGACAAACACGTCTACATTTATATTTAAAGAGCTCACAACTGCATCACACGTCTTCGTTCGCGATGATTCTGTCAGAAGTTCTCTTAGTCCGCCGAATATTGGTCCGTTTCCAGTTATTCGACGTAAAGACAAGACGATAACAATAAATAGGAAAGGAAGTAGTAGTCAGCCTCGATAGAGTGAAGCCTGCTTACCTTGAAAATTCAGAACCTTCCAGCCCAATCTCACAAAGAACAACTCAAATCGGAATTGCTCCAACATCATCTCAATCAACGACGAGCACATCAAATCAAACGCTACCTGAGCTAAAATCACCTATGGTTACTAGATCCGGACGTAGGGTACGATTTAAACAAATTTTGGATTTGTATTAAAAAAATATTTTTTTTTTCTTCCATTTCCTTGTTAATTATTTTATAATTTGTGAGACACATTCTCTTTTAAATGTTCTTTTGCCTGCGGTTACTTTCTCCGTGGGGGGGGGGGGGGGGGGGGTGTTGTGTCGCGTATACTTATTATTAATATACAATATTAACATAATAATAATATTATATAAAATAATTTAGATTTTATAAGTTTTCGAACGTCACTTAATTTATATTGTTTTATAATCTGTGTAAATGTGTACCGTTGCCGCCATCATGGCAACACAGACGCTCTTCTGGCCGTCGCTAAGACGATTGCTTAAAATTATATATCTCAGGTTAACTTACCACCATCCATATCCATAGAAGAAACTAGTGTTCCCAACAGTTACAAAATTCAGTTTTTTATTTGTCTCCAATCGCGACAAAAGTAATATATAATTTTACATGACGAATGTCAACTTAACTATATCTTCTTTTTAAACGGGCGAAACGAAATACAAACATATAAAAACTATTTTAGTGTTTCGCCACAAGCATCCTTGCAAATTCTTCATTCCCAAATGAATGTAATGTACTCTACACACCAAAGCCGCTGACCCGGCGGCACAGGCCGCCGGGTCAACGGCTTTGGTGTTTGGTCTCAACCCGCCGGCCTCATTTTGTACAATCATGCCGTCGCCGCGCGGGCAAGCCGGCGGGGCAGCATGCCGATGCCGACGGCATCCCTCTCTCACTCAGTTGCCCGCCGGCATTCATAGAGCAGTGACGTATCACTTGTTTATTCTCTGTTGTTGTGAAGTGTGAATTTTTATTTTTTATCAACTAACCAATATGGAGTGGGACGATGATAAAGTTATAAAACTAATAGACCTCTATCATTTAAAAGAAATATTATGGAACCCAAAAAATAGTGACTACAAAAGCCGGCCAAAGCGTTACGACGCATTTAATGAAATTGCCAGTGAATTTGCTACTGATGTTCCGAAAATCGAGAGAAAGATAAAAAAATTAACTAGTCATTATTACCGAGAGAAAAAAAAAGAAGATAATTCAAATAAGTCTGGTGCGGGTACTAATGATATTTATCATAGTAAATGGTTTGCCTACAAATCACTAAATTTTCTGCAAAACAAAAATGTTCCTACTGGAACCACCGATACTGTAAGTAAATATTTTTTTAACCACCGACGCAAAAACGACGGGGTGTTATAAGTTTCACGTGTCTCTCTCTCTCTCTCTCTGTGTGTGTGTGTGTGTGTGTGTGTGTGTGTGTGTGTGTGTGTGTGTGTGTGTGTGCGTGCGTGTGTGTGTGTGTGTGCGTGTGTGTGTGTGTATGTGTGTGTGTGTGTGTGTGTGTGTGTGTATGCGTGTGTGTGTATGCGTGTGTGTGTGTGTGCGTGCGTGTGTGTGTGTGTGTGTGTGCGTGCGTGTGTGTGTGCGTGTGTGCGTGTGTGCGTGTGTGCGCGCGTGTGTGCGCGTTTGTGCGCGTGTGTGCGCGTGTGTGCGCGTGTGTGCGCGTGTGCGTGCGTGCGTGCGCGTGCGTGCGTGCGTGCGTGCGCGTGCGTGCGTGCGTGTGTGTGTGCGTGTGTGCGTGCGTGCGCGTGCGTGCGTGCGTGCGCGTGTGTGTGTAACGCTCCGCTACGTCCGATTGTGAGTCAGATCGACTCACCAACTTACAAATTGGCTAAACTAGTAGCAAAAGTACTCTCACCACTCCGAGGATTAACAAGAGCGTTCACAAATGACTCTTACTATTTTGTCAATGAAGTTAAACACCTAAAACTCATGGACAATGAAACAATGGTTAGTTTTGATATACAGTCTTTATTTACCAGCCTACCAGTGGAAGACTGTATTGAAATAATATCTAGGAAGCTACTAGATCACAACATGTCAATAGAATACATTGAACTTTTAAAATACTGCCTAACATCCGACTATCTACTGTGGAATGATTAATTTTATAGGCAAGTGGATGTAGTGGCCATGGCCATTCGCCAGTCTCCCCCGTCGTAGCCGACATCTTCATGGAGGACTTCGAGGAGACTGCTCTGAACACATCACCCGTGACCCCTCGTTTCCACAAGCGGTACGTAGATGACACTTTCACAATATTACCATCTGATAAAGTAACTGTATTTTTAGAACACCTTAATTCTATAAATCCTAAAATACAATTCACAATGGAATTAGAATCTGACAATACCTTAGCTTTCCTAGATGTTTTAGTTAAACGTAACCCAGATAACACCTAAGTCATACTGTATATAGAAGACCCACACTGATAGGTACCTGAACGGTGAATCTCACTATCATCCTTCACAGCTACCGTGGGAAAATCTTTGTTTCAAAGAGCGCGCGGGATCTGTGACGAGCAACACCTGGCCGGAGAACTGCAACATGTCAAGAAAGTTCTGCGTGACAACAAGCTGCAAGTGCCGCGCCTGCGTCACAGTGACCGAGTGAAACCAGCCACAGTCAAGCGCGTCCCTGCAGTCCTGTCATACATGAGAGGAGTCACTGACAAGATTGGCTACATTCTAAAGCTAGCTTCAATTAAAACTTACTTCAAGTCGCCAAAGAAAATTAGACAGTTCTTACCACCTGATAAGTGCCACATCCCTCTACAAGATGCGGGAGTTTACAAGCTTGATTGTGATTGTATGCTCTCTTACATCGGACAAACAAAGCGATCCATTAGAACCCGGGTCAAAGAACACATAGCTGATGTCAAGCATTACAACATCTGCTGTCTGCAAACATAGCTAGGACTGCCCAAGCCAAGCCAGTCCACTTGTAACACATTGTCAGGCGAAATTTATAATCTAGAAATTCATCAAACAACCACAAACCCAAATTAGCGAAAATGAGGGCTTTCTCCATGATAATGTTGTGGATTATATTTATGAGATCAATAAATTCTTCCACTACGGACAATGAGAACAATGATGAGAAACCTGAGGTTTTCTGGCAGAGTTTACTAACTCCATTGACAATTAATAAACACAATATTGGGTCTAGGTTGATGATGACTCCTAACCAATTAACAAAAAAAACATTATTCATCACTTCTGTACAACAACTTTAATGAAGAATTATATTATTATTTGAAGAAAATTGATAATATGTCTCAACTAGGTTTCAATGACAAAATCGAGTCTGCAGTTGTATCGGAATTTAGGACTAACACAATAAGGAAAATAGTCAATGAAAATAACCCACCTAGTTGTGGTGCTAGAATTGAAGATGGGAAAATACAGTTATTACATTGTCCAGGGAAATTGATAGTAATTACCCTTATTTCAGCAAAAGAATTGAACTGTAGAAGAGTGAAAGGAATGTCAGTTTTTGGTCCAGTTTTGTTAAAAAATGAACGATGCAAACAGCAACTACTTAGTTTGTTAAACTGTGCTGAAGCATTGAAGATAGGTTACTTAAGAGGTGGCTGTAAAATTAAGAAATCTTCAAAACAGGATGTCATTATCATGTCAGCTCTAGTAACTATATCTCTAATATTTTGGTTAATGACATTCAGCATCTGTCTATTTTTAATAAGAATGAATAGATGGAATAAAGATTTTAAATCATCAGTGAAGTTTGACGGTTTAGAACTAGAGCAGTTTGTAGGTTATGATTCTAAAGTAGGAACGATAGTTTACAAAGAAAAGCCAAAGAATAATCAAAATGTTGACAGAGTTTTGAAAAAAGTAAATTGGTGTGCGATTATATTAGCTCTGCTATGTTTTAAATCAATAAATGTTGAAGCATACGATTTGTTAGAGACTCAAGTAATTTCTGACAATCAATTCAAGTATGCAATTTCGCTATCATCTAGTGAAAATATCAGAGTGGGTGCTATGGAAATTAGATTTGCTAGTTCTACAATGGAAGCCAGATTGTCACCATCCTTCACAACTTATTCATGGGATTTAGAGAAACATGAAACTTATTATTGTCAACAGTCAGGCTGCAACACCAAAATGACTTGCAGAGAGGATATTTTGCCATTCACTGAGATGACTGAGAGTGTGCGAGAGGAATTTCAAATTAATAAGCAAAGCTATGCTTATGCAGCATGCAAAAACATGAAAGGGTACTGTGCATTCGGAAATGGTTGCTTTATAATTGGTATTTCATGAACATGCCCAAGCCATTATATTCGATATCGCCCTAGAATGATTCGAGAAGCCATAGAAATTAAAAAACATCCAAATTTCAATACGGAAGATGGCTGGGTACTACTATCGTCATGGAATCCTGTTATTAATATAATAAAATCAAATAATAAATCTAAACATAAAAGACAGACCTAGATGTAGTAAGTTCTTACTGTGTAGATCAAAATGATAGCATTTCAGATTAATATTTTTCATTTGTAAAAGTATATAGTAATAGTGTTGCTTAGTAAATTGTCTTTTTTAAATAATAGCAAACTAAATTAAAATTATTATTCTTAACTAATTTTAACTTTTTATATTACACATAGAACAATTATGTGGCGTAAATAATGAATATTATATTTCATATTTTTTCTTTATGGTTATAAATATAATAATGGCCGCACTAAATATAGATTACTAATTAATATTTTTAAAATTGTAATAATTATAATGATAACAGCAAAAATTAAATAAATAATATTCCATATTCAATTATAAAACTTATTAAAATTATAAAAATGTTTAAAGTTAAAAATACATTAAGGTACTTGGTGCAATTTTTCATTTTGTTAATTGTGGGTAGGCTGTCTGTAACAACTATACCTTCGAGACATAACACCCCAGTCTCTCCCGTGACCCTGATTGCTGTAAAGCATTCGAAACGTCGGAAACCAAAAATCAAAATAAATCCACGAAATAATCCGAAAAGATAGTTTGATTTAAAATCTTGAATAAATTATTAGAAAATATTAAACTCAGGAACTAATAATATAAAAAGTGGCCTTAGAGCCGCGGGAATATGGCCAGTAAATGCCCAGGATATTTTAAAACGAATCCCTGACTATTTTGACGAAGAAATGTATGGAGTAGATTCTGCTTTATTAGATTTCGTATAGACGTATGGATACATTGCCATAGCCGCCGCTGAAGTCCAAAGATATTTAGACAATAGAATGCTACCGAGGAGTGAAAGCCCGAATGATTGGTGTAGTAACTATGTTTCATTAGCAGACCAATCGGAATCCGTATATTTTTAAGAGATTTTTTTATTGAAAACCTGAAGTTTTATGATTTTAAAATGTTAGCAGGTATATATGGAATAGAAATTCGTAAAATGCCCCACATGCCTGCTACCCCTAAGAAATGGGGGGACGCAAAGCGTTGAAAAATAGTTTTTTTCAATTTCCGACTTACTGAGACCTTCTGTCGAAAAATATTTTCTACAAAAGTTGTAGTTCTAGTAAAAATCTACAACTTTTATAAATAACACTTTTTACAATAATCTCAAAGTTTTCGAGATATAAAAAAATAATATTTTTTTAAAAGACTATGATAGATAATTTTTTTGAGTTTTTTGAGTTTTCCAGCTAAACGGTAATTTTTATTATGAAAATAGGTGAGACAAAAATTATTCATCATGCAATTATCTGTAAAAATTGGTTATACACTTTTTTTCCTAAGAATCACCATTTCGGAGATATAGCGATGCAAAATGTTGAAAAAGTTGTGTTACTCATAATATGTATGTCAATTATCGTTTTAAAAGTTACAGAACGTTAATATAAGTAAAAATATTAGTTTTCGTGGCGTATACATACATACTATACAATTATTGTAAGAATATGAACTCGAAAAAGAACCCAGTCCCTCATTTTATATGACTGTACGGCCTTGAGCAACATCTGTCTGCTATTCAATTGTCCGCGTGGCGACGATCGTATACCTGCTCCTTTTTCAAGGGCCTAACTAGATAGAATAGTATTAGTCTCAAGCATTCCTTCGTAGTAAGAGCACGTAGTTATTGCTTATATTTTCGAAGAAAATTGTGCAGTTTTGTGTTTGTAATAGAAATGTCGCAATTTTGCTTCATTTGTAACAAACATTTGGCCGAAAGCGAAACAGTTACTGTTGATCGTGGCCTAAAGTCGTTAATAGATGCAAGTATTGAAAGAGGTGATGAATTTTCTGAATACCTGAAAGACCAGACTTCTGTGACAGTTCATGTGCAGTGTCGAAAAAACTACACTCGAAAGGGTACAATTGCTGCATTTAAAAGAAAACAGGAAGAAGAACAAGCTGGTACATCAAAAATAAGTCCACCTCTTACTAGAGCACGCGTAAGTGAATCATTTTTTTGTTTTAGAAAGTGTTGCTTATTTTGTGGCAATGAATTGAATGAAGAGTTAGAAAACAAAAAAGCACTGAAGTATCGGCGTAAAATTTTTCATGTCTCAACACTTTCATTCAAAGAAACAATCCTGAATATAGCCCAGGCTCGTTCTGATAATGTAGCAAAAGCTGTTATTACTCGAATTGAGTTTGAACATGATTTAGTTGCTGCCGAAGCTAAATATCATAAAGACTGTCATAATGCCTTCTTGAGACCGACTACGGGAGGTCAAGCCGGTCGTCCTCAATCTGAAACTACGAATCTTGCAATGGAAGAAATATTTGCACACATCGAAAATAGTGATGATTGTCAATTTACATTAGACGAATTACAAAATATTAGCAAAAATTCGTTAGATAATAGAACCATTAAATTACGATTAAAGTTGAACTATGGCGATAAAATTATTATAACAGAAAAGTCAGGAGCATCAACATTTATATGTTTTGTTGATAATCACTATGATATTTTAAATCGAGGTAGCTACGAAAAAAAAACAAATGAAAAAGAAGAGCGATTTAGAATCCTGAAGGCTGCGGCAGCAATCATTCGAGAAGATATTCAATCTGCAGTATTTGATAATTCTCATTACCCCCCTCCAGGTCGTATGTTTGAAGATATTAACACTCAAATTCCAGAGTCAGTGACTTATTTTTTGGAGAAAGTTATTCTGAAAAAAAAGCGATTTAATTTAGAACATTTGAAATTAGTATGCACAAATATTAGCCATAGTATTATGGCTGCTGTTCGGCCAAGGTCTTTTAAATCAAAATTACAATTGGGTCTCTCTATTTTTTTCATCGGCGATTTGGGTCAAAACGTCTTATACAAATTTTTTCGTCTTTCGGTTTGTGCGCATCTTATAATGATACTATATTGTACGAGGCAGCAGCAATTTTTCACCGTCCACCTCACATTTTACCACCAGAAACTGGCACATTCATTCAGTATGTTGCAGACAATGCTGATATAAATGTAAATACGCTGGACGGTCATAACACGCTTCACATAATGGGTATCATTCAAGTTGTTACTCCAAAAAGTTCAGTTTTACTAGAAGAGCCGATACAACGGATAAAAGAAGCTCCTTCAGCAACAGATTTCGCGGCAATAGCTCATGTGCCACTGCAGATCTACCAAAATGATGGTGTAGTAGGTTATAGTAAAATAATTGTCCAAGATTTTGCTTATGATAGTGAAGTAATAGTATCTTTACTTAAAAAAGTCGATGCGATATGGTTCTATGGTAAATGGAAGAATTTTTCAATACCCGGTTGGAATGGTTTTATTGAACAATTAACAAATAATCTTAAGAATTTTTCAACATCTAAAATTTTATTTTTACCATTTATTCACCAACCGGCTAGTAATTACAATACTATATACACGACTTTACTTTGTGCATTACAAAATGCAAAACGCTATGGTCATGATGTATGCATTGTTACTTTTGATCAGCCTCTGTATGCAAAAGCTCGAGAAATCGTATCAGCCGCACCTGAAGGGTCTGAATTATCGAAGATCATAATTAGGCTCGGAGGATTTCATCTGCTCATGTCGTTTCTCGGTGCAATTGGTTACATTATGCAAGGAAGCGGTATAAAAGAAATACTTTCTTTGATTTATGCACCTGGGTCATTAGAAAAAATGCTCAATGGTCATGTTTATGCGAGAGCTGTTCGAGCTCATACATTACTTCAGTTAACTTTAGCAATAATAATATTGAAAGAGCTTGATATTGATGACGTCACGGACGCTAATCTTATCATTACTGCTGAAAACATAATAGACAGCACTATTTCATATAATGATGTTGAAAATGATGACGAAATATCTGGAGCATTACTCGATCAGTTCAATGAAAAACTAAGAGAATATGAAGAACGTGGACCTACCGCAAAACTTTGGATTCAATATTTTTATATGGTATCAATTGTGAAGGAGTTTATAAGGGCTGAGCGCATGGGAGATTGGCAAGCTCATTTAAACAGCGTTAAAGAAATGCTTCCTTACTTCCACGCATCGGGGCATTTTCCTTATGCTAAGTCTGCACACTTATATTTACAAGAAAGATATGTTACAATTAGAAAACTATATGAATCCTAGTGTTTACAAACAGTTTACAGAAGGATGTTTCACTGTTCGACGTTCAGATAAATTAAGCTTCGGAACTTCAACAGATATGGTGATCGAGCAGTCAATGATGAAAGCTATGAAGACAGATGGAGGTATTGCTCGAGGGAGAAGTACAAAAGCCAGTGTAATAAGTAAATGGGTTTATGGTATGCATGCAATGAATACTGTTTGTGAAGGATTGGAAGATCTCGCTAATGTTAGAATGGATACAACGGATCAGCATGTAGATGCAAGTGATTCACAAGTAAAGAAAGATTCTACAAAACCTTCTGCAGTGGTTTTCATTGCATGATCCGTTTCCGGAAGTTAATAAAATTGTATCTATTGCTAATGGAGTCGTTGGTGATGATAAAATTAACTGTCACAAAGCTCGTGAAGTTGGAATTGCCGCCATGTCCAAAATGACAGGAATGACGTTTAATAAAATAAAATTAAAACGCGCTGATAAAGTAGTACCTCTCTTAGCTATGAGTAGCACCGTAAAAGTTCACAATGAGAAAGTTCCTATCGACCCTGTATTATTATTTCAACGTATGAGTATCACTAGCGCTTTCGAAGATGAAATTGAGAAATATTTCGAATATGAATTGGCTCCGTATCCGTTGTCACTGTTCGATGATGGTGGAATGCGTAAATCACAAAAGTCAGCCATTTACGATTGTTTTGAAACAGTAAACATAAATATTGACAACATAAATGCTACGTACATAATCGACGGAGGATATCTATTACACCGTGTAGTGTGGGATCACGAAGAAACATTTAACCATATTTTAGATAAATACGTGCGGTATGTACATAGAGATTTTGGCCATAGAGTGACTGTAGTATTTGATGGTTATACTGATTGCACAAAAAATATTAAAGCTGCAGAACAACGTCGTTGAGCTACAACAACATCTTCATCTTCGGACGTCATTTTTGATGGATTCATGACAGTTACCACAAGCCAACAGAAATTTCTCGCAAATACACACAACAAGTCTTGGTTCATTTCAATGTTGAAAGAAAAATGTACATCTGAAAATATTTCTGTAAAGCAAGCTGATAATGATGCTGATGTCCTGATAGTTGAAACAGCAATAGAACAATTTACTTCGACAAATCCAACTATCGTTGTTGGTGAAGATGTTGATTTGTTGGTATTGCTCACTGCTCGAACGCCAACCGAAAAAAATATTTATTTTTTAACACCTGGGAAGGCTCAACAACAATCAAAAATATATTCATCCAAGAGTTTATGTGCTTTTTCAAAATGCCAAAATCATATCTTATATCTACATGCAGTAACTGGTTGCGACACGACATCAGCATTTTTCAGGAGAGGTAAAAGAACAGTTTTGAAATTGTTTGAGAGACAAGATTTAGTTGATTGTGCTGACGTTTTCAAAGAAAGTACCTCTACTCCACAAGCTGTAATCACCAACGGAATTCGCTTTCTTCTTTCCGTTTACGGAGCTCCAAAAAAAATTACGTGCTTAGATAAGTTTCGATACTTATGTTTTGCTAAAAATACGCATAAAAAAAAACAAGTACAACTAGCTTGTCTTCCTCCAACCTCTGATTCTGCTCAGCAACATCTATTTCGGGTATATTATCAAGTTCAAGTATGGCTCGGTAATAAAGTAAACCCAGAAGACTGGGGTTGGAAGTTAATTGACAATATATTGGAACCAGTTAAGACTTTACTCCCTCCTGCACCGGAAAAACTCCTCAATTCAATTTTTTGCAATTGCAAAACGGGGTGTAATGCTAAATGCGACTGTAAAAAAGTTGGGTTGTTTTGTTCATTAGCATGTATCAGTTGTCGAGGCCAATCGTGCTCCAATGTTCAATCACCAGTAGAAGAGGATTCTTACGATATATGCGAGGAGACATCTGATGCATCGCTCTTTGAACAATTTATTTGTACCCAGCAGGAAGAAGAAGAAGAACAAGACAGTATGGATTATGTTCCATTAGAAGAGTATCAATCAGACAAATAATTTTCTACAATTTAATACAATAGCTTTTAACTCAACAAAACCACAATAGATCGTGGAGTAGGCCTACTGGGGAAACCACGTGAAAAAAAACGCATCATGTACACTACCTCACGGGTGGCGCGGAAACGTGTGCATATTATGAGTAACACAACTTTTTCAACATTTTGCATCGCTATATCTCCGAAATGGTGATTCTTAGGAAAAAAAGTGTATAACCAATTTTTACAGATAATTGCATGATGAATAATTTTTGTCTCACCTATTTTCATAATAAAACTTACCGTTTAGCTGGAAAACTCAAAAAACCGATTTTTGCAACGTTTGACCTTGATTAAATTTTTTTGCACACGTTGGATTGATGTGGATAATTGACAAATTGTGTGTTCTAGGGCCCCCAACATTCATGCCAATTTTTAGCTGGGTGCGAATTAATGTAACCTTGAATGTCTATTTTGACCGGACTAAATGCTGCTGTGTCTGAAATGCAAATCCAAATCCACGAATTTATAACTGCAGTGGATATTTCAGTATTTTCGGAAAAAAAATGCTTTAAAGTACAAGACAATACTTTCCAACAATGGGAAGATACAGCAGCTCATGTAGATGGAGTTTATTAAGCAAGATCTTATGGCAATAATTACAGAGCATTATCAGGAGCCGCAGCAATATAAATATATAATTGATAGAAAATTTGGGAAGTTTTATTTCATATGGTGATAAACAAATATTGCCTTATGTGCTCTAGAGTTGGAAAAAAGGAAACTCCGAAGGACCACAAATGTTACAAAAATTTTGAAGGAGCCATGGAAACCATGGAATCAGAAATAAAAACAGAGGGTTTTAAACAATCACTCGGTATGTATCTGCCTGATTGTGATTCTTCTACCTGTAAAAAAATATATAACTGCAGATCCTTATCCGAACCACGTGGTTACAAAAATAGAATGCCGCAACCACATACTTCGTAATTTATGTAATAAAAGAAACGAAGGACCCTATAACTCACAGAAAATATATTACTGACCAAACTATACTTTCTATTAGAAAGACGATTCAAAAGTACTTGTAATAAGTCTAATTGAATAAAGTTCATTTCATTTCAAAGGTTGGAATAAAATCAGTACAACATCACAAAAATTCCTAAGACACAACGAATGCAATGAACAGTCTTAGATCTGACATTTATCATTTTGCTGCACACGCCTTTGTAGATCACACTAAATGCAATGATGCAGACTAAAGCTTTGTCTTTAGTACAGTAACTCTGGACTGGCCAGCAGTCTTTCAGTTCAATTGTTTGGAAATTTCAAGCAGAGATTTTATTGCGGGGTCAAAATCTAATTGACATTGTTGAAAGTTGTCTTGTAAAGAAAGAAAGAATACGCCTTGAACGCTTGAACTTATTGCGTAAAAAATTGCAAAAAACGATTCAAAAAAGAAAGAAAAGAAAACGAGATTATTATAATTTATGATTTTTCAGAAAATTTCACGTGCAAAATGTCTGAAAAAATACAATCTGCCTATTTTAGCACAAACAAAAATCTATTTACTTTACAGACAGGGGTGATTTATTTGCAAGTAAACAGTCCAATCTCATTTTGTACCATATCGCCATCGCTATCTCATGATCCTGGTGCGATTGGGGCTCATTTGAAACCGATTATTCAGTACGCAAAGGAAAGGACATCTTTTCTTTCGTACTCACAGATCAAAAATTACGCGTGTTAAGTCTTTGCCAGAAAGCTACAAGGGGGACCTCTCAGATAGCAATTTTGTACCAATCGTTAAAACACAAGACCATGCAGGCATATAACATAAAGAAGCACCTACAAGAAGAACAGGACGTAGCAATATCCCTTCAACAAATTAAAGAAACTGTTGAGTACAAGCTTAAACCATCGGCAAATAGATCTTTTGCCAATATAGTAAAGAAGGTGCCAATAAGTATGTTTGTCCCAATAACCTGAGCCCCTAGTACGAGTTTACAAATGACACAAACGATGATAGTTTTCGTGAGCTCGATGAACTATATGGTTTTCGATGTAATCGGAAGTACGAGTTAAAGTTTTCGAATATAGTTTACACGATTTCGACCATCGACTGGCTCGATTGAACGAAGTTCACTTTATTCGCTTCATCTCTTTTACACACCGGCAAACTAAAAGAGACAAAAGTTCTCCTTCGATATTGTATAAATTGATGTTTTGGATTAAGTAAATTTTAAAACTTAGTTCGTTAGCGCGTTCGCTAAAATTATAACAATAATAAAATAATGATGAGAACCAGTGCTTCGCAGTTTGAAGTGATGATAGATTTTATGGAGAGGTATGTATCAATCTTTTCTTATATATATTTATATTTTTCTTTATATTATGTCTACCAATGCGTTAGAGAATTTGTTTTGATTACATACAAATTTTTATTAGGAATGGTGACTTAAATAAGTCAAGCGATGGCCCTAGCGGCAGGCTAAGGGCCGTTGACAAGTGGCAAGAGCTAGCGAATGCTTTCAACTTGGACACGACGGGGACTTCCAAGCCGGTAGAAAAGTGGAAAAAGGTAAGTTACACCCACCTTACAGCTACTTCACTATGCATGCAGCATGCTGCGTTCCTTCTCGTTTTTCTTTGTTTGAAATTTGTGCATCCTGCTTAACTATTATCCTAAATCATTGGGTTACATTACCTAATACTTTTTGTTTGATATGCACTAATTGCAATAATTAATTAGTTTATTTTGCATGTAAAGGTGTGGAGTGACCTTAAAAATAACACTAAGCGGAAAGCTTCTAAAATTCACCGAGCTGCAGGTGGCACAGGTGGTGGGCCAGTGTCTAAATTAATTTTAACTGACCAGGAGCAGCGAGTCCTTAGCATCATAGGACCCCAGGCTGCAACTGGTCTAGTTTCAGTGCAAGAAGTTAGTTTAGAAGTAATCATTTTTTATATATTAGTTGATTACCTTAGCTTTAAATTTATGCAAATTTTTCCCATGGAAACATAATTCCGACCATTACTCAACGTGTCTGATGGAACTTCAAAAACGAGAAGAGGAGAAGGAAACTACGGAGGAGATTATACCATATCCGGAATCTTCATTATCGCACAACACGAAAAGCATCGCCATGTCATCCACGACTGTGCGTACTCCGGAAGCACGTGTCGGTGCCTCCACGTCCAGAGATTGCGAGAATACATTACAACATCCGACAACGCCGAAGAAATCGATCGGTGGACAAACTCGCAAATCAGTGACATTTCAGAAGGAGAATTCAAGCTCTGCGAAGCGGCAAATAATTGATTTGAGCGAGGACAAGGAGTACATTCCAGGCACATTGTACAAGAACGCAGTGGAGGAAGAAAGCAAACCCGAGATAGAAGTCCCGATGCCTTCCAAGAAGAAATCATTAATGATGAAGCGCCGTCGTCTAAGCGAGGAAGAACAGAGTCAGGACGAGGAATCGGAGAAAGAAGAGGACTTCTCTTGTATGGTCGCCAATCTTGCCCGAGCTCACTCATTAGTACAAAATACTGGCAAAATCTTTCAAACTATATCGATAAAGGAGGACGATGGATATATCAATATATCGCCGCCGGGAGAGCATGGGTTGAATCTGATAAAGTTAGCCCTTTACCCCTTCAAAGATTGCGCGAGATTAACAAAGAATCGTTACTGGACGAAGAGGACATTCACGTCACTAGCAGTGATCTCTGGCGAGGATTCTCCTGTGTACAAATCGGCGATGAAGCTGAGAAAATTAATAACTCAACAAGTAATGAGCCTCGACAATATAAAGGTGGAAAAGAAAAGTCAAACAGGCTGGAAAAGTTTCTAGAATCGTTTATTATAACGCCGACTAAGAACATCTTATACACCGGACAATGGACTAAGGGGCCTTTCAAATATATGCCTAAGAACAAAGCAATATTAACAACTTGCTTTCATAATATAAATCAAAAAGTTGTCGATATGACATACAGAGAGATATTTTTGAAGACCAGAAAGATATCAATGAATAAGTTGATATATGTAAAGCCATGGAATAGTGTCGGTGAATTATAATGTCGGTGATTCAGTAAGAGTTTTGGAGGAACTACGATGTATTAAGTCATCAATTTCGTTACGACGAAGAACAAGTCTTTAAATTTTTGAAAAAAAATATTTTACTTATTAGACAAGAAGGCTCCAAAACACAATTTTATGTCTATATTAGGTCCTCCAAACTCTGGTAGCATTTCTTTAAACATAACTTATTTCACTAGTAAGAAACGCAGTAAGAAACCTTGCTGTCGTTATGATTTATAAACTATGTTTAGTAAATAATTTAAGGATACTACTTATGAATGCAGTAATATTGGATACTGCACTTTTTCTAAGCACTCCATTTCAATTGAAAGCGGAGACAATACTTATTTAAAATGCAGTAAGTTGTGTAACTGCGTTTATCTTTAATATTTGTAGGTAAATAACCTATTATGGGATACTAACTAGAAACGCAGTATGCTTTGTTACTGTGCTACTATTTAGTATCCGTATCTTATAGATTTTTTTTAAATGCGTGTCGAAATATAAATAAAATCCGCAGTAAAGGACTTTATGTACGTCTTGTTTAATTAGCCGATAGTTCTTTATTATTATTTTTTTTATATTTGAATTGTTTCCTTAAAGTTTGTTTATAGTTTCCATTACAAGTCTGATAGATATTTTTAATGTCTTTTTAAGTTTTCAAATGTGCAAATAATTCTAACTATGATTGATCTTCGTATTTGCTATAAACATAAATAATTAATTATTTAGCTGTGATAAAGATAGCTTAAATGTTCGAAACGAGGAAGTAAATTTGGTCGAAGTTGATTAATGAAACTGATCTCAAAGAAGTGTGACAGTACTTGACGTGTTTTATAATAGGGGTTAAAGTATGAAATTGCCGTTTTATTGTAATAGGTACTTCGAATTGACATAGAACCTTCATGGTTTGAAATTTTTGAGTGAAACTTTTTTCACATGGTACCTATGTAGTTCTTCTTTTAAAAAATGTGCAACATTATTTCGATTATCGACTTTCAGTTGTTTTTTTTTATTCAGCTTAGACAAGAAAGATGGATACTTCGAAAATTCGAGTGATTTTTGAATATGAGTTCCGATGCGGAACTAACGCGGCAGAAACAGCTCGCAATATCGATGTTGCGATTTTGGTTTAAACGTTTTCGTGATGGAAACTTTGATTTGAAGGTGGAGCCATGTGGAAGACCGCCATTGAAAGAGATGGTGGAAGCCGATCCGAGCCAAACTACCCAGGAATTAGCGGCGTGGTTTAACGTTACCTTACCAACAATATTGCTTCTCTTCAGTACCTCATACATATGGGAGGCGGGATTTTCAGCTATGATTAATATTAAAACTAAATACCGAAATAAATTGGTGGTATCAAACTCCATGTGATTAAAAGTAACTAAAATTGAAGTTATAACTCTAATGTTACTAAAGCTATAATGACAAAAAATAGTAAACAAATGCATCTTTCTCATTACAAAATAGTACTCCTTATAATAAAACTTTAGATTGGTTTAAAACTGAATATTTTTTTCTTGTTTGAACAATTCTTCATTCATATATTTAAGTCCCCTATTCCTTCATGAAAACCAAGAGGTGAATCCCGAATCCGGAACTTTTTATTATATGAGTTGTGGTCCAGTCAACGTTGGGAGCCACTGCATTATTATGTAGTTTCATCATTTTTAAATCTCTTAAACACTTCTCTTAAACACTTTATATTAAGCACATGGACAAGACTGGATTGATCTCTGTACCAAAAAAAAAAACAAAATATCGGAAATATTATATAGGCAAAGATAAAAACAAGTTGTTGCACTAGCTTTGGCTGAACGGAGACGGTTGATAACTGCAGTGTTTTGCACTTCTGCAGCTGATTCTTTTTATGATTTTGTAGAGAGTCACGCAACACATTCCTAACTTTTATCGACCGTAATTATGGTCTGGCCAGGGGGAATATGTGGCGTGACTCGCTACAATTGCGCCCAGCCTCAATCCGCTGCGCTTATGAAGTTTGGGCCACGCTGTGAAATCACGCCACCAAAGAAAGACAATAGCGCGTTTCCCCCGCTGCGCCCACGCCGCGTCGCCGCTGCAGTCGCCTGATTGTAATTCATTCGGCTCACAACTCGCTAAGGATCTAGGCGCGCAGACGATTAATTCCTCTCATTATTCTAGCGATCATTTTGTGTTATAAATTTATACATTTCGTGTTCTAATTGTTTGTAAAAAGTTATTAAATTCTTTTCGTAAAGTACAAGAATAACAGTCTTCATTTGGCCTCTCAATCTTTCTTTCTTGCCTCTTTCATGCTATCATTCTTTTATTAACATATAGTAGTAGATTAAATTACTCATAACTACAATTTTTTCTCGAGCACATTCGTGCTTTAAAAATGAGCTTTTGGATGGTGCACCACCAGGCACAGTATCTATATGTTATCCAAGTGGTTGGATGCAAAAATCATTTTTCACCAAATAGATGCGTCACTTTATGAAAGCTATGTAAAACCAAGCAAAGAAGACCCTATGCTTCTTGTTTTAGATCGCCACTCACACTGAGAACCTAGAAACTATTGAGTTAGTTCGTACTCATGGTGTTATAATGCTCTGCTTGCCACCTCACTGCACTTATCGCTTAGAGGCACTCGATGTTGGTTTTATAGGGCTTTTGAGCACTTTTTACTCGCAAGAAGTCCAATTATAGCTTCAAAATCATCCGAGAGGTGTTGTAACCGAGTTTTAAATGGCATCTTTATATAGAACTGCATATAATCGTGCAGCTACTATGCAAAATGCAGTGTCTGTTTTTACTTTTTACCAAACCCAGAATTTGCTTACTGAATCCCAATATTTTGACAGATGCAGATTTAGTACCATCACAGACTACAGAAATACCATTTGTATGACGACAAATAAAATCTCTTAGGATTCATTGCCTCAAGAAAGAACTCCATCCCCGCAAGCAGAAATATCGACAAATAGACAAACGTATTCAGATTCTTTAAGTCTTGTATCTCCGAAAGATATCATTCCGATCCTCATTTGAAATTTATTCGTTCTTGGAGTCTTCCTGGCAATGGGTTCAAATAGTTCCTCAAATTAATGACTACTGGTCGAAAAAAAGTTGGAAAAAATATGGAAATAGGTTCATTACGTCTGTAATGAAAGGAGGCAGGTTTTTATTATTGCTAAAATTTTGGCACTTTAGTGACCTCCAAAGTACAAATAAATTGGGTAAGGTAAATGACTTCTACGTGATGCTTCTAGATAAATTTCAAAATACATATTTTGAAGCCTGGAAAATATCTGATTATCGATAAAACCATGATCCCGTCGCATGGCCGATTAAAATTTTGCCAATATATAAAAAACAAGGCGCATAAATATAGGGTAAAGCTATATAAGCTATGCACCCCCGAGGGTTATACCGCTAAAGTTATAATTTATACATGAAAGGGTGATAATGGATAAGAGATGGATCATGGCAGACAAACTGTAATGAAGTTGATAAGGTATCTAAAGAATGAGGGAAGAATTGAATAACAACAAACAATTGAATTTTTTTCATCACAAACAATTTTTACAACTCAGTTGGTCTTGCTGAAGAGCTTCTGACAACAAGAGACGAAACCGTGAAGCGAAATTACCAAATACATTTTCAACCGTGTTTCTTGCTCTCGATAAGCGATAGTTGAAAACTCGGTTCTGAGCTGACTGTCCTCGAAATCCATAGGGTTTCATCAAATATGGCTTCAAAGCAAAGGGATGCCGTCTGCTACAATGACGTACGGCGCCATAATATTACTTCCTGGTAAAGTAAAGAGCAAGACAACAGTTGAGAATTAAGCGTGAGATCGTACATACAGGAATTCGGAAAAGATACGCCAGAGAATGAAACGAATCACCTGAAATAAATAATTGTTTAATTGATTATCCATCATCATATACTTATAGTATAATTCATTATCTATCATCCTTATTATTACTTTAAATAAAAATATTAAATGAGAAATAAGCTTGTATTTTGCTAACCTGTAGCTAAATATCGCAAAGTTACCATATGACGAAGATCAGCAGAATTAGAATTACGCATTTGAATATCTTGTTTTTGAATATCACAGCGAATCAAATTGACCAAAATGTTAAAGGTGCCTTCAGTCATTCGTAGGAAGTTTTTTTTTCAGTAATTGTACGGGATCTTCACTTTGGAGTTCTCTTAATAATTGGCTTTGAAGACCTTAGTCATCATGCCTCAATATCCAATCTCGTACCCACATGTAACGTTTTTTATTTTTATGTTTTAACAACAACACAATAGACGCAGCTCGTATTTTTCTGCAGCTAGGCATCTTGTTTGACCGCTCTTGCTCAAGTAATTTGTGTGCAATTTGTGTCGAAACGGTTCTGCAAGATCTTGCAGGAAGTTAACTTCTACACACTTCTAAATGCAACTTACATAAAGAGAAATTGCAGTCAGTGGAAACAGATGTCAATTGACTTCTGCAAGAAAATGTGGAAGTTACTTGCCAGTGGACACCTTGCATATTATTGCATAAAAAATGAAAGGCTTAATTATATGGCCAACGCCTCAATTTACAAAAAAATACCCATATATTTTAGGTCCAGGTTTGCAAACAATATTTTAATCACCGACTGCTTTGAAATTCAGATTGAGAATCCATCTAATGTAGTGCTTCAATCACTTACTTGGTCACAGCACAAAATAATCAATACCTTGATGTGTACAGTCGAACCTGGATAAGTGAGAAAACTCTATAAGTGAGAGTAATAGCCAGGACCCGTCATTTTAAGCTCCCAAAACCTCTATTAGCGAGAAACAGAAACCTCTGTAAGAGAGTCGTTTTTCCCTCATGGACCTCCGTAAGTGAGACTGCTGCTTATCTATACCTCTATAAGCGACAGTCGAGCTCTATTTCTTTATATTATTTAGGAGGAACTATAGCTACAATAAAAATACATACATACATAAAAGATACACAGATACAGTAACCAATGACAAAACAAATTACAAATTTATTATCTGCTATTTTAGGACTCATTCTTAACTTTCGTGGAACTTTCTACCATTGTTTTTGTATTGTTTTCTCGTCAATATTGTACGTGTTCTATTTCGTGGAACTATATAACGTTGTTATTTTATCGCATTCTTTTCGTGTGCCTGTGTACCTTGGGACTTACTCAGTTTATAGTTAATCGATTGCGAAGGAAAGTTGTGTTCTGCATCATGCCAAAACAGAAAATTACAGTACTGTCATAAGTGATAAACTTAAAATAGTCACTGAGTTTGAATCCGGAAAGTCGCGAAATGAAATTCAGAGGGAGCTTAATTTAACAGAATCCACCTATTATAAAATTATAAAATCAAAAGACTCTATAAAGTCTGAGTGCTCTGATGGACATGGAAATATTAAGAAGACTAGAGTTTCTGAATTTCCCAATATTGAAAAGTGCCTTTTGGAATGGATAAAACAAACTCTTGACATGAACATTCCCTTAGATGGACTTTTGTTGAAAGAAAAATCAAAACAGTTTGCTACAAAACTGGGAATCAAGAACTTTTCTGCTAGCAACGGCTGGTTAGAGGGTTTTAAAAAACGTCATGATATAGCTTTCAAAAAAGCAGCTGGGGAAAGTAAATCTTTGGACCAAGGTGTGTGCAATCACTGGACTAAAGATCTGCCAAATCTTTTAGAAGGGTATTAACCAGACGATATTTACAACGCGGATGAAACTGCTTTGTTTTTCAAGTGCCTTCCGGATAAAACATTTACGTTTAAAGGCGAAAAATGCCATGGAGGAAAACTAAGCAAGGAACGCCTTACACTTCTCCAGTGTGTAAACATGAGTGGTACGGACAAACTCCCTCTTCTCATCATCGGGAAATCAAAGCGACCTAGATGTTTTAAAGGTGTCAAGACTCTACCCGTTGATTATGCCAATAATACAAAAGCTTGGATGACCAAGATATTATTTAAAAATTGGTTGAAAAAAAGTTGACAAACAAATGAAGATAAACCGAAAAAAAATCTGCTATTCATTGACAACTGTGCTGCCCATACGGACTTACCAACACTTGCAAACGTAAAAGTAATGTTTTACCTGCTAACACCACTAGTAGACTTCAACCATTAGATCTAGGCATCATTCACACTTTCAAAACGCTTTTATCGCAGAGAAGTCGTTAAACATATCGTCGCTGCGCCTGCCAAATTCCATATGCAATTTTTTGATTTTTAGTTTTTGCACAAAAAATAATCTTCATTTAATTCTCTATGTGTTACTAAAATCCTTTTTGAGATATTCGAACTGGAAACGAATTTAACTAATTCCATATGTGTTTTGACCGTTAATAAAAATTCCGTATGTGCAGAAATGCACATAAAAGATTTGTGTTCGATCTTCCGTCGCCCGCCAACTGCGTTAGAAATGTGAGTGTTGTGGTGTAAACAACGTTATAAAATCCTTTTTAAGAGATAGAACACACTAGAACTGGTAAGTATGTAATTTATTTACTTGGTATTTGTTGTTTTTTATGTATTAGTTCCTCAGGTTTTCGATAAATGATTACTCATAACTCGTCAATTTAAATAAATAATTTCCTAACCTAAAAATACTAACGTGTCGCTTCTACTTTTTGTCTGTCTGCCTGTCATCACGGAAAAACCACTGGAGAGATTTTGATAACATTTGGTATGAGGATAGGTTAGGTATATCCGGGTTAACATTTAGGATACTTTTTACTGCGAGAAAATATCTCATCTTTGAAAAATCTATACTACCCGTTAAAACGTAGCGGAGCGAGGGTGTGTCACTAGTTATTAAAAGATACGAAAAATTCGCCTATTCGTAGCTGGTTTGTTAACTTGTCATAGGTAAACAGTAGAACTGGTATTGATTGAATCTGTCTGGCTAATAGACTTTAAACCTATGAGGAATAAAATCTATCAGTAAGTAGCAAATAAAATTAAGCTGGCTGACTGACGAATATGTAGGTGATGTGTGTGTTATGTTTACGGTTATGTTTGTTGTTATGTTATGTATGTGGTTATTTTAACTATGTAGTTATATATGTTTGTATGACAGATATTAAAGACACATCTTGCAAACTTACCTTTATTCTGTGATTACATTCTCGTCTTTTGTTTGTTCAGGCGACATGGCTTTCAATCCACATCCACACTAACCAGCGTCACGAGTACAGTTACTTATAAACTTGGCTACAAGAATCAGCAATAGAAATCAAGATGAACATTTAAATATGAACTCAGATATTTTTATGTCCAGTAGTTACGATGCGATGCAATGCCAGGGAACTTTAGAGACGAAACAAAATATTTCCAACACAATAACTGAAAATATAGACATTTCTCTATTTGAAGAATTAAAGAATGTTACGTACGAAGAGCATCTTGACCCTTTTGTTGGTCAATCAGAAATTAATTCTAGCATTCCTGAAATCTCGTATGGTATTAAAATTCAAAACAATGTCAACTCGACCAATCTCAATAAAAGATACATTCTCGATGAAGTCACAGGCCAGTTAATAGAGGATATGGATATTTTTGAGGAAAACTTAAATAATGATGACTATTATCTCAATGAAAAAACGGGTATCCTAGAACGAAATAATGATACGGTTTGCATAAACGAAGAAGAAGAAGTATAGTTTCTAGCATTTCAAGTAGTGAAAAATATAACAGAGGAAAATAAAATTACAAAGTTAAAGAAGAAACTTCAATTGCATCACAAACAAAATCAAAGGCATAAATCTTTAATTAATAAGATGAGAACTAAAATTGAATGTTACAAAAAAAGAATTCAGAGATTATAACGACAAGCCAGTGAATCCACAGCTTCTTTACAAAAAGCACTAGATATAGTTAAAACCCGAAATGAAGTTTTAGAGAGCGCATTAAAAACCAGTTTCTCAAGTTTTACGAAACATTCAGAAAAACAGTTGCTGAAAAAAGTGGTTTACAATTCGAAAAATAAACAATATACTTCTAAAGTGCTTGGATTGAAAGTGACAGCAAGACTTAAACCAAATAAGGCAAAAAAAATTGAGATTCCAGAAATAAAAGCGTTCTTCGTTAGAGATGATGTTAGTAGAATAACATCAGGTAAAAAAGAATGTAGAGTAAAAAATAAAAATAAACGACAGATTAGGTATCTTGTTGACAGCATATCAAATCTTCATAAGAAATACAGAGCACAGGGAGGGCATTATGGCATTACTACTTTTTACAAAAACAAGCCTTTCTTTGTTTTATCCCCTCATATCCAATCAAGATCAACTTGTTTGTGCGAAAAACATGATAATATCAAATTTCAATATGAGAGTCTAAGGAGACATCGTATTATAAACGATGATTTTGACAAATTGTTGCAAGATTTAGTTTGTGACACCAAAAATCTTGAATGTATGTACAATAAATGCAAGAAATGCAAAAACAAAACCCCAAAATTTCCGGAAGATCAGGACATATCACATACGGTTAATTGGAAGCAGTGGGAACGCCAAGATCATGCGTATACAAAAAAGGGTGGAACGACAGTTCACACAAAAAAGACTGTTCGAGTAACCAAAACTGACACAGCGCAAAAATTGATCGATGATTTTACCCACGATATTATAGCTTTTAAGAGACATCATTATAACAATATTCACCAACAAAACGAATATCGAAAATTGGTCAATAATTTGAAAGCTACTGAGGCTGTTATAATTTGTGATTTTTCAGAAAATTATCAGAGTAAACTAACGGAAGAAATACAATCCATGCATTTTGATGCTTCCAAATCTCAAATCATTCTCCATACCGGTATGATTTATTTAAAAAATAGTTCACAATCTTTTTGCACGATATCTGACAACCTCACTCACCAACCTCCAGCAATATGGGCCCACCTGACTCCTATTTTAGATACAGTTAAAGACATGTGCCCCAATGTAGATGTTATCCATTACTATTCGGACGGTCCAACATCTCAGTATCGACAGAAAGTCAATTTTTTTTTACATTATCTATTTACCAGGCAACTTAATCTCTCTTATTCAACATGGTCATTTTTCGAAGCCGGTCATGGCAAAAGCGTGGCAGATGGAATCGGTGGCACAATAAAACGGATGTTAGATAAGAAGGTATGTCATGGCGCCGATATAAAAAATGCTAGAGATGCATACGAGGCAATCAAACAATCTGACACAATGATACAGGTTCACCTTATTGAGGAAGATGCTATAAATACAATTACGAATGCAATCCCTGACAATGTACGAGTGTTGCCCGGTACTATGAAAGTACACCAAATAATTACCGACACACAGACAGACGGATATAAAATAAACTACAGAGATGTCAGTTGTTTTTGTGACCCGCTAAGAGGAAAGTGTTCTTGTTTTTCTCTGGGTGAACACTGTCTACTATCATACAACGGCGATCCAATACAACCACTACCATCCTCTGCAGTTGAGGATGAGGCTGATTTGTTACATGATTTAGTTGAACTTCAGCTTCCATCACCCGCACCTTCTTGTAGTATTATATACAAATTTATATTCAAGGCTATTTTAGTACATGCGAAACCTCGTAAGGGGGTCATTATGAACATCTTTTACTATGCGACCAACCCTGAAATCGAGAAAAAAAATCTGTTCCATACATTTGTGCACATCTCAGTTGTCGAAATGTAGGGAACAGCTGTTTTTTCTAAACGTTGAATAATTTTTAATAAATAAATTTTAATACGTAAACATCTACTTACTGTGTTCCTACTTATAGATCTAAAAAAAAAGATAAGATTTAAGCTAAATATTTAATTATTATTGTTGAAGCAATGTAAACTAAGCCTAAGAATTTTGTTACCGTCGCTTTTGTTACTGTCCCTCTTTTGTGTTCAAAGATTTTATATGATTTTATCGTAAAATTCTTTACGTTTAAGAATATACTTGATTTCGGTTATAAATATTAGTTATTTAACAACTTTTTAACATGCTCATAATATTATTAAATAAAACTATCTTTTCGGATTATTTCGCGGATTTATTTTGATTTTTGGTTCCCGACGTTTCGAATGCTTTACAGCATCCCGTGACCATGGATGCTGATAATGTCAAACATTCGCGTAAATCTAAGAAAGTATTATGCTCATAATATGATATTGTTCGTTTTTCATCATAGGCATGAAAAAACATTGTTGATTTGGAGACTGTGGTAACGGACCTGACTGATAGGTACTACTATTTTAACTGTTTTTTGTAATGTTTTTGAAACTTGTTGATTCATTAAGTAAAATAAAAAGACTGATTTTTTCAAATAAATATGTTAAAGTGGTAGAATCATCCATAGTTTTATTTTATAATAACAAAACTGACATAAATTCTTAAATAGCCCTCACATTTTTACATTTTATCAAATAAATACTATTTTTCCGTAAATTTTAAAATATTTTTTAATAACTAGAGAATATATGTATGTTATTTCAGATATTAAGATAAACATATGATGTCAATAAAAATTGAGTCATATTTTCAACAGTTGTACTAAATTTTTGAATCTCCTCATATGAGAGAAACGCTACCCATATACCTTCATTAGCAAGAAACTCGGGTTAGTGAGATATCTCTATAAGCGAGAATGAGGTTGTGCTCCCTTGAACTCTCTCTTATCCAGGTTCGACTGTATTTAATTTCATGCACACCAAATGCAAACGTTGGCCTAGTAGGATTTTCTATGGTCTGATCATTATGGTGACTATAAATGCTACTATAGTTTATCGTGAGAATCACAAAACGCAAACCAAACGACTTGATTTTATTCGCAAATTAAGCTTCCTTTGAAAACTGACAGGCACACAGGAAATGATAGTTTTTAGGAATAAAAATAGCTCAGCATTCGGGAGAATCTTTATCAACGGGCCCACAAAAAAAAGTCCGATGGTATGTCAGATATGGAGATTATCCTTCAGCCAAAGTTCGAAAGACTATACTATTACACATACATACATACAGTATTACTTTGTCACCTGTGAAAAGGTTTTTATGGTATTTTCTCTGAGAGTTTTTATTAATTTTATTTTATTTTTGTGTTCAAAGTATAATATACTGGCAGTATTTTCATTCCCAAAAAATCCAAATCAATGTCTAGATATTTAAAACAAAGTCTTGAGACAAAACCTCCAACAGTGTCAATTAACGCCTCCAAGGTTCAATGTGGTACACTTGAATATTATCAATCTCAAGAGTTGGGATTAATTGAATTCACAAAAAAAAATTCTATTTGTTCAAACATAAATGTAATACTGTTTTGAGATTCATATAATGTTCCATGAGTTATTTAAGTGCTCCCAAATAATATTGACAACTTGATGATGAAATTGACAATTGTAGCCCAGTTGTAACATACTCGCTTGGGAAACAAAGTGAAGCAGATTCAAATCCCGGGTCTCACACCTCTGATATTTATATATGATATAGATATTTTCATGTGTGAATCATTTCCAACATGATTACTACTGATAGGACTACGGCCTGATCCCCTCGTATTGAAAGGGAGGTCCATGCCCAGTAGTGGGACGTTGAAATGGGCTGAATACACATACAAATAACAACATTATAAGCAAAAAGCACTTATGATTATATAGCACTGTGGCTCATAATTCATATGTAACATTTTGTAATACATTGTGTTTATAATTTGGAGACACAATGATGCACAGAATTGGCTGCTTAAGGTAAAATTATTATTGGAGCTTATGTTGTAACAAATGAATCTGGAGTCAGACTTTCTTGTTACGCAACATTGTTGTGTCCAATGAAAGCCTAATTTCATATTGGTAGTTTGTATGAAGTCTTTTTGTACATAACCAGGAACCATGACACATGCTACACATTTGATTATAATATGTATCTGAAAGAAAAGAAAAAATCTATAAGTGGATATTTTTCCATTACTTTATTCACACATAACAAGTTATGAAAAAAATATTATCATAACATATTTTTAACTAATATTATAATCAAAATTCATCCTTTCATCAGAGAAATTTTAGTAACATAATATAGTTGTATCTCAAATAGTAATATATATGTACATACCTTTCGGGTCTCTATTACAATCTCTATAATATTGATTATAGATGGCTGCATTTCAGTAGAACTTTCCTTTTATAATCTATAACTGTCTAATAAGGGCTCAACCCACTATAATACAGCCTCTGATACTTGATCCTGCTTCTTCACTGCCAGGTACTAACTACTGCATGCAAATTATTGTTTCCTCCAACCATTGAAAGACCTCGGCAAGCTTCACTGACAAAGTCATCTTCCAAAACCTTAAAACAAAAAATATTTATAAAATATAATTTTGTTTAATGTATACTTGGAATTAATTTAAATTGCTAGATGTTAATAAATCATTGGACGACTACAGCATTACATATGAAAGATATAATAAATAAATATGTTAGGACATTAACACACAGCACCATCTAGTTCCATAGTAAGTTACAAGGCTTGTGTTATAGATACCAGATAGTTGATACATTACATATAATTTTAAATACATACATATTATAAATATAAACACCCATGACAGGAGTACAAACATTCACACTCATCACACAAATGAATTCCCCCAGCATGACTCGAACCCACGACCACTGGCACAGTAAGTCATACACCATAAACGGATCCAAATGTGTCATCTAGTAACAAATAATACTTACTATTTGAAGGTGACCAGCTGCAAATTAATGCAGTAACTCTTGTTTCAAGCAGCAATGTGGGATATCAGTGAAATTTTTTGACACTTACATAGCAATTCACATTATTATTCTCCATTCTAAGCGACATTGCCGAAGTAATGTTTAACTAGCACGTGTTTAAACCTTTAAGAGAATTGAATTGAATTGCATTTACTATTTACATGACTTTCCATTGTAATACACAATACACTACAATAAAACAAAATCTGAAGAGTATCAGACAGTAACATAGTTCATAGAATATATAACTTAAATGGAATCAAGTGAGGACTAGTCACGTTAGAAAAATTCAGGCTTCGCAGTTCGCAGTGAAGATCAAAGAAAAAAACTCGTTGGCCTGTGGTCTTTAAACAAGCGACAAATAGCAATAAATAATATTATAATCAATAATAGGCACCAGCTGCCCAGCACCACAGATATGCATAAACACCAGTATATAAGTGTATAATCTATGTGCATAAACCATAGAGTATATTGCTACATATATAAAGCATAAACGAACATGGATGACAAATAAAACAAACACAGGTATTATAGGTACAAACTTTAGGAACAACAAGCATGTCATAGACACAGTTCACAGATAATCTGCATTCTGCACAGATGAGTAAAAGAGTAAGTAGTAAAAAGCATAGATAAATAATAGCTAAGAAATTCGTATTTTAAAAATTAAATACAACGCCATCTATGTTTTGTGCATTATTTGTGAATAATTTATTTCCGCTGTAGATGATGGTAATTGGTAAATGTGGTGTGTAATTGGTGATGTGGTATTATTAGAGGCGAATCTCATTTTTTAAATATTATTATGGTAGAAGTTATGCACTATTTGTAATTTTTTATTCCTAATGTTATTGATCCATTATATAGAAATCGTCTTTAGTTATTTATAGGTATGTCGTATTTGTCATTCTGACAAATGTCAAATACTCGACTTAAGTTTGACAGCTAGCCAAAAGTTAAAGTCGGCCAATTATTGGTGTACTGTGCTAATTTATAGAACAAATTATTGTTGTAGAATATTACATTTAAATTCATCATGGAAAACAAATCTGAAGAATCTACGTCACCCGAGAAAACAATATTCACTGCTATAGCCCAAGGTGACCTGACTCAATTCAAGAATATTCTCGCGCAACATAAAGGAAACGTCGATTTCTTTGACGAAAATGGTATGACGGCACTTCAACATGCTGCTTATAAGGGTAGCAAGGATATGGTGCAATTATTACTCGACAGGGTATGTTAATTGTATAATATTAAGGTCATCATGACAGTTTGTAATGAAACTAACCATAATGTTTCAATTTCAGGGTGCGGACGTTAATTCAGGGAAGCATGAGTACAATTATACAGCGCTACATTTTGGTGCTCTTTCGGGAAACTCTGAAGTCTGTAAGTTACTTTTAGATGCTGGTGCTAAGCCTACTGCTACAAACTCTGTAGGACGCACTGCATCCCAAATGGCTGCATTTGTTGGTAATCATCATACCGTTGCAACAATAAACAACTATGTTCCATCAAGTGAGATTTCCTACTACTCAGTACCTCAGGGTCAGCAGGCTGAACCGTATTTGCCACCCTTCTTAGTAGAACCTCTTCACAAGTTAGTTCTTGGTGTCAACATTCACCCTGTCCGATTAGCTTTAAACCTGCAGCATATGCCAACTTTATTAGATAATGCTGATAAAGTAAGCAAAGTGTTGGAAATGCTCTGTAAAAGGGAAATGACAAGAGGTAGTGATACTAACGAAGTGATGGCATTTAAATATCATTATCTTGCTTATATTTTAAAAGAAATAAACAATATAAGAGATAAACAAAAACCTAATTCTGATAATAAAGAGGACAAGAAACATGATATTGTAGAAGTGTTTGCTAAGAAGCTTTTAAAGCCTGGTAAAGATGGAATGTCTTTAGATCTGATGGACTCCTTCCTTAAAGATTGCGTACGTGAATTTCCATATAGAGACAGCACAACTTTTCACCAAATGGTCAGTTCTTTGACAAGTAAAGACCCACCACCAGCTCTTTCTGTCATCAACTGTACAATAAATGGACAAAGAGGTTTTGTGGATGCAATACCTTATTGTAGTACTTGCGGTGAAGAGAAACCAGCTAAAAAGTGCTCAAAATGCAAAACAGTTCAATACTGTGACAGAGAATGCCAGCGCTTACATTGGTTTGTTCATAAGAAAGCTTGTAACAGAGAATCTAGCATTCCTGTGTCTAACACTAAACCTAATATTGATGCAACCGAGTTGACCTCTGAGCTGCAAAACCTAGTAGCTGGATAGTTCTATTAGTTATACTATTTTACATTTTTTGTTCTAGGCTTTAACACCATATACATATAAATACAATTATTTAGCCTATATCAAAGTGTTCCATATATTTAAAATTGTCCTTTTATACTTTTACGAAATGGTTATGTAATTAGCAATCTATTAGAAATATTTAAAATCAATATAACGGTTTTTGTTTTTAGAATAAATGTCAATAGAAATCAAAAATAGCAATTAAGTAGAAAGGATGAAAAATTGTGTGCAATAGACAATATTCTTTGTTTTAATTTTTGAATGGCTAAATTATAATCTTTATTTTACACAAGGTCTAACTGTGGTTACGGGGGGCTTAATGTTAATTTTATTCTGATCAATTAACCTAGTTTATGCTTGTACTTTATGTATATGTAGAATATTTTATCTGTAATAAGAGTAGATAAAAAGAATTTGTAGACTAAAAATATCTAAATGTCAAAATTAACTTTAATAGTTCAAACAATTTAGCTTTGGTTTTTATTTGATGTAGATTAGATGTCAAGTCAGATTTGAATCAAAAATGTTATGAAGAACGGACTGTACTGTTATTAGAACACCAAAAATACAATTTTGTTGCCATCTTTTAGTGAAATTTAAATAGTAAAATGAAAATTACAAACTACCTCCTGTTTTGCAGTTATCTCCATATTTAAAAATATAAAATAAATCATTATATTTTCTTGTTGTTGTATCAGTGTTCAATGTGTCACATATGTACATATTTATCACTTATGTTTGTGATAATAATGGAAAATAAATCAAAACGCATATCCAAGATCTATTTATTTTTCCCAATCCCATTTTTTTTATAATGGTCAATCACTAATAAATAAAAAAAATAGAACAGAACTTTTTCGGTTAATTTTTTTTTCTAAACTGCACAACAATGAAATAAATCACATTAGATTTTCTTAAGCAATTTATTAAGTTTTTTCTTACATAAAAAATAAGGTATTCTGCTATGAACAATATGTACACGAGCTTAAAGTACTTAATTTACATAAATTATACCCAAAATACTAGTGATAACATATCGTTAAACAATTTCCTTAATATTAAGCTTAAGGCACATTTATCACATAAAATAAGTTCGACCCTAAATATGCTATCGAGGTAGGTTTAGGAAGTAACATCGATAATACTATATTTACAAATCAATGTAAATATTGCGAATAATGCCCGTCTTCATAAATAACTAAGTACATCAATCAGCCTTCACCGAGTAGGGCACTGATCGTAAAGCTCTTGATACGTCGGCATGGGGGAGGATTGGGAGGTGACGGTATACTTTGAGGAACAGGGGGTACTGGACTCCATGAAGACCCTAAGAAGCTACCAGGAATATTAGCAGGCCACATTCCTAGAGGCAAAGGCATTGGCATAGGTATGTATGGTAACTCAGGCGGATAGAATGTTGGAGGCGGGCTTAAATTGTCCGAAACGATGAGTGGATTCGGAGATTCAACTAATGGTGGAGATCTTGGTGAAGATGAACGCATACTCTCTTCAGAGCATGATGATGCAGCATCCGAACAAGGGCGTTTAGCATCCGTTGGCTCGTTCTGTGTTTCTGGATGACTGGTATCAGTATCAATGGACTTTCTTTTGCACTTGGACTGCCCGCACGCACGGAAGCCCTTTGCGAATGGATTGTTGTCGATCTTCAGCTTCGTTATTCTGTCATTCTGTGAACAATTAAAATATAGTTCTTTAAAAAATATGTAAGTAATTTTTTTTTCATTAATTTTGTAACTCTAGTACTAAATTGAAAATTTCATGACACATTTCGTAGCTTAATTTGATTTCCACTCAATATTGTGCATTACATTTTTTTCTGCCAATAATACTTAATCATCAAAGCGGGCGGCCTATAATCAATTAAAACTTTTAATTTGATTGAGTTATTATAACGCAGTAGAAGTAAAAAATAAAAGCGACTGGTCATTTCCTTGCATTCTCGCATGCCGTCACGACTTTAATATTAACTTAATTGTTCTATTTGACGAGTACATTTGTATGATTATACCTATTACCTACCTACCTATTCGTGAGACCCACCTTCATGTTACGATCAATTTTGCTTATTTCCTATTGGATTTGCCTTTTATAAGATATTTAAAAATATTTTTTTGATGATGAATTGAGAAATAGCTTTTATGATGAAGTTAAATGTACTTTATTGGCAGATTTAAAATAAAAGACTAATGGAATTATTTAATAAAAACTAAACCTATGAGGTAATGATTATTGAAATTAATCTTTCAAATCATTTTTATGTGTTAGTCGTCAGTACCTACGCTTTAAATATTATTATGGTATTCAGTAACAAACGAGCAGACAGCCCATCAGAATTCTGATGGAAAGCGGTACCTATCGCCCATAACACCTACGGTTCATGTACTTAGGTTTTATGTTACAAAAATGTTGAACCGCAGGTGCGTTGTCACTGTGAGGACTAAGATGATATGCCTCTTGCCTGTAATTGCGCTGGATACCTAATCCTTCAAATCGGATCACAATAATGCAATCATTGTTGCTTGGCGGGAGAAATAGATAAGGAGATGGTACCCATCCAGTTAGACTCCTCAGGCTTGACAGAGTCCTACCACCGATGCCTACCTATAAAGGTCTAAGCTCGTTTCGATATTGAGATTACTGAGTAGGTAAAAAGAAAAAATATCTATAGTGAACTTTTAAATCTTATGTATCTTACGCAAGTTAAGTATTATGAAAAAAGACCTTTCTCGCATATCACTTGTAAGTCATAACTTAACTCTTTTTATGAACGATAAGTTTTTGTCACCGACGCGTCGTCAGCCAATCGTAACCTTAGTTACACTGAACTTATCTCAGTAGGAATGCAATTTAAACATCCGTTTCCGCATACACCTAATAGCTTGTAAGGGATAATTGTCGCACATGTGGCTTAGCTTGGCGACAGGCCAATTAGCATGGCATATACGCGTATCCGTCGCCCGCCCGCCGACTGCACGGCTTACGGCGCCACCATAGTTTTTCAAGTTTTCAGCTACCCGTAACACGTTATTTGATACTTGATATAATTTGAACAATTTTTTTTGTTGTTGACGCAATAATTATCTTTATTACCTTTTGAGAAAACATACTATTATAATAGACTATCGACTCATCCTCGCTACGCTTCCTCTCTAGAAAAAACAAATCTATCCCACAGGAACCTTACATTTTTCCGGGATAAAAAGTAACGTATGTGCTATTCCAGACTATAATCTATCTCTATGCCAGATTCCATCCAGATCCGTTCAGCCGTTCTGGTGTGAAAGAGTAACAAACATTCATCCGTCCATCCATACATCCTCACAAACTTTCATCTGGGTTATAGGTTATAGGTATTTTATAAATCATATCATATCATAGTAAGACTTCCTTTAAATTCTAACCGAAAAAAAATGACTGTAAATATTTGCACATTTCGTGACTAGCATCGTTTATCTAGCAAAATCCAACGCAAATAGTCCCGTCGTGATACATCATGTTACTTGTAAAAGAGTATTTACATGACGTGATAAGGCGGCGCCGGCGGGTGTCGTTTGCTCAACAGTCGATAGATAAGAGAACAAGTTCCGCGATAGGGAGGCTGCTAAAAGCTTGGAGTTAGCACACCCTGAACCACTTCTCAAGTCGGTCGGTTTGTTTAAGCGAGTGCTTGAGATGCGGCAGGCGCCGCCCCCGGTCCGCCCTGTCGGCTGACGTCACGGCACAAACTTGCAGTTGCTTTTACTTTTTGCGTGACTATTTCACGTATTAGCGACTGTCTCGTCGCCAGTTTTTTAGGGATGTGTAATTAGGGTCCGAGTAAATTTGGTTTAGTTATCGGGTGCAAATGACAATTTTCGAATCGAGATTTACAAACATGCTATGTCTAGACGATGATTAATCGTATTTGTTTTTTAGATCGTCGTTTGGAAAAGAATTTTTTTGTATAAACAGTACCGGTCTGCCACCTAGTTACGCTTTCAAATGGGTGTCGGCTGTAACAAGAGGATTTTCTAATTCGATGGTAATTCGCAACAATAAACTGGTCGGCTCATATTCATTTGAGCGGGTATAATGCGCAGTGATACGCCGCCGGTCTTTATCCACAGAGATGTCCCGTTAGTTGAACAATTCCTGGATTATCCTCAAAGCGGCCGGTCGTCGTAATTGTAATCATAAATGGACGCGAGAAGCTGTTCGCGCCTCGCTGCAGTCAACATTAAATACGTCGCTGTAGCAAAGAAGCCGCCGCCGCCGCGACCTAATTACTGAACGATGGATTATGCAAGAAAATGACACGCTGGGCTGACCGTCAAAAGAAAGACGTATGTTAGTAAGCAAACAGCAGGAGACCGAAGGGATAGTAGGATCTGTTACATACGAGTTTTGTTAATAAATTGCATTAATAGGTGGGTTGGCTAGATAGATATTCTCGAGTAAAAAAATATTAGCGACATACCTACATATTACACATTTATTCAATAACTAGCAAAACCCGCTGCTTCGATCGCGCTAAAACTACAAAAAAACCCCTGGCTTTATGCAAAAGGCATTTTTGAAATAGGCTCAATATTTTCTGAGCTTGAAGCACTTGAACATATTATAAACATTCGTTTTACAATAATGTATGGATGTCTGCTCGATTTGTTGACATGATTACTGCCCCACTCTCTTGGGTAGTAGAATAACGATATATATAGCCTATAGCCTTCTTCAATAAACGGGCTACCTAGTGCAAAATTATTTATGAAATGGGATTAGTAGTTCCTGAGATTAGCCCGTTCAAACAAACAAACAAACAAACTCTGCCTCTTTATAATATTAAGTATAGATTATATATGTATTACCCTTTTTTATGTCACAACTCAAGTCTTGAAGACTGTAGCAGTAGGTACCTAACCGTTTCTGATTCATCCAACCTCACTTATTTAAACAATACAGAACTGTTAAGCACACGTACTGCCGAGATTTTTAAATTAGCTTCTTTTGTTTTCTTAACCGAATGACCGCTCGTCGCCGTCGCAATCTGGCATTTTTTGCTCGGTAGTACAGTAAAAGCTGTGGCGCCTTTGACTCGAAAAAAATCGGTTCGTACGCATAAGTGCGAATCTTTCGGTGTTCGACGAAATGTAGTACGTTTTCTTGGAATAGACTTAGATTTTATCACCGGGTTGTTTACGTGTTAATAGTGTTACTCGTATCTTTGGGTCACACGATCTGGGTCTATAATCTGGAGTTATCATCGATTTGTCTTATTGTTAGTAGCTACTTAGGATGAATCGATGTAAAAATTCGAATCTAGGTATCTAATTCGGTGAGTGATGATTATTTTCACTTTTATAACAGGTGTTTTAAAAATAAAATTATTTAAAGTACCTATGTACAATTTACCTATATTTTTTAATTGAATTATCTTTGTATGTATGTATAAGTATAATCTTAACTAAATAACAGTATTTAGTGATGTACCTACTCGTAGAAACGTTTTTTTAAAACGATTTTTCTTTGAAGTTACTTACTAAACTTTATGAATTTAAAACATACATAATAATATATGTTATATAACGAGTCTATTCGTATGATGCTCATAGTAACATAAGCAGGTACCAAATACCTACCAATAAATTAGGATAATTATTTGTTCCGACCCACAAAACTGTTAGGTACTAAATGAGGGTTGAAAGAAAATGAGGTTCATATATTTTCTCCGTACTCCGCAATAGAAAATATTGTGCAATTTAACACCTCCAGGTAAATTTCTAAAAAATAATTAAAATTCTAAGAAATCTATTATTAACAGACACGCCGGCGTGTCCGCGGTCGTGGAGGGATTAATGATAAAATTCAATTCAATTCTTTTTATGTGGCTTTTAGGCGTACCAGTTGGGCACAGATTACTTTGCCAATATCGTGTAGAGTGCAGAAGACAGGGTTTAATTATAAAAACATACATACACAATAACCATACAAACATATTTACTTTAAGGCAGTGGTAGCCCAGCTGTGTGCGCGGTCGCTTCGGAAACCGAGTGAAGCGGGTTCAAATTCTGGGGTTCGCACCTCTGATATTTTTTTATGAGCGAATCATTTCGAACATGATTACCATTTATCTAAGGATGAGGAAAAACATCGTGATAAAACCTACATATCTGAGAGAAACTAGCAAGTTTTCGAAAGACATGCGAAGTTCGCCAACACTTGACCAGCGTGGTGGACTATGGCCTGATCCCCCTCATTTAATTAAGGGAGAACCGTGTCCAGCAGTGGTACGTTAAAAAAGGGCTTAATTATTATTATATTTACAAACCTGATAGGCGGTGACAGCTATAAACTCCGTTTCAGCAAAGGAGAAAGACGCGTGTGGAGCTCCCCAAGCGAGTGCTGCTGCGTCCCGAGCGCGCACAACGAGGACGCGTGGACGGTACTTGTGCATGGACGTTAAGACCATCTGAAATAGAAAAGTTTATATTAACTATCTATATTATAGATTCACTTATCGGACTACTATTACAAATTATATACGAAATCTATACAAATATATATATATATACGGTTTTCACCAAGTATTGTGGTAAGTTTCACTTAACATTTAGTATTTATTTTATTTCAATCGGTTCATAAATAAAAAAGTTAACAAAACCGAGCGAAGCGAGAATAAGTCGTTAGTCCTAGTACCTATGTAATAGATATCTTGAGTTAGTAAATTCTGAAAAAACTAATATTTACATCAAAGATTCAAAATACGAATTGGCAATGAGACAAAAGCCACAAGCTAACAATATGTAAACTTATTATGCTAATAAATGTCTGTTGGTTAGAGACAAAACAAATATGATATGATGTAACATGTACCTAGCAGTGCTGTTGCTAATTTCTAACAGTACCTAAGTGTTACTTTCATAAATACGTACATCTAAAAGTATATAATAAACTAGCGACTCACCCTCGCTATGCTCGGGTTCGTCCCTACTTACGTTTTAACTTTTAGTATAGATTTCTCAGAGATGAGACATTTTCCCGCAGTAAAAAGTATCCTTTATGTTGATCCGGATAACCAGCTATGATCATGCTAAATTTCATCAAAATCCCTCCAGTGGTTTTTCCATGATGCGGTAACAGACAGACAGACAGACAAAAATCCTAAAAACTATGCATTTGGTCTATTTCAATAATAAGATTTTCCAAAAAATATTTAATGTACAGATTTGGCTTATTTACAATTTTATTATATGTATAGATATAGACTAGTGACTCAACCTCAATTCGCTCGGGTTTGTCCTAAGTACGTTTTAACTGTCAGTATAGAATAGGTAGACTATATGTATATTAGTATATACATGTATACATACATAGGTATGATGAGTTTTATATCCCTTACTTAAGAAATGATTGATTTCCTATATAAACTTTCATCCCCCCTTTTCACCCCATTAAAGGATAATTTCCCGGATTAAAACTACCCTATGTCCTTGCCAGGGTTTAAAACTATCATCATACCAAATTTCATCTAAATCGATGAAGCAGATTTTTAGTTTGTCCATTACAAACAAACTCACAAACTTTACCTCTTTATAATATAAGTGTAGATTAAATTAAATTAACATATTAATTATCTACATAAAACAAGACGTTAGTTATAATTAAATTAACAGTACATATTATTAATTTTTTGTATCATTTTCTTTGTAGTACCTGATACTTAATTAAGTACATAATATGTTAGAGATAAGTATCCGAATTCGTATAAAAGTACAATAAAAGGTACCCAGGGCCGGATTATCCATAAGGTAGTTTAGGCAACTGCCTATGGGCCCCGTCGGCTAGGGGCCCCACGCACGGAGAAAAAAAATTGAAAATGTATCATCGAGTGAACATTTTATTAAGAAAAATAAAAAATAGGTGAAAATTCCACCATTAGAACAAATGCAACAGTTAGATTTCTACGAAATCTACCTAATAGCGTAATTACGAAAAATGTATTTTAATAAGTTAGAAAAGAAAGAGTGAAAGGACCTCGAGAATTGCATTGCCTAGGGGCCCCAGCAAGGTTAATCCGGCCCTGAAGATACCTACCTTACTAATCAATAGAACTTTATTTTGTTCATGACTAAGTTATCATCAAATTATTTGACGACACGTTTGGCTCCGTTTATAATGAGTTGTACTTGCTGAGCCAGCGGTCGTGGGCTCGAGTCCCGCTGGGGGCATTTGTGTGACGAGCACGTATGTTTGTACTTCAGTCATAGGGTTTATATTTATAATATGTATGTATCTAAAGATATATATGTGTAGTGTATCAACTATCTGGTATCCATAACTCAAGCCTCGTAACTTACCATGGAACTGGATGGTACTGTGTGTTAATGTCCTAACATATTATTTATTTATTTTTAAATTGATCTGTGTTTCAGTCTATTGAGTAAGAAGTAGTTAAAAGCGATTAAAATATAACATTTTCGCAAATATTTTCGATTTTAAATTACAAGGTTCAAATTTCCTTAAAGCATTCAATAAGCCAAATATCTTTCTAACCAACTTTTTTTTGGTTTTTATAGTAATAATATAATAATTATGTATTATAAATAATATTATTAAATACAATTAACCTTAATGGGCAAAATACAGTAGACATCATAGAAAAAACAGTTTGGCGACGAGTATGCGCGGGTGTCGGTTACGGTACAATAGCTTATCTGGTACTTGACGCGGTGCTACCTGGCGCCGCTTCTCATGCGTAATTAATAAAAATCCTCGTATTATTAGTAAGTATATGTTACAGTGAAAAGTTTAACTAATTTAATATTCAAACTCAAATATTGAAATTTAAAACCTATGATATAAATGGCTCTATTTTTAAATTTCTTACTGTAAAGTAAAACATACGTGTATCTATTTGCTTTGAAATACAAATTAAAGTAATTATTATTATTATTAATTATTAGTATTAAAGTAATATATATATATATATATATATATATATATATATATATATATATATATATATATAAACTTATTCTACATGCTTTAAATGTATTAAAATTTTACGAGATAGCGGAACACAGATTTTACATTTAAGATTTTTATGGTAATTTTGACGTTACAGTGAGAAAATAACATATTTCCGTCTGTTAGTAAGTTTTTGAACAACAACAGTATTTCTAAAATATTAATATTGAATAAAATTTGAAAAAAAAATACTTAAAAATATAAACACAAATCGTCTGTATGTACGTATTATTTATGTATGTGTCACAATCATGCCAATGTTATGCGTATTCACTTATGCACATGAATAGGTATATAATAATACTCGTAATGGCAAAGTTTCCCGATGGTAATAATATCATATTTAACGCAATGGAATTATAATATAGATAGATCAAAAGTAATAAATCAGTAAAAAAATTTTTTTAAATCTATCGATAAACGACAAATTAATTTAACGAAATTATTCTTACAAGGGCAACTTTAAAGGTTTATTCTACTTTTTCATTTGTTGAGATATTTTAATATTTCTTTCATATTTTTGTTATATTTTGCTTAAATTATTATAATTAATAATAGGAAGAATGAGTTTTGGCGACGCACAAGCGTAGGCGGCGTGGCGGTTGTTTAGATTATCTGTAGGTACTTGACGCTACCTGCGGCGCCGCGCCGCTCTCAAGCGTAAAGGGTTTCTGTTTTGTGTTCAAACGATTTTTTGGCAATTTCCACTTTTTACTTCTGACACCGAGCTAGATACTAGACATATGTAATGTAATTCCGAACTGGTGTTATTTAATCTTTTAAATAAAACTATCTTTTCTGATTATTTCGCGGATTCATTTTAATTTTTGGTTTCCGACGTTTCGTATGCTTTACAGCAATCATGGTCACGGGAGAGACTGGATTTATTTAATCTGTTTAAAATAACATGTTGTTATGAATTGCATTTTGTTTGTTATTCGTTTATCGATTTAAAGTAACTTAAGTAAACTAGAACATTTTTCAATTTTTATTTGCTATTACATATGTATGTATGTATCTAACTATATTTTTAATATTATACGTAGCTTACGTACTTATGTATCATTTAAGATATTTTAAACTTACTTTTTTAAAGTTTTTATGTACAAAAAATCTATTATAAAAAGCTGCACTATCCCTGCCTATATTTTTTAACCCATCAATGTATAGGAACTGCTGTCCGCAGCTCCTTTTAAGTCGTCCTATAATTTAAAATGAAACAATTAATTAGATATACCAAAGTAATTAAGTACAATAAAACCACTTTAATGAATAAGAAAATTTATCTAACGTTATCGTTGCCGGTCACGTCAGAGTCGACTGTGGTCGCAAGCGTAAACACACTTGTACCTATGTCATTTACTATTAAGGAGACACGTGTCGATATAAAGATAAATTTGTCTAGACGTTTAGCTAATTGCAGGTTGCACGCTACTTTAAGTTTTTTGTCGTTACACAATCTTTGTCATAGATGGGTGACTAGAAGTGAAGAATTGATAATAATTATAAATAAAAAATTTAAAAAATCCCCTACGCAAATTAAATTGTCATTTAACGATTACACTGGCACGCGTGAAGCACTTAATCGAGTAATCATACGCCAAATGATATTCTTACACTGCTCGACCGATATTAACGAAACATAGCTAAGAACCACCGCAAGGAAACTGGCTTTCAAATAAAAAAAATCGGATCGAAATCGGTCCATCCGTTTGAGAGCTACGATGCCACAGACAGGTGCGCACACACACACAGACAGACATCGATGTAAAACTTATAACACCCCTCTTTTTGCGTTGGGGGTTAAAAATCAAACAAGCATGCCATACCTAAGTAGATTTTTTAAATTATTATGGTCGTTTTTTTAGTAAATGACGAATACGAATAATTTTAAAATACGTCAGTCTTTTACGGACCAAACAGGCCCACCTACTGGGTAGGATATACGTACCTATAATATGTACCTATATATTACATATCTAATATAATATAACCCAGCATATTTTTTTGTATCTTGTCGTATCCTATTAGTAATTTTATTTAAGTCAGCATTTAGCATTTAGTAGAGATAAAATTAAACTGGAAAATATCAATAAAAGCTGCACATATAATAAAATTCTAACATTAAACTTTTGTCTGTCTGTCTGTCTGTGTGGGAACGCATCACGAGAAAACCGCTGGAAAGATTTTGATGAAATTTGGTATGATGTTAAATGGTTATCCGGGTAACATATACGATACTTTTTACTGGAGGAAAGTATCTCGTTTCTGAGAAATCTATACTAAACGTAAAAACGTAGCTAGTCAAGTAATAAAATTGTAGGCTGAATGCATTACATGTCATTTCCACACGTTTTTTGTTCCTTAGCAGCTTTACTAAGATAGTTAACTTGTAATGCCATACTGAGCAAGAAGTTTCCATTTTAAGATATATTTTGCCAC